ATTGCAGTCGAGTCAATTAAATACATAGATTGCAGCATGTCGATAAGACATTAACCTTCCCTCGCTGATCGCTCTTTCTCTTTGGGACGGTGCACTGTGGGGCGCCTAGAACAAAAAGCCTGCCAAAATGTTTTTTTTTTTTTTTAAGATTTTCCAAAATGTTGCAATGCAACTTTAAAAACAATTGAATTCTCTATACACATCAAAAGGAAAGAGTGATCTGTGTTGAATGGTTCTCCCACTACAGATTTATAAAGTGGATTTTTCGAAATATAATTTTAGCCAATAAGAAATAAAGGTATTTTTACACATCTTTGAAATTTTTCTGAAAGCGCCCAAGGGCCTAAGTTGTATATGTAACGATTGAAATTTTAAGAGCAACCGATTCTTAAAATATTAAAAAAAAATAAAAAATTTTAGATACATAATTACTATTTTTTTTTAATTTTTTAAAGGTGGTCCAAAAAAAAAGGGATTTTTTGGATATCCTTGGACGTAAAGTAGTGTTACACCCTAGATCCCCGTTTAATTCTTTTTTTAAAAAAAAGTTTAGATATTTATCTACATATTCTGAAAAAATTAGCCTGCCCTTTTGTGCCTCTTCTGAGAAAACTGCAGTTTAAGTTAGCAAGAAATGTTCATAATTTGAAATATCGTCAGCCCTGGTTCATTCGCGCGCCCTAACATCATGAAGATATTTTACTTATGTGAAGGTATTGATGAAGATAATGATAAATTAATAAACAAATTTGGGTTTAAAATTTTAAATTATGTTATTTTACTAAAAATACATATATGAAGTAAATACCGGTTTCTACAAGTTTTTTTTTTAAATATGCCATATTTCCTTGATTGATTCTATGAGCTCAAAGAAGCTGGGTTGACAAAAATGAAATTTTTGAAATTTGAATAGCGGAATCGTTTGCCCATCTTTTGCCCATGTTTGCCCACCAATTAGTTTTTTTTGCCCACGTCCAGTTTTCGAGATATAAAATTTCGAAAATTTTCGAAAGTCACAAATTTTTGGAATTCGATTTTTTTTTTTTTTAATCGTGAGAGAATCGTTTGCCCACGTTTGCCCACCTTTTAGAAATTTGAAAAAATTTATACTTCAAAAGTTATCTTAATTATAAGTTTTTCCTTAAGAAAAAATCGTTTGCCCACCCTTTAAAACTGAATATTTTTGGAAAAAAACGTTTGCCCACCTCTTAAAACTAAAAAATATTCACTGCCCACCCTTTAAAAATACATTTTTATAAAAACCATCGTTTGCCCACCTCTTAAAACTAAAAAATATTCACTGCCCACCCTTTAAAACTAAATATTAATGAAAATAATCGTTTGCCCACCTCTTAAAACTAAAAAATATTCACTGCCCACCCTTTAAAAATACATTTTTATAAAAACAAACGTTTGCCCACCTCTTAAAACTAAAAAATATTGACTGCCCACCCTTTAAAAATACATTTTTATAAAAACAATCGTTTGCCCACCTCTTAAAACTAAAAAATATTCACTGCCCACCCTTTAAAACTAAATATTAATGAAAATAATCGTTTGCCCACCTCTTAAAACTAAAAAATATTCACTGCCCACCCTTTAAAAATACATTTTTATAAAAACAAACGTTTGCCCACCTCTTAAAACTAAAAAATATTGACTGCCCACCCTTTAAAAATACATTTTTATAAAAACAATCGTTTGCCCACCTCTTAAAACTAAAAAATATTCACTGCCCACCCTTTAAAACTAAATATTAATGAAAATAATCGTTTGCCCACCTCTTAAAACTAAAAAATATTCACTGCCCACCCTTTAAAAATACATTTTTATAAAAACAAACGTTTGCCCACCTCTTAAAACTAAAAAATATTGACTGCCCACCCTTTAAAAATACATTTTTATAAAAACAATCGTTTGCCCATCTCTTAAAACTAAAAAATATTCACTGCCCACCCTTTAAAACTAAATATTAATGAAAATAATCGTTTGCCCACCCCTTAAAACTAAAAAATATTCACTGCCCACCCCTTAAAACTAATTTTATATAAAAACCATCGTTTGCCCACCTCATAAAACTAAAAAATATTCACTGCCCACCCTTTAAAACTAAATATTAATGAAAATAATCGTTTGCCCACCTCTTAAAACTAAAAAATATTCACTGCCCACCCTTTAAAACTAAATATTAATGAAAATAATCGTTTGCCCACCTCTTAAAACTAAAAAATATTCACTGCCCACCCTTTAAAAATACATTTTTATAAAAACAAACGTTTGCCCACCTCTTAAAACTAAAAAATATTGACTGCCCACCCTTTAAAAATATATTTTTATAAAAATAATCGTTTGCCCACCTCTTAAAACTAAAAAATATTGATTGCCCACCCTTTAAAACTAAATATTAATGAAAATAATCGTTTGCCCACCCCTTAAAACTAAAAAATATTCACTGCCCACCCCTTAAAACTAATTTTATATAAAAACCATCGTTTGCCCACCTCATAAAACTAATAAATATTGACTGCCCACCTCTTAAAAATTAATTTTAAAATGTTTTTAAACCGATTACCAGCTCAGAGAAGCTGGGTCGGGTAAAATTAAAATTTCGAATTTTTAATATGGGAATCGTTTGTCCACGTTTGACCACTTTTTAGTTTTTTTGTCCACGTCCAGTTTCAAAAATATGGGATTTCGAAAATTTTCGAAAATCAAAAGGTTGAATTTTTCAAATTTTTTTGTATGGAATTGTTTGTCTATCGTTTGTCCACGATTGTCCACCCTTTAGAATTTTGAAAAAGTCAAAACTTTAGAAAATACAATGTGCATAAAGTTAGCAATGCAACTTTTGAAAATGCAAATTTTTTTCTATCGACAATTTGCCGTTATTTTTCCGTAAATTATTCGTGAAAGAACAAAATTTGCCGCTCAATTATTTTTAAAATTATGAGATGTTCTGCTAAGTTGATATCAACTTAGCAGAACACCCCCACTAAAGTGCAAAATTTCCAAAATCTTTTTTAATAGGAATTTGCAGTTATTTATCCGTAAATGATTCGCGTAAGAAAAAGTTTAGTTGCTCTTGCTTTAACATTTTTTTTTTTAAACAAAATTGTTCTGAATTATTTGAAAAATTCAACCTTTTGATTTTCGAAAATTTTCGAAATCCCATATTTTTGAAACTGGACGTGGACAAAAAAAACTAAAAGGTGGTCAAACGTGGACAAACGATTCCCATATTAAAAATTCGAAATTTTAATTTTACCCGACCCAGCTTCTCTGAGCTGGTAATCGGTTTAAAAACATTTTAAAATTAATTTTTAAGAGGTGGGCAGTGAATATTTTTTAGTTTTAAGAGGTGGGCAAACGATTGTTTTTATAAAAATGTATTTTTAAAGGGTGGGCAGTCAATATTTTTTAGTTTTAAGAGGTGGGCAAACGATTGTTTTTATAAAAATGTATTTTTAAAGGGTGGGCAGTGAATATTTTTTAGTTTTAAGAGGTGGGCAAACGATTATTTTCATTAATATTTAGTTTTAAAGGGTGGGCAGTGAATATTTTTTAGTTTTAAGAGGTGGGCAAACGATTATTTTCATTAATATTTAGTTTTAAAGGGTGGGCAGTGAATATTTTTTAGTTTTATGAGGTGGGCAAACGATGGTTTTTATATAAAATTAGTTTTAAGGGGTGGGCAGTGAATATTTTTTAGTTTTAAGGGGTGGGCAAACGATTATTTTCATTAATATTTAGTTTTAAAGGGTGGGCAGTGAATATTTTTTAGTTTTAAGAGGTGGGCAAACGATTGTTTTTATAAAAATGTATTTTTAAAGGGTGGGCAGTCAATATTTTTTAGTTTTAAGAGGTGGGCAAACGTTTGTTTTTATAAAAATGTATTTTTAAAGGGTGGGCAGTGAATATTTTTTAGTTTTAAGAGGTGGGCAAACGATTATTTTCATTAATATTTAGTTTTAAAGGGTGGGCAGTGAATATTTTTTAGTTTTAAGAGGTGGGCAAACGATTGTTTTTATAAAAATGTATTTTTAAAGGGTGGGCAGTCAATATTTTTTAGTTTTAAGAGGTGGGCAAACGTTTGTTTTTATAAAAATGTATTTTTAAAGGGTGGGCAGTGAATATTTTTTAGTTTTAAGAGGTGGGCAAACGATTATTTTCATTAATATTTAGTTTTAAAGGGTGGGCAGTGAATATTTTTTAGTTTTAAGAGGTGGGCAAACGATGGTTTTTATAAAAATGTATTTTTAAAGGGTGGGCAGTGAATATTTTTTAGTTTTAAGAGGTGGGCAAACGTTTTTTTCCAAAAATATTCAGTTTTAAAGGGTGGGCAAACGATTTTTTCTTAAGGAAAAACTTATAATTAAGATAACTTTTGAAGTATAACTTTTTTCAAAATTCTAAAAGGTGGGCAAACGTGGGCAAACGATTCTCTCACGATTAAAAAAAACAAAAATCGAATTCCAAAAATTTGTGACTTTTGAAAATTTTCGAAAATTTTCGAAATTTTATATCTCGAAAACTGGACGTGGGCAAAAAAAACTAATTGGTGGGCAAACATGGGCAAAAGATGGGCAAACGATTCCGCTATTCAAATTTACAAAATTTTATTTTTGTCAACCCAGCTTCTTTGAGCTGAACTGAGCAAAGGCGAAAACAAATTCGGTAGCACAGCATTCGGGGCTTTAGTTGAAGAGGGACAGAGATGGAGGTAGAATAGAGCAGGAGAGAGATAGCCGGGGGAGGTTTGTACCGTTACGTCCTTACGTTCGTCCCACCCAAAATGTAATGAAATCCTTTGTGTGCGTGAGCTTACGTGTCGGTGCGGCTGTGTGCGTGCGTTTTGTTTGTCAACTTTGGCGAGGCGGGACATAAAAATGCTAATACAAAACACTAGAGCAAATTGCGGCAAAATAAGTTGAGTGTGCGAGTGCAGAACTTAACGCCAACAACTAACTTTTCGCCTACAGGATAATCAGAAGGACACTTACCGTTTTAATCAGGCGAACACACCGCTAATCCAAATTCGTAATTCACCCACACAGAGACAAAGAACAATCACACTGACACACAAAGACACTGACTTTCGGCACTTTGCAGACGGAAAGGAAATGGAAAACCTGGTGCCGCAATTTTAAATTCGACTTTTGCGCTTTTCGAGCTGCGATTTCTGGTGATTCAATTCGATTCGATTCGTTTCGTTGCCGATTCGCGCAGACAAACGAAATTCAGGAATTTCAAGTGGAAATCTCGTTTGAGCACTTTTCGACCTGCGACTTCCGAAGGCGGCGCGGCAGAAAACTTTGGCCTTAACTTCGCTTTAAAATGGCTTTAAAATTGTCGAATTGAAAGAGTGGTTTTGTTGACGCGTGCGTCTTATTTGCAATTTTACTTTGTCTTGTCTTTTGTTTAATTTTTCCAATTGCAAATTCTTTACTCTTCCGACTCTTCACTCTTGATTTTTTTGACGCTTAACGCGACGCGTTTGAAATAGATGCGTGCGTCCGCTCGTTGCGTCCGTTGCCGTTCGAAATTTTTTTTTTCTGTTTTGATGGTTGTGCAGTGTGACCAGACTACGGAAATCACTTTTATCCCGAATGCTCTTAGGCAGCGATAAATGCACTAAAAAATCCAGCTTTCCCCTAAATTCAAACTCTGGTTCCGGATCGAAATTGAATAATTTTTTAATATTTGACTTTACTTGCTTATTAAATATTTTTAAAAAATTAATGTTTCTTTTATTCCTTTAAATATAAGTTCACAATGTTTATATTATAGGCATTTGGAGAAAAATTAACTTTTCTATATATATATTTAATAGCATAATTTGAACTTATATTTTCAATTAATTAATAACTATAACAAATTTAATAAAACATATCAAACTGATCTTATTTCCGCTTTGAACTCCTTTAAAAATCTAGCCCAGACTTAAACCATCTAACTAGTTCATTCAATCAGTGTTGCCAGACTGTTAAAATACCTATAACCAGTACGTGCCAAATTTAAAATTCCGCGGATTAACTTTTTTGCAGGCCAAAACCGCTGCAATATGCAAGTCACAAAAGAAAACACAGGGAAATCGCCAGACATTTTTATCGAAATACGCAGAAACATCCTGAGCCGGCTGTGTGCCTGTGCCCTCCTAGACTTCCGCTTCTTTTTTCACTTTTTTGACCAGTCACGTTTATTAATCCGATTAGGGATACTACGTTTTTCTTTAAATAGAAGGCCCTCGAGTGCAGGGCACGTATACCTCCCATTGTTGGGATAAATTTAAGGGCAACTGCGTCGACAGGCGCGATCCATAAGCCTAAAATATGGAATACACAACAAAAGGGTGGGTCGATCGACGGGGAAGACCGGTTACAGGGATCAAAAGAGCTCACACTCGGGAGTACCAACTAATTGTTTTCGTTATTATTCGCATAACTACAAAGTAATATTCGTATTTTAGTTAACTAGCTCTAATCAAGTCTAAGAAAGCAAGCGGATATATGGATCGCATAAGAGTTACGCTATGTACGGTACGATATTAGTCAGTTAAATCACAGATGTATTATTTTGTGTATTATCCTCCGCCCCCCTCCTCTGTCCAGCCTCCTCCTCCTCCAGCTCCACGCCGGGTGTCCTGTCCGGCGGCTCGGCGTTCAGCACGAGGTTCTCGATGGATCGGAAAGAGGCGTCCTCCAAGTGGGTGGACATGGCGGCGGTTGGGGGGCGGGGCAGAGTGCTGGCGGCTCCCTGCGACTGGCGATGTCGCACGGAGGAGCGCAGTATGGTCACCACATCCTCCGCCGTATAGGGACGACGCTCCAGGCTGTTGGCCGTGGCCATTGAGCGATGCAGCTTCCTGCCCAGCGATTGCGAGCGTTGAGCATAGCCAGCCGGTCGCTGGCCAATCTCGATGGACTCGGGACTGCTGCTGCTGGAGGCCGGCGAAGGCTCCGCATTGGAGCTACTGCCAGCTGGGTTGGTCAGTATGGTCAGGTAATCGGGTGGAGCCGCCGGAGAAGCGGACTCTGCATCCAAGGAGAGCACGGGTCGAGTGCGACTGGAGTCTCCCAGAACCCTGTGGGTAAATATATGATTAATTACTAATTTATTTAGACTGACAATATTTTTTTCTAACCTCCGCACACTGCGACGAATGCTCTGGCGCAGCAGCTTGGCCAGGCGTGCTCCAGTGGCCGTGGTGTAGGACGGAGGTGGCGTGTACTTGGGCGGCGCATCGTTCTGGGCATCGTGCTGCGATCCCTCCGTCGTCTGGCCCAAGGCATTGCGACGTCCTTGGCCGGCGCTTTGTCGCGCAGAGGGACGACGAGGCTCCTCTCCCTCCTCCGGAGGTCGATAAAGCAGCTGAATGCGCTAGGAAAACAAGGAATAAAATAAATAAATATAAAGAAAGCTAAGAAACAAACTCACCTCCAAGATATCCGGCGGACCATGGGCCAGATATCGGTAAATCTGAATAATAGCAGTCACGGGAATGACCAACAGCACTCCAATCTGTATGAGGCTGCCCATCTTCCTGGACCAATATGAAAAGTACGACTTGCCACGCCAATAGTAAAACTGGTTCGACAGCGAAGCCTTGTAGTCGACGACCGACAAAGTGATCAGACCAATGGGCAGCAAAACGTTCCAGGACAAAGCCAGAAAGGCAGACATGGAGCCACAGAGTCGCAGGTCATTCACCAGGTCATCTCCGTTGTAGGGACGTCCGCGTATCAGAAACACGCCAAAGATCTGAGCCGTCCAGATGATCGGAATAAACCAGGAGCCGCCCAGCAGGAAATCCACATAGTACAGGATCGAGATGCCCATTTCGGTGGCAAAGGGGATGCTCAGAAGCAGCCCAGTAACGCAGCTCAGCAAAACGGAACTCGTCGAGTTGCCCAAGGCACTCGAAATGGGTTTCCACATCACGCACAGCTGCGCCAGTCCGAATCCCGCGAAGGTGGCAAAGGCCACAGCGGCCCAAACCCACGAAATACTATCGCTGGCCAGCGAGAGAACAGCCGGAAAGATTTCCGAGATGAAGCGCAGCGCCTGGAAGCCACTCTCCACGTGAATCATGGTGCGGTTCCTCCTGTAGGTCTCCCCAATAAACGAGGAGTAGTGCGGAATCAGCGAGCGCGGATAGGAAAGCAAATACGGATTGGTGTTCGATTGCAGCGAGTAAATGGACGTATAGCAATTGGGGTTTTCTGTAAATGAAATGTGGAGTAATAAAATACATTTCGGGATTTTTAAGCCAGCTAACAAACTCACCAAAAGATCCCGGCACATAAATGTAGCCATGCTCCCACAGAATCTGTGCACAACACAAAGCTAGCAAGGCCATTAAACCTAGTCCTATAAGGGTAATTAGAACCAGGAGTATTGCATCCCTCCTCAGAGCCGCCTTGTTTGCATTCGAGTGACTTCTGCTGGTGATGGCGATCACCGAGGCTCCAAGCAAGCCCCAAGTGAGAAAGGTCTCCTGGGTGGCCGCCGTCCAGCTGTTCGAGTTCACCAGAAAGTCGTCGAAATCGCTGGCAGCAAAGATGTTCTGTGAAATGTAGGTTATAAGAATTAAATTTTCCCATTAATTTTTTTTGAGCCCTGCGTGAATCGTTCAATTTTTGTTTTATCATAGTATGCCATGAAGTTTCAGATTTGTTTAATTCAATTCTATATATTTCTATGTGAAATAAATTTAATGTTTTTTTAATTCATTTCGAATTGAATTCAAAATTTTTATGAATTTTTTGAATTTGCCAGATTTTTGTTGTGCTTTCTTTTAAAAACAAGAATTGGAACATTTTAAACAAATCAATGTTCCCTGGATAGTAAATAAAATACAGGCAGATTTAATCACAAAATTATGGCCCTTTCTTCTTCTAAAGAAATTGCGGTTTGAATTATTTTGGAACTCATGCCATTCAATTCTATTAAACTCAAAATTCAAATTCATTCAATTCCATTAAACTCAGAATTCTAATTAATTCATTCATATAAAACAATATAAAACATTCATGCAGGGCTCTAATTTCCTCCTTAAAGACCCACCTGTATCTTGCTGGGATCCACGACATAGACAAACTTGGCGGTCACCACCGCAAGAGCCACCAAAGGCAGCGTGTAGATAAGGTAGGCCAACTTGCCCAGGGACTTTAGACCCTTGCAGAGGATGAGAAACACGGCCGCCCAGATGAGGGCCAGATAGAAGGCCAGCTGCTGAAGGAAGTGGCAATGAGTCAGTTAGATGGGAAGTGGGATTTGGGGGGAGGGAGGAACTTACCCGATCGTTGACATGAAAGCGTATTCCGCTCGACTCTGGGTGATTGGCCAGATGCAGTCGCTGCAGCACCACCACGTTGAAGTACTCAGCTACAGTTTGGGTTAGATTCCCTGTACCATTGGAGGCATCATAACGATATGGGAATGCCATCTCCTGCCAGCGGTAACCATTCCGCGACGCTGTCGGAAACACATCCCTTAGGTAGACTAAGATCCAGGCCAGCGATACCGTGGAATACAAGGCCAGAAAGCATTGCTCCATCACCAAAGCTATGCCCACTCCCGCGCAAATCGGACTGATTTTCCACATGGAAACTGGCCCTGCGCGAATTTTGGCGCCCAGGCACATTTGCAGCCAAAGCAAAGGGATGCCAAAGATCACCGAGAGCAGAAGAAACTGCAGCAGAAAGTTACCACCAAAGTTGATGGTGAGCACGGCAAATCGGCACATATTAAAGACGCCCAAAGTGCAGCCAATCAGCGCGAGCGTTCGACTCCCAGCATGTGGCCACTGACTGTTGAAGCCGCACTTCTCTCGCAGCAGCAGCTGCAGTTGATGCAGTGGTTCCAGTGGCGTAGTGCTACTGGCACTGCACATGGTAGTGGTCTGCACCGGATCCTGTTCCTGTTCCGCGGAGCTGCTGCCGCTGCTGCTGCTGTCCGAGGGCAGGGAAACTGGGCTGGGCATCCGCGAGGAGCGTGCGGAGCTCAATTCCGAGCATGTGGACATTATGGGGTGCGTAGGCGTCTCCTGGAGCTGCGGTTCCCTGTGGCTCATCTGCACACGCGTGGGAGCACTCTGCGGGCGACCCTGTGCAAGAATCAGGGAGCGCACAGGTGTGGGAGGTCCTTCCAAGCGGCGACCATACTGCCTGGGTCGCGGTTCCTCGCTCGAAGCCCTCACATTCGTCTGCAGCAGGTTGTCGAAGATGTGCGCCTCTGTGAGCATCTGAGAACCGCCTGAAGCTTGACAGTCGCTTTGGGAGTAACAGCGGCGCATCTCAGCCTCGCGTCTGGGCGGCAGCTCCACCAACAAGGTCGGTACATCGTCCTCCTCCCTTTCCCTTTCGACTGTGGCTTTGGTTTCATCCTGCTCCATGGCGCGACGCATGGACTGACGCCTCCAAACGTCCATCGCGGGTTCCGTCGATGTCTCCAGCGATGCAGTAGAAGATGCTGAAAAGGAAAAATGATTGGGATATCAGAATATTCTTAAGAACCTAGCTAAATGCTAACCTGTTTGGCTCGTGGGCCTCAGTGAGCAGCTGAAGGTCTTCCTTATTTGATGCTCCCTCTGAAAATCTTCCTGGCCAGCCTCCTCCTGCTCCTCGCTCTTCTTTTTATTCGATTTCTTTTTCCTACTCAAAGGCAGAGTTCTAGTCCGGGGCTCTCTTTTCAAGCTGGACTGGCCGCCCATAATGATTAGGGACTCTTCGCGGCTCAAGGCATTGTCCATCTCCTCCAGATAGTTGTCCAGATCCATGAGATAGTCCTCAACCTTGTCATCGTCGCTGCCCGAGTTCATGGATGCGCTTGAGCAGGTGCCATTCAACTGAGAGACATCGTGCACATCCAGAATGGCATCCAGTTCGCTGAGCACACATAAGGCTTCATCGGTTTCAGCCGCAGCCGCTTGTTTGATGGGCGTGCTCAGTGGCGCCTGCTGCATCTCCTGGCTCCCACAAAAGGCACTTCGTTCGTCTCCCAGGTCATCTCCCAATCGAAAGCTGATGGGTTGCAGCTGTTTAGGCTGTTTAGCCTGCTGGTGAAACGATTGCGGCGTCTGTTGGATCTCGATGAGGTCCTCGTCGCTCAACTCGTCGTCGTAATAAGCGCAGGCCTGTCGTATCGATTCGCTGGACAGGCTGTTCGAGAGTCCAAACTGCTCCTGCTCCAAGTTGTGGTTTCTGCTGCGACCCCTGCCTCCTGTTGTGCCCGTTGTTCCCAATCCTGCTCCGGAGGACGCTGCTCCCGATCCCGAGGGCGGCAGACTGGCGTAGGCGTTCGAATTGCGCTTGAAATCCCGGCCTGCTGCTTGCTGCTCCTTACTCATCTTGGTGCATTGCCGGCTGCCACAGCTGATCGATTGGTCCTGCCGGCAATGTTGAAAAGCTCTCAAATCGTCCTGCAAAAGGGTGGCAAAAAGTGTTGGTTAATATGGCACACAATTCAAATTTACCAACAAAATTTTTATCCAAAAAGGTTGGAGAAAGAGAAAATTAAGTATAATAGCGTAAAAGTAGCAATTAACTCATTTTCTCTTTGCTTAGATGATTTTATAGTAAGATGGGTTTGAAAAAAATCTTAAGAAACGCTAACCACTGGTGATTAATTTGCATCAAGAACTAAGTAGAAAACTTTGAAGGTGAGAAGAACATTCCAACCTAACCCAAGTAGGTAATTGTACAACAATTTAAAGGTAAAAGTTTAAGAAGAGTGGAACAAACTATGCTATGAACATCATAAATTCTCCAATAACTTTATGAGTCTACAAATCGATAGAGTAAGTCCAACGAGAGTGGTGATTCATTCAAAGAGTCATATTGATTTAATTAAGAAACGTATATGTATTTAAAAAGTTAGATCATACGATTTTTAAAGACCTGAGACTCCAAGAAGTCATTTATGAAGTAAAAGCAGAACCTTTCAAAAGTGAAAGTTGGCCAATAACAAACAAAGATCCTGGTGAAATCCTTGACTCATTCGGAAATTTCTTTATAGTGACTAATTCGAGAATGACTAATAGGTATTTGTTTTATAAAATTAAGCTGATTAAGATGGATTTCTTCATTTAGTTTATTTTTTAATACTACTATTGTTTGTTCTGGCTATAAACCAACTAACTAACTTGAACTTAATTAAACGAAGCATACAACTTAATAACCAAAGTGAAAAACGATAATTAGCAAACAAAAGTTCCAATAAAAATGTGCTAAAAACGAGCTTGATACTATGAAAAGATGATTCTCCAACATTAAGCTCAAATGGAATACAAATTGTTTTAATGAGTAATCCAACCTTCTAGTGGAAATCAAAACCGAAACTCATTTAATTGCTTGTACAATGCGATAAGAGCTGCTCCAATTTAAAATAAAGATTACGTCAAATAGAATCTATTGTTTTTTTTCGGAAACACCAAGCGTCTTAGACAGATCATAGCTATATTAGGGAAATCCAAGCATCTTATAGAGATTATAGCTAACCTCTGCTACGATTGCAAACCCAAGACAAATGTTTCTCTAACCCACAATCAAATCACAACCACCGATTGGGACAGGTCAGTGGGGAGATCACTTTGCATTATATGCAAAAATGCAATCAAATGCAAACAAGCGCGTGCTCTTGCGTTTTTACGGATGTTTGCACGTGAGTGAATCGCGTCCGCCAATAAAAAAAAAATGTATAAAAAACCAACAGCAGCTGCTGTCAAATGGCCGAGAAAAAATATGAAAAAATTTTTAATAATAAATAAAAGTGAGCAAAGCGAAGAAAAAAGTAGAAAAGAGCAGAGCGCATGTTCATTCAACTGATCAGGTGAATGTACTTCCGTTAATAAGTTTTTTAAAGCACGATATAAACAATCATTCGGAAAGGGAGTGCTGGGGTCTAGGCTTAAAAGGGGAGATCGTTGGCACGTTACCTCGATTCAAGTCAAAAATTGTTTTATTGCCGCTGTTTGTGTTTCGTATACCCTTGCTTATCAAAGGAGATACCCTATCATATACCTAATATTATTATATTATTATATACCACCCTATTTTCTCTCCTTAAGAAAAAAATTAAAAAATAATATGGTAATTTCTCCATTTAAGGTATATATTTATCCATAGTTACCATAGAAACCATTGGAATTCAGCTTGTTTAGACCTTAGCTGTCATAGAAACACCATAAGTTCGAAACTATTTCAAGAACATCAAGTTATAAACGTATTATACGATTTGAAACATTTTTTTCTACTACAAAGAGTATGTAAACTTCGACTCTCCCAACTTCCCTTATCGTTTTTTGGCCTACGATCTCACTGAATCACATAGTGCGAGTATGAAACGCGGCGTCTGGTTTTATTTTATTTTGCATACGCTTAGCCGTGACCTTCGGCGCCGCCATAAAATCTCCGAAACTCACAAACCTGTCTTGCACTTCTTTGCTTTATGGTAATATATTGTATAGTATAGTGTATAGTATGTGGTAGTAATAGAATGGGCAGCATCCACACATTAATTGGTGGCCCAGAGGTCAGATTATTTAGCGAAGCAGCGCCATTGATCGCAAATTCACATATGTACCGACCACGTACCGTTAAATTTCGCTGGCGCTCTCGTTTTCTCGCATTTCTCGCATTTTCGCACCGCACAAAAGTAAACAAAACAATTAGAGCCGCCGCATCAAGTGCAGCTCACAACTCAACTCGCAATCGAACGGCAACTCTGGCCACCTGACCTTCGCCAAATGTTGTAGCTAAGTTATGTACATACGTATGTTTAGCTGAAATGGCAACACCCAGGTGCACCAAACTAATCACCAAACATCGCTGGCCAACTTGTTTTCCTTTTCTATCCGTACGGAGTGTGCAATTACAATGAAATTGACATTCACCAAACAAATAAAACTAGTTAATGCTGCCACGCACACTCACACAAACTGGCTCCATTGTGCGTGAGTCTTATGGGTACGTGTGTGTGTTAGTTAGCGACTAGGGTTGCAACCTATGCTGATCGCGGGATGCGAGTCTTTCAACGTTTCAATCGCAGATGCGGGCAGGTGGTCCATCCCTGACACAGTGGAAGCCGGCTAAGAAGTAAATGCTTAAATTCAGCATTACAAGTTAAGATACTTTTAACTTTAAGATCTACCTTCATGAAATAAGTTTAGCCTGTAAAATCTAACTTGTAGAGAGTAAAACATAGTTTAAGATACACATATTTATCTTAAGGATTTAATTTATCCAGTTACGAACAGTTTTTACACTAACTACTTTAATAATTACCATTTTTAAAACTCTAATTTAAGATGTAATGTTACACTTTATAAAAAATTAAGCCTTAAAATGTAGCTCCTAAAATGATTAAATAACTTTATAATAACAGTAAAAACAGTAAATCATTAAAAAAAAGGTTTTTAAATCTATTATCTAACATCCAGGCTGCCATAAGGGGCAATAAATATTTTAATATTTTAAAATAGCTGGCATTTAGCAATAAATTATCAGTCGCTATAGATTTTACCAACATTGTTATGACGAGTACTTTCTCTAATCAAATCCTAGGTTTCGCCTAGCCCGTATTCACTGTACTTGAGCTATCTACCATGGCAGCTACTCTTGTAAAACATCAAACGATCAGATCGGCACGTTTTTATGCGACTTTTCCACAGATAGCTGCAGAAAGTAGTGAAGTGTAGGGGGAGGGGGAGTGGCAGGGGATTCGGTACTCGTTCCCCCTTTTTATGAGTAATGCAGACAGACTGCAACTGCAACTGCGCCTTCAATTGAGTTCAATATTTAAGGGAAGCACTGGGTCAATTGCAAAACAAACGATGTACGATGTATAGCCATATGGATATAGAAATTCTGATTCCGAGCACATTCGCGGTGGAGATAGCGGGAATTTGTTATTTGTTTATTTTTGCATTCTCCTCTGGCAGGCGGAAGAAAGAGAGAGAAAGAAAACGGTAAATAGCCCGATCCCGCCCTGCTTTTGTTTTTTTTTTGTTTTTTTTTCGTTTTTGCGCTGTTGAAATTGTGTGTATTTGCAAAACATTGCCAACACACACACAAACACTCACAGGTTATCCAGTATTTTAAATGAATAACTGTTCAAAATAAAGTAAAAAACGCTGATTGGGCTTTTGCGGTTCGCTGGGGAATACCTTAATGGGTGGATTGGTCATTCTCGCGGGGGAGGGGTGGCAGAGGAGGGGGCGGGGCGGCTCACAGCTGTTTCCAGCGACTGACCCGAAAAGAAAATGGAATAAAAGCAGCGCGTATGCGCAGCACGCTCAAAAAAACCGAAAATTCGGTGTGTATTTTGTGGGTAGAAGCGAGATTGAGATTTCATTTCCAGATACGTGTCGCGCTCTCTTTCCCCCTCCCTCTCTCTCACGAGCGTGTGTGTGCGTGCGTGCGTCGCTTTGTTTCTCACCGTACGAAAAAGTGTTTTTCAAAGAAGATTCCAAAATGGAAAGGTAACTGGAGGTACTGCAGGGGGGCTGGGGGCGGGAAATGGCCACCGCTTGCCACACCGCACACTCTGCTGCTGCACTCTCTTCGTCCCGCTCGCTCCCTCCCACACCCCGTGAAATGCAGCACACGCACACACTTGCACTTTTCTATTGCATGCAGAATACTCACACACGAGCGCGCGTTTGGTAATTTCGGTACTCCCGTGGCTTCGGTTCGGTTTCTTTTTAATTTCAATTCACTGGCTTTTCTTCACTTTTGTGGCGCTGGAGCTAGTGCGTCTTTGGCGACCTGAGCTTCGTTTGGGGCCCGATTTCGAGCACTTCACGCGGAGAACACGACTTGCTTGGATTTTTTTGGATTTAAGATTTGATCAGTGGTGGAGCAACATCGATGGAATCATCGATGGATCGATGTTTTCAGAGTCATCGGAGTTCGTTGGCGGTTATCGGCGTTGTCACATCTCTAAGCTGTTCAGGGTTAACATTTTCCTAACATAAATGTTAAGATGCATTTGACATTTGGCGCACTTTTTAAAAACTTATTTGTTTCCAGGATTAAATATACGAATACTTTAATTATCGCTAGTATTCAACAATCAATTGATTTATTACACGTAATACATACTTTGGGACGAATTATAATAAATAAAACAACCAATCTTTATTTCCCTGAGCGTCGGGACACCATTTCTATCACCTTCCTCGAATTCTGCTGTATTAAGTACCTGGTTATTCGAGTTCCTGATTTATTTTAAGAGCACTTACCTCCCCATGAACAGTTTTAGAGTATTCCGCTTAAGGATAAGCAGCGCAAAAACGATCATTCCAAAACCGATTCCCAAATAGTGGACCAAAATATAGATTGGTTGAAAAAAACTGTAGTTTTTAAAAAAATAGGAGAAATCCACAATCCAAATCGCGCCCATGACAACTGAGAGCCGCAAAAACATTACATAACTGAGAACAGAATTGGAAATTGTTATGCCTACTTACAAAATTGTGAAAAGGATAAGTTCTTACGTTTCATTATGAAAATTAAAGCATACTGCTCTTCTCTCTTCATCATGTTTTAGCCTTTCCAGTTTGCTCTTAACTTTCCAAATGTGAATGAGTGTTAAAATAAACATAATCACATTAAAAATGGTTAGAATCGCTGTGGGTGCAACAATGAATATCCATAAAGAGGTTCCCCAAGCTGTGGAAAAAAAGATATACATAAATGATAAAAACTTAGATAAATGTTTCTTTAATTCAGACCTTTTATCCTGCATCCAGTATAGCCAACAAATGGCATCCAGTTAAATTTGCGTAGGTCCATATCCCAAACTTGATTGATTATATAAATAACTCCAATGGGAAAACCAGACATGCCCCAAGCAATAGAACTGTAGGTAACAAACGAAAAGGGGTCATCCCTATTCATAGACGTCAATACTTTCCACAAATGAAAAACATGTGTTATCCCAGATAACAAGAGAAGCTATAACGCAATTATTCCCCTTATTAATTCCAGTCAACAAGTCACGTTTAACATTTACATATATATTCGTATTTCGCAGTTGCATTTTTTGCATATAGTTGTGTGTAGACCATACTATCAGCGGCTTATAAACATGATCAACAAAATACATACATGTGTTAATAAGAGTACGATAACAAGAAATAAGTGATCTGCGGTCGTGCCGAAGTAATGATGATGCTCTTTTCGTATAATGTCTGGTCTAAAAGGGATTCGCTCGGACACATAGTTATAGACGATAGTTAGTAACAACAGCTTACAACCGTAGCTAGGGTAAAAACGTATAGCTGCAGCTGGACAAGTACTTAGTAGACAATTAAAGGTATTCTTCCATTGGGCTAATCACCGGATAATTTGAACTTCGCTGTAGTAGTTTGTGTGGTGCAATCAATCGTTTCGCTTAACAACTAGCTGATAAACTCGGTATAATGTGGATTATCCCCTTCACGAAAGGAACGTGCGCACGAATCCCTTGATGTCGGCACGGCACATGGGACAATTGGCCACGCTGGGGGCGCACTGGTTGCAGGTGGCTAAGGGAAATCACACAGTTAGTTAGTCATAGCTCAAGGTAAAGGGATACTTTACTCACCCAAATGACCGCAGGGCAGGAACACCACGCCCACCTCCTCGTCCAAGCACACCTTGCAGAGGCGTGCATCCTTTAGCTGGCGGTTCTCCTCCTCCAGCGACAGGTTACCATTGGGCGTGGCCCCCACCGACATGTTTTGCATCTGGTCCGTGATCTTGGTGGTTTCCGCAACTGGCGGCGCAGCTACCTGCGGTTTGGTCGGTATGGAATCGGCCACTAGCACAGGCACCGCTGCTGCCTTGCTGGTGGTGGCCTGACATGTATCCAGAAAGGGGGCACTCGGCTCGGGGGGCTCACGCACCTCCAGGGCAGCCTCTGCGCCGGCCTCATCGAAGATCGCATGCAGCAGCTCGTCCAAGGAGGCAAAGGCGCAGCCCGAACTGCACAGTTTGCGCTGGATGGCATTTCGCACCACTCCGCCATCGATGCCCAAAGCAAGCGCCTCCTTTGCGGGCGCCTCGTCCATCAGTGCGTCCGCCTGAAGCGAAGGAGCCGGCGCCGTGGCTGGCGGGGATCGGGCGTTGGCTGCCGTCGCCTCGAGCACTTCTTTTACGTAGGCCGGTCCCTTGGCCAGCAGCACAAACTGGCACTTGGGCGACCACTTGGCGTGCTCGTGCCACGGTTCATCCTCCTTCTGCCAGGAGCGCAGGCCAATGTTGCAGTGGAAGCAGCGCACCTGGTCGCCTATTTTCTGATAATACAAGCCAGCCTGGGCCAGGCCATTCGCCGGCTGGATATTGGCAATGGGCCAGTCGGAGAAGGTTCGCATGCGGGCGTCCACACAGGCGTACTTCGGACGCAGCGGCAGGGTGGTGGGCTGGATGCCCAGCTCGTCCAGGTTCTTGCCGGCGGCAAACTCAATGAGCGGGCCCATCTGAACCCGCGGGCATTGCGGAAAGAAGCGGCGGTGCTCGTCGAAGGCGTTGTCGTTCTTCTCCCACTTGGCAATCACTCCGTTGCACCACACGCACTTCACGTGATCCAGGCGGTTCAGGTAGTAGAAGCCAGCCTTGGCCAGAGCCTGAGGCGTGATGTTGGGATTCTGGAAGGGAGATGGTGTGAGTTTTTTTATTTAAAAGGTTTACGGTCTCCAGGAATAAAGTTTTTCATTTAAGATAGTTGAATTCCTAATAGAATGGATTCAATGAATAATTTAGAATTTTTTGTTTTGTATGAATTAGAATTAGAATTTTGAGTTTAATAGAATTGAATGAATGAATGGCATGAGTTCCGAAATAATTCAAACGACAATTTCTTTTGAAGAAGAAAAGGCCATAATTTTGTGATTAAATCTGCATGAATTTTAATTTCGAAGCAGTTAACATTGATTTGTTAAAAATGTTCCACTTTTTGTTCTCAAAAAAAAGCAGAAAAAATTCATAAAAATTATTCATTCATTCAATTAATTCGAAATGAATTAGAAAAACATTCAATTTATTTTACATAGAATTGAATTAAACAAATCAGAAATTGATAAAACAAAATTTGAATGATTCACGCAGAGCTCTATTTACTAACGATTCTAACTTTTTGTAATAAATCATTTCAAATTTAATCGAAATGTTTTGCTCTTTTCAGTAGTTTAAAAATGTCGTAGTAAGTTGTAAAACATATGTGCTTTACTGATTGGTGATAAGTTGTAAGCTGTACTGATTGTTTCAAAGGGGATTCCCCCGGGGCTTATCAATTACGCAAAACAAGTGTATTTATAACTCAGCTTGGCGATTGGAAACCAATCCATAGTGCACGCTTTGGTGATTCACCAGGAAGCAAGCCAAGGGAAAACAGAGCAGTTTACTCACTGGCCAGTCCTTGAAGGTCTCCAGGCGATTGGCCTCCAGCAGGAGGTCGGGACAGGCGCAGGACTCGGGGCTGTCCACCACGCTGTTGCCCTCCTGGTCGCTGTTCTCCTGGCTCCGCGGGACATTGCCGCAGTGATTGGGCGCCAGGACCATGGAGCAGATGGGCGAGGAGCGGCGGTGTCGCTCCGCCACCTGGTCGCCGTACTCCCAGCTGTCGATGCGCACGTGGCAGAAGTGGCACTCGGCCTCCAGCCAGTTGCCCGTGGCGAAGAACCCATTCTCCACCAGATCCTCGGCGGAGACGGGGGCATTCAGTGGCCATTCCCCGAATGTCGCCAGGCGAACGCTCTCCACCTCCAAGTGCAGCTCCGTCATCGTGTCGTGGCTCTGGCCGGGATTGGGGATTAGCAGGCCTCCCTCCAAATGATGTAATGTCACCAGCGGAGTCACCAGTTAACGCGAAAGGGGAAATAAAAACAAGGCAAAGAAGAAAAAGTAAACTTATTGATCCCAGAGATGGGCGAGCCACTAACGATGGTATCGATAGTATCGATATTGATTCCAGTGTGACCAGAGAGTAGTGTGGGCACTAGGGGTGTAATTTAAATCGAATTTTAAAATTTAATTTTGAAGTAACTTCTGGGGCTTGTGGAGTAAAATTCTTTCTATATTTTTTATTTTTATAAATAGATATATAATAGTTCTTCCAATTTAAGTTTCATGGCCGTTGTTTGATGATATTAGCAAACCGACTAAAATTGTACAATTGTTAAATTTAAAGAAGGGTTAAAACCATGATTTTTCAGACGATTCGGAGGTTTTAACCCTACTTTAAATTTAACAAGCGGACGAGAAAATGGCCCTTAATGAATTAGCGATTTTTCAGTGGATGGATCTGTATAATCTATGAACCGCTGATTGAGTTATGTAGATGGGTGAAGGCTATCTTGAAATAGACCTCTCTCTTCCCCTACAAACTGAATTAAAACCAAATAATTAGGATCAGAAGTCGACTTTATGTGATAACCTTTTCCTGGTTATGTGTGCAGCCAAAAAATATGAAGATAAGACCAGTGTTACGAGATGTAGATTAAAGCTAATCCAAGCAGACGCCAGCAGTATAAAATTCCGCTCTAAGCGAATCAGTTGTACCATTAAAATTAGGCACTCAAAATTTCTGATTAACATGAAATTAATCAGACTATTTCTTTCGGTAGTGATTTTCGTGTTCTTATTAATAGGGAAGGCGAGATCCAATTACCTAACGTCGTATTCGGATCTCATGAGGTCCTATATGAATGTCAGTGTAGAACCCTGTCACGATTTCTACGAGTATGCCTGCGGAAACTATGGAAATGTAAAGCCAGAAGTGCGGTCCAGTTTCTATGACATCAATAAAATCACGAGAGATTTGGTGGGCATGACGGATCTGGCGGAGACCCTCAACGTGTCCGTGGAATTCGAGGTGGCTCAAAGGTTCTACAACACCTGTCTAGAGGCTAATCTCTATCCGTTCCATGCGAATGATCCCGCCTTCCTAGAGCTCATCCGGTCGATTGGAGGTTTCCCCGCCGTTGATGGTGCCGCTTGGAATGCCTCCAACTTTAGCTGGTTCAATATGAGCGCCCATATGCTAAATTACGGGGCAACAGGACTGTATCGTGAGGAGCTCTCACCGCAACATCCCTTTGAAGCGAGCTTGGGTACCTCATGGTTGGGATTCGATGCCATTGCAAATCTGAAGGCCGTGGAAAGTGCAAGTTCTCACGCCTTCCGAGTGAACGAGGAGCGGATGCGCGGTTACCTTAGATCCTTTGAACTTCCTGAGGATAGGATAAACAATGTCATCAAGGGGGTGTTTACCTTCTGGCTTGAGGCTGCGGCAATACTTGGAGTAGGTCAATACGATACCGACTTTGACGTTACCAACTATTTCGAGATCGCCTGGAACAAGAGCAATAGAACATCTGTTAACAACTTTTATCTCGTGGAAATGGACAAGGTCTGTGCCCGGCATCCTGAAGCGGCGGCCAATTATCTGGCGATGAAGTTGCTCTACACATTCGACGCCAGACTTGAGGCGTCCCAGAATAACAACGATTATTGCACTACAAAGCTTCGGGATTCCATGCCGTTTCTGTTTGACAAACTTTACTTGGCGGTGAGTTTTGACACACAGGAAAATTTCATAAATACACACTAAAAAAAACCTGGTAAAATTAACTTATTTAATTGTCAAACAGTCCCCAGCAACAAAAATTGTCAATTCTATTAATTAAATAGTTACTTTCACAACAACAAATATTTTTTATAGTTACGTAACTATCTGTATAGGTAAATTTTACCAATCTAATTTTTTTTGTGTAAAATAAACTTTTATTGTAATAAAAAATGGTCGAATTGGAGCTTGTAATGCTGAGGTTTCAAGGAAATTATATTAAAATTAAAATCAAATTAAAATTTTGGAAACTGAAATATTTAAATAAGACATTTTTTATTATCTTTTTCTTACAGGTGCATTTTAGGGAGGAGAAAAGTAGGGAAATTTCTGAAATTGTGGAGGAACTACGAAAAAGCCTAAGGGCGCTTGGAAATGTCGACTGGTTGCGCTCGGAGTCTCGTCAGAAGATACTGCTCAAGGAATCCAGCCTTTCGTCTCATGTCGGGTCCATAGAGGACAAAAAGCTCACCGATCGTCTAGTCCGGGAGTATCGTCGCCTGGAAATAGTCAAAGATAACTACGCTGCCACCATTATTAATCTGCAACGCCTCAAAGTCGAAATAGATCGCTATAGCACCCGCCACTCCGGGGAGCTGCCTAGTAACACCAAGCCCCAGGAACTTTTATTGGCTATGCAGGAGCTGGCGGCCTACAATCCCATAGATAACTCCATTAACATCCTGGCCGGCATCCTGCATCCACCGCTTTACCATCAATCCTGGCCAATCTCCATGAAATTCGGCGCCTTGGGCTCCATTGTGGGACACGAGTTGGCCCACAGCGTCCATACGTTATCCTGGTTTGGGGTACGATGCTTTGTGGATTTCTATAGTGACTACCTGGTTCCCGAGATCGATCGCTATATCAATGGAGAGGCTTCGGTGGAGGAGAACATTGCCGACAACGCTGGATTGCAACTCGCAGTAGCAGCCTATCGCAGCTATAGGAATGAATCTCTGGAGGATCAGCGAATGCCGGGAATCGACCTGCTGCCCGAGCAGCTCTTCTTTCTGGCTTTCGCTCAGCATTATTGCTCTGATTATAAGGAGGAAAACTACTGGATGAAACTGAACAGTGAACACACCATTCCAAAGTACCGGGTTCTGGGCAGCTTGTCCAACAACAAGGACTTCTTCAAGGCCTTCAATTGTGCCGAGGGAAGGGGCATGCGACCATATGGAGGAACTTGCTCAAGTTGGTAGTTTTAATAAAGCGAGCAATGCCGGAAAATTAAATATTAAAAAATAAGTTCATTGTACCCTATTTCCTTATTTTATATGGGACAGTTTGAAATAAAACGTTGATTTTACATCCTTTTTCTGTGATATTATCTCGTGAGCAACTAATAGTTCTACTTGGTAACAATAACCATATTTTTATTTGAAAGTTTAACAGGAATTTTCCTCAATTCAAAAATAGGGGAAGTACCCAAAATAAATAAATATAAGTTAAGGTCACACCTATGCATGCTAGTACGTTCCAGATATTTCTGGAGAATCACAACACAGCCTACTATTTTCACAGCTGTTCAACCAAATAAACGACAAAATGCACCCAAATCTCTTGTTTGTTTTCTGTGAGTTATTATTGTTTTAAGGCTGTTTTAATAGCACTAACAATATCCAATTCCAGTGCTCTGTGCCGCTGCCACTCGTGCCCAGGCGGAACTATCCGGACTACTGAGTGCCCTCCACTATTTCGGGCTCTACTCGAATGGAACATCGGACTCCCTGGGCATTTCACGGGGGCAGTGCCACTACAGCTTCGAGACCTTCGCCCTGCTGGAGGAGCGTCGCACCTGCGCCCCGGATGACGAGCACATCCTGCACCTGACCCAGCTGGCTCCGCCGGTGCGAAAGCCACCCATGATGATCAAGTGCCTGCAGCAGGAGCCTCCTCCGGAGAACGAAACTTCCCCGGAACCGGGACTGCTGATCATGCACAGTGCCAAGGAGATTGTGAGTCTGCTGAAGCCCGTGGGGAACGCCACCAAGCGCCACGAACCGGGCAGCTGTGTGGTGGTCCACTTCTGCACTGCCTCCAGCTTGGAATGCGCCCGAGTGGCTCCCATGATGAACCTGCTGCCCCATTTCTTCCCCACCCTGCCCATCGCCTATGTGGATGCCTACGAGTTCGGGCGCTTCAACGCCGAGTTCGGCATCGTTTCGCTGCCCACGCTGATGATATTCCACCAGGGCAGGCCGCTCATCAAGTACGATCCCTCGTGGTCGGACTCGGAGAAGCGCAGCTTCGCCCGCTTCATCATGCGGCACACGAATGTGAAGACCGTGGATCCGCAGGCCATTCATCCGGACGTGTTTAATCGCACGCGGAGAGAACCCCTGTCCAATGTACCCATCGTGCAGACGGACTACTACCTGGTCTTGGCCTGGGCCTTCATCCTCGCCTGCCTGGCCAACTATCTGCGGCAGACGGTCTTCTGGAAGCAGCTGGTGGAGATGGTGCAGCGCAACTGGCGGGAATCGGAGGAGACGCAGATGGAGATGGTGGACTAGTTTAGTTTAGTTAGAAGACGCTTTAGAGGATTCACTAATATAATGTAATTACCGTTTAATTAAATTCACATCAACATTTACTTAAGCCTTACGAATTACATGTATTGGGGAATCGGTAAATGGTAATTGTAGTGTTTTCTAAGTTTCTGTTCGCCGTAATTTAAAGCTTAGTGGCTAACGAAATCTAGAAACTTGAGAATTAACCAAATAATTCAAACTTAAAATTACGATTTCATATATTATGCATTACTTTCATTGAATTTTCGATTAGGTGTGAGAGAGTGTAATAATTCCGGCGTTGAATAGTCACTTTTGTTGTATGCAAGTGTAAGCGGTTGGATCTGCAACCTGCGTGGGCAATCAATCAATAAGATATTACAGAACAACTGAAGAGGAAAGTTTGTTGAAAATATCTAAAATGGTTAGTCTGCTGTAACATAAAGATGCTCTGGAACAGGACCAACGCTTGCTTCCAGTGGTTTTGAGTGTGCGATTTGGAAGATGTTGGCTACTACTGCTTCTTGCCGCGCTTGCCCGCCTTTGAAGGATTGGCCGCCTCGTCCTCCGTGTGCTGGTGCTTCAGGACGCGCTGTTGGCGCCTCGGATGGGCGGCATAGGGATGTGGGTGTATGCTGCATCGGGGGGAGCAAAGACAGATTCTCATTAATCAATATAAACACGATCTTATAGAAGTAGGTATACAAAACAAAAGATACACATAATCATTCGTACAGAGGCCAATTCGAACGCAAGTGGAAATTTAATGACAGGAAGAGAAGGTCAAAAGAGCAATGATGTGGGTGATGTGAGCAAGCTAGTGATGGAGTCGTAGGATTCGCGCGTAGTTAGTCGTAAGTGGAGGCGCAGCAACAGCAGCAGCAACAACAACGTTACAATTTTGATTAGCGTCGATGGCCAATTAAACGTCGCGTAGTGTCGTAGGATTACGGATTGGCGAGGAATGCAGACAGAGAGTTAGATGTGTGTGGGAAGGTGCGGCCTTACACGTAGCTTGCAGCCGTAGATGTGGTTTTTAACTGCTGGTTCGATGGCTCGAAGGACCAAAGGATCGAAGTTCTGGTGGCGATGAGGCGGAGCGTAGCGTTGGTGGCGCCTTCGGTTAGTAGAGTGCATCTCGTCGTTGTTTTTTCGATTACATATATGATATTTATCTGTATTAGCATTGGTTTTTTGGTATTTTGGGTACGGTTTCCGCTCTACTTGCGGTGATACCGTGAATTATAAAGACGCCAATCTCTGCATGATTTGGAAAGTACAAAAATGTTGATGGAGAAGAGAAGAGAGAGCGAGATGTCGTTAATACACTTGGGTAAATGGTATATTACAAGATCAAGTCGTGGCTGCCCAGGAGTTAAGTTAAGTAATCATTAAATCGGACTTAAAAACCCTTGCATTAAACTTCGGCTGCCCGAAGAGGGATTTGGATTTGGTTAGGACTTGACAAGCAGATGAAGTTCGAAGCCAACATAGTCTAGGTTACTAGGTTAATCCCAAAGCGCCGGCTCCGGCCGATCTCAAACAAACCTTGGCGAAGTGGACACCGTGGCCAGCGGCGAGGAGGGCGGTGTTCGCAGTGGGCGGCGGGGCGTGGCCAGGCCATGGCCATTTCGCAGGTACGATCGACGAGAGCTCACGTAGTTATTGTTGTTTCCGCTGCTTAGATCGTAGATAGCTGGCGAAGATGTTGCTGCTGCTGCTGTTGTTGCAACGCTGCCACTGAGTTGTCGTAGTTGTAGTTATAGTTGTCGCAGTATGGAATCGAGTCGAAGAAAAGTTGGAAAAGATTACAACAATACTTTTGGGAGACGGGGCTATGCTAGTTGGCCATCCAGTTCATTCAACGCGGGCTTTGTGAGTGGGTGAGATATCATGGCGAACGAAGAAGAACGAAAGGAGTCGTGGGCAAAACGAAAACGGAACAAACGAAAGATGTTGAGAGCTTAAGTTGCCGCCTACCTCTGTGCATTTTATGATTTCGATTCGATTCGATTTTCGTTTCGTTTGAACGCAGTTGGGAATGTAATTAGCAGAAATTTATAGTATGCAATTCGGTTTCTGTTTTTTCGGATAGTTAGTAAAATATACTGTATGTACTTTAGATTTAGTAATTATATCTGCAAGTAAATACAAACGTTTCAATTTAGCAGCAGTTTTGTGACAGGATTTCTTTTGGTTAGTTTGGGGGGACAATCTGTGGATTGGGCTGCAGCGAATCCTACACAATCACGCGCACGGAACAGGGACTCGGATGTGGTTGTGGGGTGATCCTTTACTCACCTGTTCTGCGGTCCCGTTGGCGCACTGGAGTAATGACGTCCCGCGGCGGAGCGAACCGGCGGCTGCTCCTGGATCACACAGTCATCATCGTCCTCGTCGTCATCCTCCACCGGCTCAATGGTCAGCGTGGAGGTGTGACCAGCCGGACGGGCGGGCATGATGGCCTGCATCCCAGCGCCGCCGCGATGACCAGACTGTACGCCTCCGCGAGATGCGCGCGACGTGAATTCGCGGTCGAACTGCTCGGCTTCCTCCTCCTCCAGATTGATGAACTCCTGGCGCTCCTCCAGCTGGCCGGAGCGCATGTCCTGCTCCTTCTCAATGATGTGGGCCCGCTCGCCGATGTGGTGGCCAATGGCCATCTTCTTTAGCCCGGTGCGCGAGTCCTGCACCGTCTTGCGGGTCTCGCGAACGCCGCCTGGTCCGGTTTTGGTGCTAGTGCTGGCCTGGTAGATCTGCGGACGGCCGTCGGGGCCCGAGGACATGGTCATCACGGTGCTCTGGCAAAAGGAGGCGCCCGGATTGGCGCCAATATCTGAAATAAAGGAGTTTAAGGAGGGATCTTAAAAGGGAAACTGATAGAAATACCCACCAGCATTCAGCAAACGATTGAAGTTGGGCATCATGGGCATTCCAAATAATCCCATGGCGGGCATGGCCGGCATCTGGGGACGCTCCATCAGGGCGCCTTGCTGGAAGCCCGGGTCGAAGGGCGAGACCTGCATGAAGGGATCCGGCATGAAGGTGTTCATCAGGCGGTTCATCGAGCGCATCTGCATGTTCATCGCGTTCATCGTGTGGTTCATGTGATTGCTGAAAGGTAGGGATATCAGTAATAAGTTGGATTTTCTAGAGGTTTTTCTTGAGTTACTCTGGCTCCATTTGGGCGCGATTAGCCCTGTTACTAGGTGATTTTCTTTTACGTTTGTTATTCATTCTAAACTGAGCCTAAAAATAGTTTTTACCGCAGCCAAACTGAATGATTTGTAGACAGATATCAGGGCATAGTGATAAAAGCAGCGTAGCCTGTTGTGTTTTAGTATCAAGTGAGGGTCTCGTGGGCCATTCCGTGGGTCACTTTGCGGTGGGGTCTTATCTGAAGACCGAGTGACAGGGGGAAACCTTTGAAATATTGCATTTTTCCCATTGCATTTCTCTGCGGTCGCTCGATTCGAATTATCGATTATTACGTCTTCTCTTCACGCATGCTGCACACACACACACATACCCACGCATGGAAACTGCTGTAAGTTTTGGCACGCTATATATTGCTAATTTCTGGGGCTTTAGTTCACCTATTCACACAGCCAATTCAAGACTGTATTACACCTTAATTTGCAATTGCTCGAGTGTTTTTCCACGCCCCAAAAAGGCGTCACTGGGTGCACACGTATGGCAATAAACGGGGCTTCTTCCACAGGAGCGCCGCTCGATTTTCCCCCCGTTTCGTACTTACTTCATTAGACCGAGATCGTCGTCAAAGTCCCCCATCAAGGCTCCAAACAAAGACATTGTCCTGGCTTTTCTTGGCTCGCAGTCGCTCGCGATTTTCCGTTTTCCGTGTGCAGAATTTTCACGAATTTTCACGAATTTTCACGAATTTTTGAGATAGTGATGTGCAAGACGTCGATACACGGAGAATCGTATTTTTTAGCTTATATCGATTTGTTTCTATCGATGTTTGCTGATTGCTGGACAATTTTGATGATATCGACTTGTAAATATTAGCGGCTTAATTCAAAAGCTTTGAATCAAAACTTAATGTTAATCTTTTTCCGTTATTTCCAATAGAAAACTTTAAATTGATATAAAGAACCATAAACGAGGTTTAATTCAGTTCTTTCCAACAGATATGCAGTTACAAAACGTAAAAGTATTGCGCAGTGTTATTAATACCCATACAAAAATTTTTTAAACCGCGGTTTTCATTCAAGATTAATGAAAAATAAAGATTTTAGGCGATTGGTGACGCTTTGCATCTTTCAATCACCATCTCTTCAGCCTTTTCTTTTGGATTATTTATATAAAATCACGTTTTGAAATCGGTCACGTGTTTTATCGATTTCATTTAAACTACTCGTTTTTTGCTACGTGCTTTTGCCACCTGACCTAACAAAATCCATCTTAACCCTTCATTGAGTTATTACTTAAGAAAATTAATAAATCAGGTTATTTATGTACCCATTTTATAAAATTTTTATTAGGAGGCAACTTCTATAAATTGAGCACATAATGTTCAAAAGATGTTACCTATATCAAATAGGAAAACAATGTATATTAAGAAAAACCGGTTAAATATGTAAAAACAATGTTAAAATATCTTTAGTTCTGTGTTTTGTGAATGCTCATTATATTTATTATTTATTAATTAAATGTAAAAGTTATATTTTGTTCGATTACTTTGTTCGCTTTCAGCTTGTAAATCCTTCCAAACTCTTTACAGGTAGGCCTCCGCCTGCTCCTCGATCCAAGCGATGTGGGAGTTGACGCTGGTGTAGACTCCGGGGAATCCTTCCCTGCCGCAGCCCACGCCCCAGGATACGATTCCCACGAGGACTCCGTCCACAGCCAAGGGGCCACCGGAATCGCCGTTGCAGGTGTCCTTGCCACCCTCTAGGAAGCCGGCGCAGAGCATCTCCTCGGTAATGGTGTAATCCTTGGTCAGATACTGGGCTCCACAGGTGCCTCTCTCCACGATCTCCAGCTCAACGGCCCGCAGCATGGCGGGCAGAGCCTCATCCTCCTCGGTCCGCTTGCCCCAGCCACTGACAACGGCATGGGCTCCCGATGGAGGAGCCTCCAGGGCCAGGGGAATGGGTTGCACCAGGGCGGAGTACACCAGAGGCTCCCTTGTAATGATCAGACCGATATCATTCACATACGTCTTCTTGTTATAGCCAGCATGGGGAATCAGCTTGCTGACCTTGACGCCCTGCTCCTCCAGATCGGCAATCGAGTTCTGGCCAGCCACAATCCGGATATACGAGGCGAAGCGTCCCTTGATGCAGTGACCAGCGGTGATCACAACCGACGGGGCGTAGACACTGCCTCCGCAGATGTGGAGCAGCATGTAGGTCTCCAGGCGAACGGAAACCTGGTAGGGATAGTCTGCGATGTCCGCCTGATCGCCACCCACAATGTGGGGGCTTATAAACGCGGATTCCGAGAGGATTACCAGACCCAGTAGTCCCAAAAGACACAAACCCAAACGCAGCAACATTTCTGAAACTCTGAAAGTGGTTCGATTCGGACTCCTTATATAGGGCTAAAGCCAGCTGCTTATCACTTATCACAAAAAACGACGAATTTAGCGATCATCCCCGATAGGCAATTTGGATTTTCATAAAATTCTGCAGCGATATCGTAAAGTTTATAGGACTCACAGCCCAATACGTTTTATATCCATTATAAACTGGGCGGTGGTCTTCTAAAGACCAAGCCAATTGGCCAGTTGAGGGGAACCCAAATGGGGATTATCAGCAGGTAGTTCTGTTGACTCACTGATCGGTCTTATTTCATTAGCCATTGAACTTTACTCGTCAAGACTGACGAATGAGTCTAGTCCAAAAACTGTAATCTTAGTCGCGAAATCCATGGAATCGTGTCTCCAGATAAGTGCCGTCGGAAAGGCGGGCAGAGATTTATTTACCATATTAATCGGTGGTGCGAGGGTACTCATAAGAAAAGTACAAGTAGCGATAGTCTAATCAGGTTGATAACCATAATAATAATGGGTCGGTTAATAAAGATTCTATAAAACGAGGCAATTACCAACTTATTAGGGTGTTCCAAAAAAGGAAAATGGTATACCATTTCATATATGAAAGGAAAAATTGATAGGGTATAAGTAAACAAGAGTATTTTTAATGAATGAATAAGAAATTTGACACATCCGAGTGCCGTAAACAACAAAATAGTACAAACAGAAGTTTTCGCGGAAATAATTCCCGAATATATTTTTTCGAATTTATGATGACGTTAAAAGCCCGAGTATCGGAATGCGCAAATTCTGGCGACTAAACTGTAAACATAAGCGATTGATGTAATCAATATCTTGAAGAGGCCCGTCAGACGGGCTGAATATCTGAGCAAAGTGCGATCCCCCTGGCACGCGTCTGGAGATCTCCATCTTCCACTCAAATCGTTGAGTCTGAAGTGCCACTGGAGGAATCGCCTAGGGTCTGTGACTATTCCAAGAGAGAGGTGTACATAGATCAAATAAGCTCAGATCCACAGAGGGCACAAAACGGATAATTGATTGCCACGCCACTTGGCCGGAGCATCCAAGCCAGCATCACCTCCACTTCTAGCTACTTAGCACTTCGAGTGCCGACTAGTTGGCAATTACTACTTATACTCGATACTCTCGGGTACCGGGTATCGGGTATGGGGTATCGGGGGCGACGATGGAGACGCAGCTCACGTACGCTCGGAAGCATTTTGAGCCGCGCATCTTTCTTTCGGCGCGTTTAAGCCGAGCTTGATCAGCCCAAATCGGTTATAAATAGACGACGCCCGGCGGAGGTCCAGCATTTGCAGCTCATCAGTCGGCGGAAGTGACTCTGGATAATAAGACCCAATATCGGATTTACCTTTTAACTCAATTGACCGTCCGTGTGCGGCTCAGCCAAGTGATTGTGGCAAGGACTTTTTGTGATTAAAGATTAAAGATTTAAAATATAAAGTGACTCAAAATGTTTGTGGAAAAAGTGGTGAGTGACAAAAGTTATAAATTATAACTTAAATTCATAACAAACCTAGACAAATCTGTAGAAAAAATTAAAATTTGTAAAGCACGAAAATATTTAGTGATGATTTACTAAGGATATAACCAACGAATTATATTATACGCGGAAAGCAAATAATCAGAATTTAAATAAAGTGTTCATTTAGGAGTACCAGAAATGGTCATATAAAATTTTAAATTGAAATAAAATTTGGAGAGCAACAAAGGATTTATTAGAGGATTGTAACCTTCATAAAATAAAGAAAATTGAAAAAAACGTTAAATTTAAAGGGCCAGTTAAAAAAATGTTTTATCTAAAACCATAAAGTAAAAAAAAAAAAAAAAAAAAAAAAAATAAAAATAACATTTAGAAAGAAGATAAAAAAATCGCTATTTTAAAGAAAATTAAAAAGCTAATATTTTTCTATTCATTCTAATTCCATTTTTACACTGAATTATCTCACCTGTCTTGGTTGATCAGTTTAAAGATGAAACATTTTTAACCGGAATTACTTTGGGGCGTTAGATTCCAGCGGGCCATCTTAACTCAACGAGTAGCATCTCGTTTCGGAAGACCATTATGATAATTTATGAAATTAGTGGTAAATAATCATGATGTATATTTATTAGTAAGCAGGTGCCAATTGGCGAGCAAACACGTGGGTTCTGCACACCTAGCAGCCTGGATATGCCGTGCCCAAAAAAAAGAAATAAAAATAAAAAGAAATAGAAGAGCGGAAGCCTTCTGGACGCTTCGCCGGTTTTTGGTTAAATATTGAGCTGATTAAACAAAGATATTGGGGGTTGTTGGACCTTGTGTTCGATCCCCTTGAGAGTTCCTAATTGCGAACTATTTTCGGGGCAACAGCAGGCGTGGGCGTTATGGATCAGATTGAAACTCGGTTTCCTTCTACAGTATCTACTACTAAATCTAACGAGGCATCAGAACAAATTGTGAGATTAACCGCTTCATGCCGAGATTCGATATTCGGCAACTGGGCACCATGCCCGCCAATACCGCTGGTCTGTGGAAGCGGGTGACCTTTCTGCTGGCACTTCCGGCCATCGGCCTGTGCGCCCTAAATGCCTTTTCCGGCCACAAGCATGTTGAAAGGGAGCCGTTCGCCAAGTACGAGTATATGAGGCGCAGGACCAAGCGGTTTCCCTGGGGAGATGGCAATCGCAGCCTGTTCCACAATTCGGAGGTAAACGCTTTGCCCGAGGGCTACGAGGATGAGGTGGCTGAAGAGGACTGATATCGTTTTTCCTAACATTTTTCCCATGGTGAGAGAGAGAGATCATTGTATTTGATTTCTCCATGATATAATTTTATCCCCTTAGAACATCCTTTGGTAAATTGGTCTTAAGACTTGTGACCCCTCGTTTGCAGATTCTTTGCAAGTAATAAATTCATCATTGAGATCTGAGTCAGCTTGTGGTTTTACTTGACCATGAAACCTGTCGCATATGGTATATGGCTAATGGTTCAGAACCAAACAATGAGTTATGGGAAGGGGTGATGATTTGTGTGGGAACTGGCCAACAAAAGCCTGTCCCTGGAATTTCGGTGATATTTCGGCGATCATCATTTGTCATGTTTTGTGCCTTTGCCCATCGTAACCTGTTGCACCACTGACACGAAAAAAAAAACCAAAGCAAAGTAACACGTACAGCGAGAGGTGCTTTAATCGATCTTTCGGGCACACGTACATACATATCTGTTTCGATGCGAAAGATCGCATCGCATCGCTCATACGCCGTGTTGGCCCAAGCAATTCACACCGCAGTTAGATACATAACTTATACTTTCGTTGCGATTACGATTACGATAGCGTGTGTGTGTTTGCCGAAAAACTTGCGACACGCGGCAAGGGCAAGTCCAAGTACTCCAAGCTGCCAAGCTTTCAAGTACGAATATCTAAGTGCTCCGAGATGCCAGTTAATTAGACTCCAAATACCGCGAATAGTGCGTAGCTGATGAAGTGTGCTCAAGAGCCTGGGTTCTCGATAGCAAACCAAATATTGACCTATGTAAGCAATTATGCACCTGACTTATCTCTACCCCTCTTCCATTTCCAGCTAGAACGAGCCACCAAGTTGGAGCTGTGCTCGATCCTGATCCTCGTGGTCATTAGTCTGAGCATCTACACCTTTTACGCCACCCTGAACTCCTATCTGAGATCGGTGCTTCTCTCGCTGAGACTCACGGGTCCACCATCTCTGCCTTTTTTGGGCAACTGCATGCTGGTCACCGATAAGAATGGTAAGATCAAGATTTCAAAAATTATTTAAAATCGTTTTCAACCGCTAAACTACAGAAATCTCATTCAAGAAAATATTAAATGAAATTCTTTAACTATTTGGTTGGAATTTGGTGTGGAGAGATTTGTGTTTACAACCTCTTATAAAGAATTAAATCAGTAATTTTTTCCCATAATCCTCATCTTGCAGTGATGCGAAAATGTGCAGGCAAGGCCTTCGATCTATATGGCTCCCTAGTGCGGATATGGGTGCTATTCTTCCCCTTTTTTGCCGTTCTGGAGCCGGAGGATCTGCAGGTCATACTCTCCTCCAAGAAGCACACCAACAAAGTCTTCTTCTACCGGCTGATGCACAATTTTCTGGGAGATGGCCTGATAACCAGCAGTGGGTCCAAGTGGAGCAATCATCGCCGTCTCATCCAGCCGGCTTTTCATCACAACCTGCTGGAGAAGTTCATAGACACCTTTGTGGATGCCTCGCAGTCGCTGTACGAGAACCTGGATGCCTCCGCCGTGGGCACAGAGATCAATATCGCTAAATATGTGAACAGTTGCGTTCTGGATATACTAAATGGTGGGTCTCCAAAGGAATTTATACCCATTATATCTCTACCTAATCTTTAAACCCCTCACAGAAGCCGTTTTGGGTGTGCCCATCAAGAAGAGGGGCCAGGATGCGGTCAGCATGGAGGATTCACCCTTCCGCCAGGGCAAGCTCATGATGCCCACGCGGTTTACGCATCCCTGGCTGCTGCTCGATGGGATCTACCACTGGACGAAGATGGCCAACGATGAGCTGAACCAGAAGAAGCGGCTCAACGACTTCACCCGCCAGATGATCCAGCGACGTCGGCAGATCCAGAACAATAACAATGGAAGCGGGGAGCGAAAGTGCCTGCTGGACCACATGATCGAGATCTCCGAGAGCAATCCGGACTTCACGGAGGAGGATATCGTGAACGAGGCCTGCACCTTCATGCTGGCTGGCCAGGATTCAGTGGGCGCCGCGGTGGCCTTCACCCTCTTTCTGCTCACCCAGAATCCCGAGTGCCAGGAACGCTGTCTCCAGGAGCTGGAGACTATCTTTGGGGGTAGCAACCGAGCGCCCTCGATGAGCGATCTGCACGAGATGCGCTACATGGAGATGTGCATCAAGGAGGCACTGCGTCTGTATCCCAGTGTTCCGCTGATTGCCCGCAAACTGGGCGAGGAGGTTCGTCTGGCGAAGCACACTTTGCCCGCCGGCAGCAACGTCTTCATCTGCCCCTATGCTACCCATCGTCTGGCCCGGATCTATCCAGATCCGGAGAGGTTCCTGCCAGAGCGATTTTCGCCGGAGAACTCGGAGAACCGTCATCCCTACGCCTTCATTCCGTTTAGCGCCGGACCGAGATATTGCATTGGCAACCGCTTCGCCATCATGGAGATCAAGACCATTGTGTCTCGGTTGCTCCGCAGCTTCCAGCTGCTCCCGGTGACCGGAAAGACCACCATTGCGGCCACCTTTAGGATCACCCTGAGAGCCTCCGGGGGTCTGTGGGTGCGCCTAAAGCCCCGCGATCATCCGATCATCGATCACTGATCACTGATCGTTTTTCGTTACATTAACTTTAATTAGTACGGTAAATATGTATATAAATCGATACAATAATTTAAACACTTAGCTTCCTCTAGCCTAAGTACATTTCCTCTGACTGGAGGGAGTGCATCCATCCATCCGCTGGGATGGCGACATATCCTACTGTGAGTGGGTGTGTGTGTGCGGGTCTGTCTGTATTTTGGATCCTGGATTGTAGTCGCTTCGCAATCGCTTCATATTCGAGTGTTCGTAGAGTTTCTCTGGGGTTTTCCGTTGCCTAAACAATGCTATATCTGCTATATCTGTAATAAAGTTATGCTGGTCGGCCATTAACCGACTTAATCTAGGACGTGATATGCTGCGTTTCGTTGTTGAATCGGTTGATGAGACGTCTGGCGCGTGATTCGCGATTTGTCTCCGTGTTCGCTAGATTGCCATTGCCATTACTGCTGCTTTTGCCATTGCCGAATTGCCGCTGAGCACTGGCCACCGTCTGATGTTGGGCCAGTCGCTCGGCGGCCTCACGGACACGTTGGCTCATCAGCCGCGTCGGCGTGGCGGATCGCTGGGGCAGCGGGGAACTGGGCATGGATCGCGCCTGAGGAGGTTTGCCTTTGGAGGATCCACTGGGCAGGCTGGAACCGGTGCCGGTGCCTCTTCCAGTTCTCCCCGACTCCTCTGCTGTAAAATGATAAGAAAGGGGGTTAGTAATGCTGGAGTTATGAAAGATGGGACCTAAACGGATCTCAAAGTAAGGATCATGATCATAAAGGAAGGTTTTCCTATGAATATGCTGTTAAATATCATTCCGCTAACTGATTTTTTTTAAACAATGGGTTACTTTTTAAAAACAAATGGAGTATGGCTGTATAGATATTGACCTATATCTTATTAAAATTAAACTTGAGTATTTGGGAAAATAAAATGGATAAAGCCAGCATAGAAATGTTACGTCAAGTTAATTTTGTAAAAAGGAAGTAGGGATAAGAATTAAAGTTATTTAGTAGCAATTATACAAATTATCAGATTAGTCTCCTCTTCAAAAATTAATAAGTTAAAAACCCTAGGCAATACTTTAAAGATCCGTTTCGGGCCATGAACAAAAGTTACTTCTACTGATGCGTCCCACACTCGCCACCTTGGCTATTTTGAAGGGCTCAAAGGCAAGCGGAGGTTTGTTAGCAGCGGATGCGGATGCAGAAGCAGGAGCAGGGGCAACCTGGAACCTGTCCTTCAGCTGGGACACCTTCAGCTTGGACTCACACAGAGGCTTGACTTGGGCCTTGGACTTTGGTTTCTCCCGGGCGGCGCTGTCCTCCAGTGACTTTTTGCGCATCTTGATGGTGTTGGTAAAGTCGGAGCGCATGATGGCCTCACTGCCCTTGGTGGGCAGTTCCAGGGTGACGGGATGGAGCTCCGTGTCCGGAACCACTGCTGGTGAGGAGGTGCTCGCCTTGGCTATCGCCTCCAGCTTTGACTTGGCCAACGAGAGCAGGAGTGTCTCCTGGGCGCCACTGCAATTGGAGCACTCGCTGTAACCGGAGTCACTTCGTTCACTGCACTGTGACTTATCGCGCAGCTTGAGAACGGTACGCTTCTCCACTGGCGGCATCTCCACGCTGAAGTCGTCCTCCTCCTCGTGGAGGGAGGTCATCTGGGAGCTCATCCCACTGCCAATGGGGGTCAGCATGCCCAGTCCCGAAATCGAGGGCCTTGGACTACTCAGTGCTCCCATGGCAATGGCAGAGTTCCTGCGCGACACCGACAAATTGGCCATGCGACCCAGAGCACGGATGGCATTACCCGTTTTCTGGAGGATTAGCAGGAGCAGCAGCAGCAGAAAGCGGGGTTAAGAAGGTAGCAGCACTGGGTTAGGATCTTAAAGAGCAGTGGGCTTGGAGCTTTTACTAACCTGCCACTTGCGCCGAATGATGAACTTCTTCAGCTTGTCCGTGCAGATCTTGTTATTGCTGAGATTGTCGTCGTGGCGCTGGCACAACCACTTGGACTCCAGGCACTGCTGGGCGGTCAGGCGCTCCTCCTTCCGGTGAACCAGTAACTGTGAGATAAAGTCCTTGGCCTCCTGGGAACTATTAAAAAGGGGTTTACATAAGTAAGGGATACGGATAGAATGTAATTTTCATTTGTGTTAAAAACAGGGATCGTAAATAATCATTATTTGAGATATTTGGTTTAAAACGTCAAAAATAACGTTCTTTTTACTCTTGTCCACAAAGTATATGCATTTCAACAAATCTGTAAAGCAAATTAACTGTTATTTGTTCATGTCTATAAAGTGCATAGAAACCAGTTAAATTGTTGATTAAAACTTGTAAAAAACTCAGTAGGTCTTTTAAAATAAAAATCTCAAATAATGATTATTTACGGTCCCTGGTTAAAAACACAGTGTGTAAAAATCACGTCGTGTTAATAACACATTGTGTAAAAAACACAAGGGAGCTGTGTGTGTTGATAATTATTTTTCAAATTTTAACACTTTTGTATTTAACACACATGTCAACAATATTGCTCACATTGTAAAATAAAATTTTTCATGTTTTTAACATATGTGTTTAATTCCGAACCCTACTATATTCTATAACTTACACGCAGTCAAAGGCCTCGTCATCGTAGTCGTAATCCGCTCTTGTAATATTCGAAAAGGTTTCCACATCGGTGTCGCCCATAAAAGGTGAGAGACCCGAGAGTCTGGAAAAGATCAGAGTTACTAAACTAATCAATAACCAAGATGATTAACCTACAGCACATAGCAAATGACGCCCACACTCCACATGTCCGACTTGAAGCCTATGGGCTCGTAACTGATGATCTCCGGTGGTATAAACTCGGGGGTTCCGAAGAGAACTCGGACTGGGGCTTTTGTATCCAGCCGTTGGGCCAGGCCAAAGTCAATGATCTTGATCTGGTGGCTGGTGCGGGTATGACACATAATGTTCTCGGGCTTCAGGTCCAAGTGCACCACACTCTGGCCGTGCATGTAGGCCACTCCATCGCACACCTGTCGCAGGAACAGAATGCAGTCCATTTCGGTCAAGGTGAAGTCGTCAGCGACTACCCGTTCAAATAGTTCACCGCCAGTGATGCTAGGGGAATCATACAAGTTTAGTCGGGGGATCCTTTTCTATAGTTAATCCTCTATACTCACTATTCCATCACCATGACAATCTCCCTGGGACTCTCGAAGGAGGCGGCCAGCTGAAGCAGCTTCGGATGCTGCAGCGAACGCATGATGGAGATTTCCTCGAGCACCTTCTGCCGATCCTGCGACTTGATGCACTTGATCACCTTGGCGGCCAGCAGCTGCTCCGGCTGACCGCGCTCCTGCACCTTGTAGACGATGCCAAAGCGTCCCTTGCCCAGCTCCTCGATGATCTCGAATCGTGACTTGAAGTCTCCGCCGGACTGGACGCTCACCGACTGACCGAAATGATCGGTGACATCGGATGTGGTACCTCTCTGAGGTTTGCTAGTGATCTGCACCAGTTCGCTGGCCTGGCCGGGTTCACTGCGTCCATGGATGTTCTCGGCACGAACCCGGAAGCGGTACTGCATCTGTGGCTGCAGGTTTTTCACAGTGTAGGCCAAAGTGTCCACCACGCGGGTCACCAGCTGCCAGCTGTCCGTATCACAATCCTCACCAATGGTCTGCTTCTCAATGCTAGAGGTTTGGAAAAGGATGGGGGTAAGTAATAATTAAGGGTAATATTTCTAGATTCTCACATAAAGCCCGTGATCATACAGCCCCCGTCGTAGGGTGGACCACACCAGGCCACCGCCACGCGATCTGGTCCCAGGGAGACGCTGGGTTGTCCGCTCGGTGGCTCCGGAGGTCCTTCCACTGCCACCGAGGCAGCCGAGGCCTCCACGCCGTAGTCGCTCATCACCTCCACCGTGTACTTGCCACTGTCATCCGCCGAGATGTCCGTGATGTAGAGCGTCGACTGTTGGCCCGTCGTCCGGATCGTCACATTGGAGCTCTCAACAATGGGATGACACTGTGGGTGAAAGAGAGATTTGTGTGAGAAATGGAGAAACACACTGGGGAAAACATATCTGAGGTTTTGGGTAAAAGTGTAACCCAAAGCTATAAAATATATCGATGTGAAACGTAGATCGATTTTACATTATTTAAGATCAATTTTAATTTTATATGTGGCTAGGTTAATTTGACCTGGTCGAAAAGGGTATTTTATGTAAAACCGATATGGGTTTTTCATAACCTGTGTATAACTATAAAATATACATTAAAAAAGGTTACGAAATAATACTCGTTTAGATAAAGAATTAAAAGGATAAATGAAAGAAAAATTGGTATTCAAAAAGTATGCAACAAAAAATTTGTTTTTATATTACCCCTTACAACATATATTCGAAGTAAAGATTAATTGATTTTCACAATTTTTTTATCTGTGTAAAATTTATGTACTTTCTTCTCCAAAAATATTGTTTACCTAGCCTTAAGTGTGAAAATTAGATAAATTTGGTGCCTCTTGCAGATAAAAGAATGACGAATTACTCAATTTCGGGTTGATTTATTTTGGTAGTGTACTTAAAGCTCTGTTGGACAACCTTCGCTGTTGCGGCTCGCCCAGTATTTGCGGTTTGCAACCATTACGTAGCCAGTCTAGGCAACCCAACTGGCCCAGCAAAACTCAAGCCCAACCGAACGGCACCGCAAACTGATCGTGACATAGTCACAATCACAGACAGAGACTGAGACTGAGACCCAGGCGAAATGCCCAAAGCGAGACAGTGAGCTATCGAGATAGGGTGCAGAGTGGGCTTATGGCTAAAGATAAAGAATGTGGGATATGGATCCATAATCCCCGGGTCTGCCTGGCCAAATTGGGTCAAGATTGCACAACACAACTCGAAACCGGACCAATTACCATAAGCCTACTGCCTCGCAATGATATGGGTATCTTATATGATAATTTTACCCTCCCTTTTGAGGACTTACCGCTTTGTACCAGATGACTTGGGTGCCCGGGAATGGCTCGTAGCGGACGCTCAGCCGAACATGGCCACCGATTAGGGCGGTGCAGTCCTCGGGGCGTGTCAAAATGCAGCTTCTGGCCGCCAGCGAGGAACCGGAGCTGTTGCCCCTGATGGCGGGCAGAACCAGGAGGCTGGTGTAGCTGCGGGTGGCGGGAATGCGCCGCGTTTCCGCCTGGGGATGCTTCACCTGCAGACAGATCTCTCCGCTCCTTGCGGCAGTGACGTCACGCATGCGCAGCAGCCGAATGCCGTTCTCTGGATATGACTCCAACTGGAAAGAACATATGGAAGTTTAGCTAGAAGCCTTATATACACTGGGGAAAAATATATTAATTTAGGTAATAAAAACCTTCATTAAAGAATTATGGCTTCTTTAAGTGAACAATATTTGTGAGCCTTCTAAAAGCTTTATTAATTGAAATTTTATTAAGCCATTAAAATCATTAAGCATTGTTGTCTTCATTATTTTGGTTTGAAAAATATCTAGTAGTGTATTAAAAAGCGAATAAGGGAAATTGGTTCCATCAAATATTTAATTTTCTGATAATTGGCCTAAAAGTGTGAAATGTTAAATGTGGAATAAACAATTTTTACTGCTCTTTGCTTAAGAAATCTAAATCATAAATACTGAAATACATGGGTTATAAAAACTTATATCCATTTCAACACAATCTATTTGCTATTCTGGTTACTGAGGTTACGTTTGTTTGTTGATGGTTAAAAGATAAATATGAAAGTTATGAGCGTAAGTGATTAATGGTACTAAGATATTTTTAAAAAATGATATGAAAGATAAATTTGACTCAATCTTTCACAAAATATTGGAACTGTAATAATACTTGCTATTATTATTATTTATTAGTTTATATACTTTTTTTTAACAACTTTATGATCTCTTTAGGATAAGCGGTAAATTCCAATGATTTAATAACTTCACTTCTGTTTACCGCTTAAGCAACAGAATCGCGGGAATGTTTTTCCCTGTGTAGTCCGTTCACATGGGTAAACAATTATATAGTGTATGCACAAGTGTCTGGAGAGGGAGCGACCTATCCGATCCGGGTGCGATCGAGGCAGGGTGACGCGACGCCAACTGAGGTTGCTATGGAACTGAACGGCCTCTCCGTGGCACGCACCAATTAAGCACCGCCAAACGGAATTCCATGAGCGGACTAGCGAACGATCGTGACAATGACACTTTCACGCCCGCTCTCATTTTCATTGGAGCACAAACCTTATCGAAGGGGTTTAGTTATATAGGGCTTAGACCGCCCGAATGCCAGGCGATATTGATACACTCGTAAATATTGATGCAAATGCAATCCAAATGCTTCGCCTACCTGTGACATTTTGTCACGCCTTTGGGTTTCGACTGAGATTCCGATTCCGATTGAGATAGAGATTGGGACTTTGATTTTCCAAGCATCTGGATTCGGGGGGTATCTGATTTTCGGGGCTTTTAAAACCGGGGAACTGAGGAGACCGAGGAAACCGAGATGTGCGCCGCTTGAGCGCCGACAAGCGAATGCTCCCCCAGCAAAGGCAACATCGTTGGCATGCAGCTCGCCTGCCGCCGTATTTCAATCTTTTGATTTCGCTTTTGGGCCTCCCATATGTATGGCTTATGCAAATGAGCATGCTCTCAGACACTTTGACTCTGACCAGATATATACACAATTATTATTATTGTTTTCTCCGCCGAAAGTGCGAACAAGCAGCCTGCGGCAAGGCAAGAGTTTAAACTTTAGAGTGAAGAGCTCTGTTTCTGCGTTTGTGGGCCAATCTCTCTGTTGTGGTTTTTATTACGACAATTACGCATACGCACCGTCATGTTAAGTGAGTCATCCGAATGGGCCAAAAGCTGGCCGTTGAGGTACCATTCGGCTTCCGCTTGGCAGGGGAAAACACGGGCATAGAACAGGGCTTCCTCGCCGGAGCCACAGACCACCGGAAGTGGGGATTTCAGAAGCTGGACACACTCCTCATCCTCCCTACGAAGATCCCGCTCCCGAACGCACAGCTCCCCGCTGCTGCTGCAATCGCATTCGCTGAAGTTGGTGGAGTTTATAGAGTTCCAAGAGGAGGTGGAGTCACTGGTAAACACCTGACAGCTGTAGATGCCCGAGTCAATGTCGAAGGCGTCGTTGATTCGCAGGCACAGTCGTCCATTGCCGTGATCAATGTAACTGCAATGAGCGGTAATAAAAGTACGATAAATAGTTGTCATTGCGTATGGAGAATACTCGTATAAAGGGGGAAAAAAAAAGCGACGTTGTTATTCAATCGAAGCTAATCGTTTGAAAATGGGTGCTTATAAAACACTCTGTTTGCGGTCAGCACATTTACATTGTTCTCATAAATTAACTGAAGTGAACATTATTACAAAATTGTAGGTTTAAACGTTTCGATGAATTGGGAGAACTAGACTGGTCGAGGTAAGACATGAATCTTCTGATAATACTGTGTTACAAAATTACCAAGATTACATTAACTATATAACAACATTTTAAATAAAATCTGCTCTTAAAGGAAAATTTTCATATCTGTTTCTTAATAAACAAGAGAGAACGGGTGCCCCGACTATTAGATACCCGTTACTCAGCTTAAGGTAGTGCGAGGGAGATGGAGATATGATGGAGATGATCGCGCATAACTTTTTAACAAATGGTCCGATTTGAAAAATTTCTCCTACATTTCGATAGGTATTGATAAACACAATTCAACTGCATTTTTACTTTTCCGAAATCTTTAAAGGCGTAGGCGCCAGATACCTTTTAAAATCGCGTAAGACCTTGATTAAGAATATTATTTATAGGGTCAAATATGCTTCCTTCTAGCTGTTACATACTTTTGCACGAATACAATATACCCTTTTACTCTACGAGTAACGGGTATAAAAATAAGAAGGGGGTCTACTCCATCGTATTTATAAACGTAATTTCCGATCAATTACAGATCTCCCCCAACAGCCTTCAGATACTTACTTGAACTCATCGCTGTCCGGTAGAATTTCGCCATTTCGCAGCCAAACGTAGCTGTAGGGCACATCGCAGTCGATGGCGCAGCACAGATCGATCACCTCGCCCTCCAGCGATTTGGTAATCTCAGGCAGTGGTTCCGCGATGACGGCACGGCGTCTTGGAATCTCCGTGTTCGGTTCGTGGAAGGTGACTGTGGTGGAACTGATCAGGGGATCGTGGTCGCCGCTAAAGATGCAGGTGTACAGGCCCTCGTCCTCACGCGTCACATTGTCCACGATCAGCAGGGCCATCGATTCCTCCTCCTGCAGCAGGATGTGCACTCGCTCCGACGCCTCAAGCTCCACATTGTTGTGGTAGAATCTCACCGAGGGCACCGAGGAGCCCCGATAGCCGCTTGCCAGAGCCATGCGTCCGCCAATTGCTGTTGGAGTAAGTAAGTAAGTAGGTAAGCAAGAAAGTAAGAAAGTAAGTTAGAAAGTAAGTAGGTAAGTAAGTAAGTAAGTTAGAAAGTAAGTATGTAAGTAAGTAAGTAAGTATGTAACAAAGTAAGTAAGTAAGTAAGTAAATAAGTAAGAAAGTAAGTAAATAAGTAAGAAAGTAAGAAAGTAAGTTAGAAAATTAGAAAGTAAGTAATTAAGTAAGTAGGAAAGTAAGTAAGTAAGTAAGTAAGTAAGTAAGTATGTAAGTAAGTAAGTACGTAAGTAAGTAAGTAAGCAAGTAAAAAATTAATAAGGTTAATAAGTGTAAGTAAGTAAGGTAGAGGGTAAGTAATTAAGTTAGTGAGTAAGTAAGTTAACAAGTAAGTAAGTAAGTTAGAAAGTAAGTAAGACATTAAGTTAGGAAATTTAAAAAATCACATCTTAGTTATAATATTTCCTAATATTATTAACAACTGTTGGACTTCAACTGTTATATTCAAGTGCCAAGAGAGTGTAGCTTATTCTTATTTCACCCACCTGTGGATGGACCCATGATGCGTCTGTACAAATGGGCATTTCGGCGGGAGGAGGAGGCGCGCACACTGCGCACGGAGGGCGACTTGGAGTAGCGGGAGCTGCGGATGACATCCAGACGGGCGGTGGCCTCGATCCGCCCGAAGTCGTTCTCCAGGGTGACGCGATACAGGCCGGCATCGTCGAAGGACACCTCATCGATCTCGATGATGCGCAGGTCGTCGATCTCCTTGACGGCAATGCGCGGCGTGGGCGTGACAATCAGCCCGTCCTTGTCCCAGGTGGCCCACGGTGTGGGATGTCCGGAGATGGCGCACTGGAAGCGCACGCTGTCGCCCTCCTCGACCACGCGATTGTAGGGAATGGCGAGGAACTTGGGCGCAGTGATGGCATTCCTGGCGTCGCTTCGCCTGCGCTCCGAAATTCCGCTCAAATCGATGCTGCTGGTGCGATAGGACAAGCGCAGGGGGGAGAAGCTCCGGGCGGGCGTCGATCTCGGCGTGGAACGGGGCGTGGAGTGGGCGGAGAGGAGGCCGCTGGGACGCGTGAGCTGGCGACTCAACATATTCTCCTTCTCCTCGGGCACATCGACGATTATGCAGGCGGAGGAGAGGCTGCGGCCCACCGAATTCTTGGCCACGCAAGTGTACTCGCCCTCGTCCTCGGGATACACGCGCGGAATGCTCAGCGTGGCCTTGGTGCCGTCGAAGGACATCACGTAGTCCCGATCGCTGGGCACAACATGCCCGTCCTTCTCCCAAATGATGAATGGCTCCGGATCGGCCTCGACATGGCACTCCAGCGATATCGCATCCCCGTCGCAACAGCGCAGGTTTCGCAAGTTGCGAACAAATCGGGGAAGGGTCTCGATGTTGCTGTTGAATATTTGTATTGATTAAATTACTTAATACTTGTGTGGTTGAGGATGAACTCACCCATGCCTGGTATGCACTTTATCCATGCGGCTTTTGTTGAGTATATCTAAAGAAGGCAAAGATTCATTAATTTTCAATATGTATATAAAATGATAAGAATTCATTTTGAATTTTGGCGCCTGCGGGTTAGTGTCTTTGCTAAGGAATCGATAGCCCATAGCACCAGTGTTGATTTTCGTGAAATCGTTTTTGTCCCATCTCTAATGCTTATTTTTAGCAATTGTTTTTTTTCCGCATTCTCCTCGTTAATTTTAATTTTCTAAAATGAGGGGCATTATTATCGTGCCCATGGACTTGGAGCCCGGCTTCCGCAAGGCGGACATACACAATATACCCGCTCTGAATAGCGGAATGGTGTTTAATTTCTGCCTATCCGCCGCCTCTGAGAAATCAAAACAAATGTGAGTGCCGTCCCTTTCGCACTTGCGGACTAGCGTGTTAAATATATTCCATTTCTCCCCACAGGTCCACGGATAAAAGTGATCTCCTGACGGATTACGTCCAGATGCGGAGACATAACGACATGTGCGAACTAAAGGGACTCGTATTCTCCGCCTCCGACTTTGCCAACACAGAAACCCACGCCAATGTGGCGCTCAAGGTCGCGGAAAAGGCCCGGATCATCACGGATGGCCAGTGCAGCCTGTGCCCCACTTCTGGTGAGGATTACCCTTTACATATCTAGAATATCTAGTTCATTATGTGTAATCCCTTTTAGGTACCTGCGCCCACATCGTGGCCTTCACCTTTTGGCTGCTCAACAAGAGCAGCGATCGAAATCCCTCGGCCGTGGTGGAGTTTTGGGGCCACGAACTGGAAAACCTGGTGCAGCCGGAGCCCACATCGGCCACGCGGATCTGTGATATAATACCCAAGGACGAGGTGCGATTAGAGAGCGAACAGAACGCGCAGGAGCTGAGCGCCAGCGAGGAACAGGCTTTCCTGCAGACCGTTCTCGAGGAACTGGGTAACTGTGGCCGGGATTCCGCCCTCTACCGCCAGTGTGTGGACACCAGCGACGAGTTCGAGCCCCTGTTCGTGCACCATGCGCTGCTCCGGGCAGCAGAGTACAACATCGTTGATCTGCCCAGCTATGTGCAGCACACCGAACAACTGGCACAGACTGGAATCATCGAGAACCTCTACATTGTGACACGAAACCAGTACAAATCGCGTTTGTGGGTGGAGGTGCAGTACATGCGCATCCGTTGCTCCATGATGCACCTGATCATTAACCGCAAGAGTGCCGAGGATGACGATCAGATCTTCAACATGATGTTCTGCAAGGGACGGGACAGGAACAACGAAGATCGCATGCAGCAGAAGCAGCACAAGCGATTCATATTGAAGCAGACAGAGAAGCTGGAGAACAAGAAGTACGTCGAGTGCGGACTGATTCTCCACGAGAGCTTCCCCTTTCTGTGCGCCGCTCCCGATGGCATCACGGACGACCACATTGTCGAAATCAAATCGCCAAAGACTGAGGAGGACTTCGAAAAGTACCTCGAGGCCCGCGAATCGATAGCACCCAAGTACATGGCCCAGATACAGATCCAGATGTTTGCGGCCAACGTGAAAAAGGCGCTCTACTGTGTGCTGAGTCCAACGTTCGAGATCAACGGAGCTCTGCACTACGTTTGGGTGCAGGCAGATCCGGAATTCGTCTCCAGTTTGCTGACCATGGCCGAGGAGTTCTGGCGCGACATAGTCTTCCCCCGCCTAGTGAATATCTACCCGCAGTTCGGTTAATAAATAGACTGTCACTTACTAGAGCCCTGCGTGAATCATTCAATTTTTGATTAGTTTAATTTAATTCTATGTGAAAAAATTGAATGTTTTTCTAATTCATTTCGAATTGAATGAATCAATGAATAATTTTTATGGATTTTTTGAATTTGCCAGATTTTTGTGTGCTTTCTTTTGAGAACAAAAAGTGGAACATTTTTAACAAATCATTGTTAACTGCTTAGAAAATAAAATTCATGCAGATCTAATCACAAAATTATGGTCTTTCTTCTTCAATAGAAATTGGCGTTTGAATTATTTCGGAATTCATGCCATTCATTCATTCAATTCTATTAAACCCAAAATTTAAATTCATTAAATTCTGTTAAACTCAAAATTCTAATTTCATATAGAAGGAAAAATTCAAAATAATTCAGTGCTCTATCACTTACCTTTGGCGAATATTTGTAGCGATATTACAGCCTTGGCCTCGCCATGGCAATTGCTGGCTATCACGGAATAGGTGCCGGTGAAGTCCAACTTGGCGCTGGGTATCTCCAGTCTGTACTCGGGTCCGTCTCCGATGCGCCGGAAGTGGGGCGCGTCCTTGTAGTACTCCGGCTGCGGGCGAAAGAAACGAGAGGTTGGATGACTCAAGGTCACGTCGCTTCGATGAGCTTCGTCTATAAGGACTTGTGCGGCTGTCGCAGATCATGAATCACGACTGTCTTTATACAAATATCGGTGCCGTTGACGCGGTCCAGTCTCCGCTGTCGTTGTTATTATTGTGTTAAGCTTATAACCATATAAGCACAAAATTCAGTTTCGAGACTGTCGAATAGGAAAACTGGTAATGGGTATACGTTGCCCACCCTGACCTCCTACTCCTCCGGCTTCTCCTGCCTGCCTGCTCGCTTCCTTGGTCGCCAGTGCACGACAGTGGCTAATAATATATATTTTTTTTATTTTTGCGCTTTTTTCCTTTTTGGCTCGCGTAATTGTTTGTTGCGAACAAGCCTGTTATTTGATATGGGTTGAACTTGAATTAGCGTTTGACAGCGAATCGGATTTGTAAGATCTGTGCTCTTGTATAACGCGCACCGTTTCAGTATGACGCACTTGTCCGTAATCCGAGCCAGCACTCTATTCTTCACGTGCTTTTGTAGCCACTTTGTTGCCGTATCGGGTTGCTAGCTGGTTACCTTTTCGGAAGGGATGCTCCGCTTGTTTGGACACTTTGTTCGCGCACTCGCGGATCAATCAAAAAAAATTCTATCCGCGCGAGCAACTGCAGCAACTCAAAAAAACTGTGTCTGGCCCACTGGGAGTTGCCTTTTTATAGTCTAGTTGAGCGGAACTTATGTGCATTTGCACTTCCTGATGCCAGTAGGGCCCACGTTGCTGGTGTTCACTGGTGAACTTGAGCCTCTGATAAAGCAACTAGTTTGGAAGCGAGAGGAGGTAGTGATTGGACGACCCACATTTGCTGGCGCCGCGATTGCTACTGACTAACTGCGCATGTGCAACAAGCTGACTCTCGCCAAAAACGTCACATACTCACATTCAGAAAATCGCGCAGCCAAACGACTTCGGGCTTGGGATCGCCAACCACCTCGCAGAATATGATGACGTTGTCGCCCTCGTAGGCTTCGCTGGATCGCGGCTTCACCACGAATAGGGGCTCCTTGGAATAACTGGGGAGAAAGAAATCTTTATTTAATAGTGTCTAAAAAGTAGGTCGGGTTTATATTACTAGTTATGATATTTTTGAAACCAACTAAAATTAAGTGTTTTCTTTTTGTTTCATCTGAATAAATTGGTAAATAAAATACTGGTTGTTTTAATTATTTATTTTTGTAAGCGAAGTTTATAAAACTAATGCTGTTTGTTTTATTTCAACGAATTGTTTTAAAATGTACTTAAATACAAGATTAAAGTTAAGTTATGTTTGTAAAGTTCGAACTTATTAAGCGTTCCAACTTTTAGTATATAACAAATTCCCTATTTAAATAATTACTTTTGTTTAAGAATAAATAAAAAATAATAAAATAAATATATATAAATTATTTCTAATTAACATATTTTTTAAAATGAAAATTATTAATCCGTTCACCACAGATTACACTCTTTGAGTGTGAGGGGACATCCAAAAGCTCTATTAAACGGGTCGTAACTTTTTACAATTTGATGTAAACGCAACGGACGTTTGTCGTGTTTAATAACCTCACTTCCCGAGTAGCCATCTGTGCAAAATAATTGCGCCAGATTTAGGAAGAAGATCTTTTCCAAGTTGATATCATTGAACGTGGTGTCTTTTTGGCGGTTTCTGGAGGAATACGTAGAGTATGCCAGCTTAGCACCTTCAATATCCGCCACGCGTTCTTCGAGAAACTCCGCGTGTGCCGATGGCGTGCATCATCTCATGGGCCAGAGTGAATCCCATCAGGCTGTACTTGAACACATCCTGGCTGTCCGAAGTGAAGAACGGCTCCTGCAGGAGGGCATAGGGCATTATAATCAAGTTTTTGCCAATCAAGTAGTATGCGCTGGTCGGTCCCTTAAAATCCATGTTCATATATTCAAAGGGTCTTGAAGACGACTCTTGAAACAGTTGATTCATATGCTTTCGTGTCCGAAACTGAAGAAGCTTAAGCTGAACTCGACCATAGTCAAGATCGGCCGAGGGAATCTCTAGATCTTCGTAGTAGCGACTGATAAAGGTCCTGTGGTCGAGGTCTCTAGGCATGTTTCCAATATTGAGGACTAAAGCTTTAACCTTCTCGATCACCGCTTTTTTATGATCGGCGGACAGCCCAAGGCGATTGCGGTTAATTTGATCAAGTAACTGTTGGCGCAACTGGTCAAAAATATGCTCCACTTCCTGGATATTCTGCTGCAGCGTTTCGGGATGTTGGAAGTGTTCCTTGTAGAGAAGGTTCGATGCTAGATTCATGTTGCGGTTCAAGTCACTCAGGCATTTAAGAGAATCTCCACCCTCCAGAGTGTTCTTCTCCACATAGAGGACGAATCGGATCATTAAGTAGTTAGCCAACAGCTCGGCATCAACGGATTCGATCCACTTCTTAAGAACTGTAAAGTATTTGAAGTTCTTGACAAAGACCCCAAATCGAGGTGAAACAGGGTGGCCAACTAATGACTCGAAGAACTTTTGCCAATCGAGACCGGTTCTCCATTCGATATATTCTACTCTCAGAAATTGCATTTCCATGTCTTTATCTTCCGCTTCTGCTAGGTCGTTTAAAGCCTTTTCCAGCTTCTGTAGCTTTTGTAAGGGTATCGAACTCAGGCCAAAGAGAGTTTTAACTGAATCTTTGTTCAAGAGATGTAAATCTTTCTGGAAACTTGGCTTACTTAGTTTTAGTAAAGAATCGTGCGTGACCTCAACGTTTATTAAAACATTGGATAGGCCGTGGCGATGCAAAATCGCCAGAGTATCCATCCATTTAAACTGATTCTTTGGCCATTCTGTTCCGGGTGATGTCAAAAGCGGCCAGGTGAGTCCTTCGCCAGGAGGTGTCAATTTTAGGTAATGCTCTAATTGCCAGGTTTCTGGTGAAGCCTTTTGGCAAGTCAGGTAGTAGCGCAGGACCTTTGCATCCACACTCGACTCGTTGAACCCAGGAATATGGGAGCTCTGCTGCAGTTTATCCATTACTTGCTCGAGGTCATTGTAATAGCTTTCCTTCAGCATTTCATGGATGTTTGAGAAGATGTCGTTGATATGGCGTTCAGCGTACAATCCACATGCATGGTCAAAGTAATTGTCGCAGGCCTTCAAATCCTCATCCCTATAGCCAAGGATGTTCTCTAGCAGCCGTTGGTCGCTACTCATTTTCTTCGAAACTGGAGAAGCCGCAATTATTTGAGCCAGATACAGATAAACTATCCACTTCATCTTAATATATTGGGGAGCTTGCTACACCACTCAAACTTTTGTTTTCTTGAACTAAGTTAATTCTGCATGAATCAAGTCTTTATATACCCCGAGTCGCTATCAATATTCAATCGAAAGACTTCCCCGAAAATTTCTGTTTTCAAATTTCTCAAAATTATGAGTATTATTTTGGCTTATCGATTTTTATAAGAAAGAATCATTGCGAATTAGGGAGTGACGTATAATTCGCTTATCAATGTTTGGAATGAAAGAACGTTTTGCGCAAATTAATAAATTAGATGATTACCCAGAACAGTTTGTTTTCAAAGGAGAAGCACAAATTTAAGCAATAAAAAGGTTTTACTGCTTTAGCTATAATTTGGAATAAATGGTTTTCCTTATAAGGCAATTTTTTAAGAAAATCTAAATAAATCTTAAAATGTGTGCGAGTGTGAAAACCGGAACTGGTAAATATCTCATGCAATACTCACGGTAAATCTTCAGTCTTGATGCTGGGAATTTCCAGTGGACGTTGCGGGGCCATCGTCTTGTTCTCCTCCTCCTCAATGGCCACCCGGCAGATGGTCTCCACTTTTCCCACGACGTTGGAAGCGACGCACACATAAATGCCGGCATCCCGGACCGTTGCCTCGGCAATAATGAGCTCCACATAGCCATTGGAGTCCAAGGTGGCGGTCAGACGACGACTCGGTCGCAGGCGCATCCCGTTGCGATGCCAGGTGACACCGACTGAGGGATATGCCTCTACCTTCGTGGACAGACGGATTTCGGAGCCCTCGCGGAATATGTAGAACGGATCCAGGGGCACATAGAAGTCGGGGGAGATGTAGGCCCGAATGCCCTTGTCCACGACCAGGGTGCAGTGGCAGGACACCGAACCCAGTTCGTTCTTGGCCAGGCAGGTGTAGATGCCGCTATCGTCCAGCGTGGTGGCAGCAATTTCCAGCGTAAAGAACTGTCCCTCGGCACTGATGAGATGCTTCCTGTCGGTATAAATAAGTTGATCGTCCTTATACCACAGGATCTCCGGCAGGGGATAGCCCACAATCTGGCAGGTGAGTCGCACTGGATAGGTGACCTGAACACGGCGATCCCTCAGGCGCATGGTGAAGATGGGCAGTGAGTCACCGACATCGGCCACATTGCGACCATGGGCAATCTCCTTGAGACGCGAATCCGCCTCGTAGATTCGCGAATCGGAGACAACCTGGAGGCGGGCAAAGGTGGAGACCCTTCCCTTCGAGTTGGTGGCCTCGCAGGTGTATCGCCCGGAGTCCAGTTCGCTGACCGTGGCGATGGTCAAGGCACAGGTTGAACCGATCTGCCGGACCTTGACGCGTTCCGAGCTGCTGCTCAGTTGAATGCCGTCCTTGAACCAGGTGACCTGCGGCCTGGGAGCTCCACGCATGTTGCACTGCAGGGTGAAGGACGAACCCAACAGAGCCTTGGCCTGGCCGGGCAGGATCTTGACGAACTCCGGCAGGCACTCGACGCCGCCCACTTGGAGGGGACTGGTGGTCTGGACGGTGGGTCCCCAGCCATATCGGTTCTTCGGCGTCACCCGGAAGTGGTACTCAACGTTGGGCTTCAGGTTGAAGGCGTCGAAGGAGTTGATGGGCGTCAGGCCCAATTCCCGCCAGTAGGCGCCGCCCTCGTGACCCACAACCCAGGCCTCCACCTTGTAGGCCATCACCGGAGCCGAATTGGCACTAACCGGCTTGCCCCATGACAACGAGATGTGCGTGGGCCCGGAATCAACGACCAGTGGTTCGGTGGAAATGCAACCGGGTGGATCTGAGGGATGGTACAAAAAAAACTCTCGTAAATGAATGAGGATCAAATGGTTCTTATATGATGACCTCAATTAAAACTCTTTACGCCCCGGAGAAATATTTTTTATTTTCTTGTTTCCACTACGTAAATGTATAAGCTGGATTGCTGTGCTTTATATAATACATTATTTATATATGTAGGTACGATAATAAAAGTAATTAAGTCAATCGTTCAGAAATACTAACAAAAGATAAATACAGGAATAGTTTTTTATTAGCTGGGTCTCTACGATCTCACAGGAAATTTCTTTTGTCGTTTTGGGTTTGTTGGGGCTTTTAAACCGATCTGTAAGAGATGGAAATAAGGCTTTGGCTTTGTCCTGACAAAAAGACAAATACGGACAAGAACGGACAACACGGAACATAACGGACTTGACACAAGGGAACCCTTATAGAAGGGTTCCTATAAGGGTAACCATATAACATATATAGTAACTCACCTCTGAAGTACGAAGTGTCGCTGTAACTGTCCAGGGGAAGGCCCCAGCGTGGTTGCGTTGGAGTGGCGGAGCGAGCGCGCGGGTTTACCTATAAGTTTTGTAGTCAGAACGATATATTATATTGCTTTGAATGAACACATAGAGTCAGGAAAGTAGACTGAGGGCTAAGTATGATATAGTTGTAATTGTATTTGGTGCTTTTGTTGAGGGAGGCGTTCGAAATTTGCAAAGTAAATTGTATTAATAAGCTTTATTCGGATTCTTTCTTTTTGGGTATTTTAATCTGGAATAAGAAGAGAGAAGCAGAGAAGTTGCAGCGGTTAGTTAGCGAAAGCGATAGAGGGACAGCCACAAGCAACAGAAAAGGAGAGCATATAGATCCCGAGGATACAGATACACGTAGATATATACCGTCACAGTGACGAATATCCTGTCAGTGCCAAAGTTGTTGCGGGCCACCACGAAGTAAGTGCCAGAATCGGAGATCTGGGCTTGCTGCACTGAGAATCTTGTGTAGTCATCGGACACTTCTTTGCTGACCCGATCGGACTGGGTAATGTCCTTGGTGCCCTTCATGAAGGTGACTGCAAAATAGAGATCCCTTATTAGAAGTTACTTCATTTGAAAAGAGCATAGTTCTGCTTACGCTTGGGTTTCGGATCGCCGGCAATGCGGAAGGACAGCGAGAAGGGATCACCCACGGCGATCTTCATTTCGGTGTCCGGTCGCGACAGGAACAGCGGTGGACGCTCATCCTTCTCAGCTCCCACGGCCACGTCGACGTTGACATTGGACTCGATGCGTCCGAAGGCATTGGAGGCGCGGCAGGTGTAGGTGCCCTCGACCTCGGGACCGGCATTCATGATGGTCAGCGTGTAGACACCCTTGTCGGCCAGGGCCAGGACATTGGGTCCGTCCACCACCCGGCGATCGCGGAGCCACTTGACCTCGATGGGTGTGCTGGTCTGCATGAACTCGGCCGAGATGGCGACGGTGCCGCCGTTGCAGACCGTCTGGTTGCCCAATGGCCCTAGGAAGTGCGGCTTGTTGGGATCGCGGTGGAAGAAACCGTGCGTCTTCTGCAGCGAATAGTTCTGGCGACCCTTGAAGTCCACCTGATGGGAGATCTTGTTCTCGGCTCCCTCGTTGCGGGCCACGCACCAATAGATGCCCGAATCTTTCTCGGTGGGATTCACGATGGTCAGCTTGGCGTAGCCATCGGCCTGGTCGCTCAGCTTGTACCGCTCGCTGCTTTCGATGGGCTCGGTGCCCTTGACCCATGTGACATCGGGACGCGGCTGGCCACGTACGCGGCAATCCAGAACCAACTCATTCTCGTTGAGAGAATATGTGTCTGCAAAGGGAGGAGATACATTAGTGGTTTTCTATTTTTTAGTTTAGGTTAACAGAAGCGGTTAGAACATCGAAGATGAACAAAAGCGAAGGAGGATTCCAGTTGTCTTTCTACCTCGGATGGGCTGCGTAAAAGTACTTGGCAATGGGGCTTCCTTGAAGTGCTTGTACACCCGAAGTTGGGCATGAGTTAGACTTTCACCAAAGTCGTTGGTCGCGCAACAGGTATAGTTGCCACTGTCATCGGCCACCGCAGCAAAGATCTCCAGCGAAGCTTCTTGATTCATGAAGACCGTCTGATAGCGATTGTCGCCCCGGGGCAGGGGCTTGTGGTTCTTCAGCCACTCGATGTGGGTGTTCTCGTCACCCGATACGGCGCACACCAGTCGAAGATTGACTCCCTCCGAAACCGTGCGATCGTGCAACAGGGTGTGGAAGAGCGGCTTCGCCTTGCCCACGCTGCGCAGGACACGATCTCCGGCTCGATGAAGCTCTCCATTGCCGTTCACTTGGCTTCCGGAACTCAAATGGGACTGACTACGCGACCAGCTATCATGATCGCTAATGCTAGGAATCTCCTCCTGGCTAACGTTGATCAGGCGCTTCAGATCGGCCGCCTTTATGGTGGTACTGGTCGAGTCAATCCGATCCTCGTGCTCTGCAAAGCAGGCGAAGATGCCACAATCGGAGGATATGGGATTGCGAATAATCAGCTTCCTTACACCACCGGGTTCTTCGATTGTCCTGTAGCGGTTATTGCATATAGAGTGGTCGTCTCGCATCCAACTGACATTGGGACGTCCGTTGACCTGACAACTCAGCACAATCTCATTTCGCTGGGCATCGTAGGATTCTGTCCGAAGCAAAAACCCAGTTAGTAAGGACTTTACAATCAGTTGAAATAGATTTACCTGTAATACCACTGGAGAAGCTTTGAGGCAACTTTCCAGTAGACTGATCCAACACACTTAGCTGGCCAGCACTTTCCACAGTCTGCCGGCTGTTCTTCACCACGCATCTGTAGTTTCCACTGTCCTCCACACGGGCATCGTAAATTTCCAGACTGATGGCTCCGTTTATGTTGTAGATCTTGTGGCGAGCATCCTTCGTTACACGCTCATCGTTCCTCAACCAATGGACGTCCTCGATGATGCCGGTCACATAGCAGATGAGTTGAGCCTTGTTGCCACTACCGATGGTCATGGCCTTCAGGCTGGTCTCCAGATTCAGTCGCAACTTGGCCTCTCGGGCCTTTGCCTTGGCGGTAGCATTATCGCTGGTCGAGGCAACTGAGGACTCCTCCCGCTTGATCTCTTGGATGACCTGGTCAAACGGCTTCTTCTCAGCAGTTCGCTCTCTAACATAGTCGGAGGCCTGGACAAACTTGCTGATCTTCATCTGACCATTTTCGCTCTCCGCATAGCAAGTATACAAGCCAGAATCATTGCTGCCAAAGTTGGAAATGGTCAGGAGCTTCACTCCGTCGCTTTGCTCTGCATACTGGTACTTGGTGCCCTCCAAGGGTAGTAGGGTATTATCCCTCTGCCAGTAAATGTGGGGCTTGGGACTGCCCGACACCTTGCACTCCAAAGTGAGCTGGTTGCCCTGGGAATGATATGCATCTGGAACATGGACATGGATAAAGAGACAAGACACGAGACACATAAGACAAAGAACTATAGGGAGGTCAGGAAAGGGTAATAATAGTTTAGTATTCTTAAAATACATCTAGGACTACAGAATGGGATATACTTGACTCATAGATACAAAGACATTCACCTCAACGCACGAGACGAGAACCGCCAATACATAGAGCGTCCTACCTTTGATGCCCACTACAAAGGTGGGCGAGATAACCTCCGGTTTGCCCGTGCTGTACACAAACAAATTGCAAGTGCTCACGATTTCGTTTTCACTTCCCCTGACCCGCAAAGTGTATTCGCCGGCATCTTCTTCTGTGACTCCCACGAGGTTCAACCAGGCGATGCCGTCCTGCATGGACATCTTGCTCTTCGGTCCGAAGGCGATCGGCTGGTCACCGAAGAACCACTTGGCAGTTGGCTCCGGTCCATCGATGTTCACCATCCACTTGACATTGCTGCCCGATTTCACCGTTCGGTTGGAGAGGAAGTTCCTGAAGTACAGGCGCTTCCTTAGATCCGGAGGCGGTGGAACTTCGCGTCTGGAGCTGGTCTGCTCCTCCTCATCCGGCTTAGGCTTCCTGCGTCGCCTCTCGCCACCCTCGCCTTCGGCTGCCCCCTCGCCTTCTTCTCCTTCAGCTGGGGGTGCCTCCTCATCGCCAGCCGGACGAGGAGGTCTTCCCTCCCTGGGCGGCGAGATGCGTGGTGCCCGCACTCTCTTCTCCACGGTGATCATGTGGACAATCTCCGTCTTGCCCTCGCGATTCTCCGCCTGGCACACGTACTTTCCGCTGTCCGAAGGCTTCGGGTGGCTGATAAAGAGCTCACAGGTGCCGTCATCGTGGTCCACCTGCTGGTACTTGTCGCTATTCTCCACCTTGACGCCATCCTTCACCCACGTAACCGAGGGAGTGGGCAGACCGCGCACATGAACGTCCAGCTGCAGCTCGTTAATCTTGCCGTGCATCGTGTCCTTGATGTTGCGGGTGAAGGTGGGTGGTACGTCACCCGTGCCCGGATCCTCGTACACCTCGAGGCGGCAAGAGGTGGAAGCCTCGCCGGTCTCGTCACGACCCCAGCACTTGTACTCGCCATTGTCCTCGGCCGTGGCGCTCATGACCTCCAGGAGGCACAGGCCCTCGCTGTACCTGCCCCTGATCTTCGGAGAGTTCTGGATCTGCTCGCCGTCCTTGAACCACTTGACCTGAGGCTCCTTGGCCTCCAGGAAGCATGAAATCTTAACCTTGGATCCCTCGGCCACCACGCGATCCCTCATCGAAGTGCTGAAGTGGATAGCGATGTTCTTTTCGCGACGCTTGCTCGACAAGCTGGCCGTATCGGAAGCATAGTCGGTGGCGTAGGCCGAGGAATCATCCTCCTCCTTGCGGCCACGCTTCTTTGCCTTGCCGTCCTCAGCCTCGGATTCCGGCTCGCCAGCCGCAGCGGCAGCAGGAGCGGGCTTCTTTTCCACCGGCTTCTCCACCTCCTTGGGACGCAGCAGGCTCTTGTCCGCATGGAACACACCATGGATGTTGTCCGAGATGTGATGGGCTTGACCCTCGAACAGCACGTAGTGCGAGATCTCCATCTTGCCGGCGCGACTCTCTGCCTTGAGCACATACTTGCCGGAGTCCTTGTTGTCCGGCCGATCGATGATCAGCTCCCGGGTGCCGTCCTGGTGCTCAATCAGCTGGTAGCGACCGCCGCTCTGGATTTCGATGCTGTCCTTGAACCACTGGACCTCCGGTGTGGGCTGACCCCTCACAGCTGTCTCCAGGATCAGCTCATTGGTGTTCAGGTGATAGGTCTCTGTGAGAGAAAAACACCGAGAAGACGGGTTGCATAAAAACATTGCATAATGGCTGCGACCATTGGCATTGCACAATCATACACTGTTGTCGATTGCTAAATATAGATGATCCGATCGATCGATCGATCGAACACACTCATCCGTTACCGAATATCTTACCTTTCAGAGAGCGAATAAAGACGGGTTGGACATCCGTGTTGACCTTCGTCTGGTAGACATGCAGCATGGCAGAGGTGGTGATCTTGCACGAATCATTTTGGGCAATAATGGAGTAGGTGCCCGAATCCTCCACCTGGGCATTGACGAATTCCAACACCGCCAAGCTGTCACGGTTCATGTTGCGAATGTTCGGGCCATAGGTGACATTCTGGTCATCCTTCTGCCACTTGATCATCGGCTGGGGTCCACCGATGACGGCCTGCAATTTGACCTTGGAGCCCTCGGCAACGTACCGATTGGTTGGGTTGACCGTGAAGTACAACATCTGCTTGGGCGAAGGATCCGGCATCCGGCTGCGTCGCTCGTAGCCACCATCGCCGCCGGCCTCGGCCTCCTCGTCGTCCTTCTTCTTCTTCTTGCCCTTGGCCTTGGGGGCCTCGGCGGGGTCTCCTCCTCCTTCCTGCATGGCGATGGCGGACAGGACGCTAGAACGACGCGAGGTGTGGGTGGTGTCGACGACAACCGTGTGGGTGGTCGACTGACTGCCCAATTTGCTCTTGGCGGTGCAGACATAGATTCCGTTGTCATTGATCGTCGGCTTGTTGATAATCAGCTCGCAAATGCCGTCCAAGTGCTCGATCTGCACCACCCGATCGTCGAGCACCACGGGTATCTGGTCCTTGGTCCACGAGATCTCTGGTCGGGGGTTGCCTCGCACCTTCGTATCGAGAATCAGATCGTTCTGCGAGGCATGATACACATCTGAGAACAAAGTCAATCAATCAATTTGGCTATTTTCGTACTCGATCGACCTCAATTGAACAGAAGAACACCGAAACGACGACACAATGAAGTACATGGGACTTTTTTGAGGATCGTGTAACCGAGAACACACACATTTAGAATGGGGGTGGTGGGTTGAAATACCTCGCAGGGGAAGGGCGAAAATGGGTTCCGACTCGTCACCATCCGCCTGTGCCGCATACACCTTGAAGTAGCAGGAGGTCTCGATCTCGCTGAGATCGTTTTTGGCCACACACTTGTAGACACCGGAATCGGCACTGGTGACGTTGCTGATCTGGATGATGGCCTTGCCCTCCTCGGAGAGGTTCTTGATGTTGTCGCTCATTACCACCCACTTGTCGTCCTTCATCCAGCGGGTATTGGGATCGGGGCCAATCACAGTGGCCGCAAACTTAACGGTCGAACCCTCAAGCGCCATGCGATCGCGCAGCTGAGTGGCAAACGACAACTTCTGCTTGGCGGGCACCAACTTCTCCGGCGTGGCCCGCGCCGGATGCAAACGCTGGTACTCCTCCTCCGCCTCCGCCCGCCTTTGGTCGGAGTCGGCCTTCGACTTGAGGGCCTCCTCCATGGCCTTCTTGGCCTGCTTCAAGCTGTCTAGCTGGATCTTGTCGCGGGCATGGAAGATGCCGGGCACGTGGTAGTGCAGGTTGCGGGCTACCTCGACCGTGTGGTTGATCTGCACCTCTCCGCTGGAGTTGAAGGCCTTCATGGTGTAGATGCCCCCATCCTTGTTGCCCGGCTTGTAGATGAGCAGCTTGCACACACCGTGAGCCTCCTCCAGCATGGTGAACTTGTAGCTGGGCTTGACCTGGAAGGCGCCGCGCCACCAGGTGATCACCGGCCGAGGATAACCGTGGACGTGGCACTCGATGGTCAGCTCATCGTCGCGCAGATGATAGTACTCTGAAAAGGGCAATTACAAGCACTTAAGAAGGCCGCGTAATCGAAAGTGCCGACAAATACCTTTGATATACTGAATGGAAGGGGGTTTGGGTTCGTCCTTGAAAATTTCATAGACGGTCACAATGCAAGACGAAGACGTCTCGTCGTTCTGGTTCGAGATCACGCACGAGTACTCTCCAGAGTCCAAGATGGTGGTGTTTAGCACTTCCAGCACCAGGATATTGTTGTTATTGATTATGCGGTGGCATCCGTCACGCTCCAGCTGCCTGCGGTTGTGGAACCACTTGGCCGATAGCTCCGGGCCATCGACGGCGCAGGCCAGGCGCACACTTTGACCTGCTTCGACGGCTCGATCGGAAAGGAAGTTGATGAACTTGGGATTGCGTGCCTGCTCCCGGCGGCGCTGCCAGTCGGCGTCGCGCTCCTTCTCGCTGACCCGCTTGGCCTGGCTGTATTTGCGCATCTGCTGCATGAACTCCTCGCCCTCGACAGCGGCAATGCGCTGCCAGCGCTCCTCCTCTTGGGGATCGGGACGCACGAACTCGTCGGAGGAGTCGCTGCCGCGACGCTTGTCTTTCTTCTTCTTCGGGTCCACCACCTCCTCTATCTCCTCGGGCTCGGGCTCAATTTCCTCCTCGGGATACTCCTGATCCTGGTCCTCGTCTCCGTATCCAGCCTCAGTGCCCTCTTCGCCCTCCTCGCCCACCGCGGATGGTTCCTCCTCCTCCTCCTCCGCCTCAGCCTCTTCCTGAGCGCGCTGCTCAGCCTCTAGGCGTTCCTGCTCCTCCTTTTCGGCTTGCAGGCGCTTCTGGCGCTCCTCAAAGGTCTCGCCCTTCGGCTTGGCCCTCGCAGCCGCCTCCTCGGCGGCCTTGGCCGCTGCCTTCGCCTGCTCCTCCATCTGGAGCACCATCTTGCTCTTCTTCGGCGGCGGCTTGGCCTGCTGCTGCTGCTGCTCGAACATCTTCTTGCTGGCCTTCTGGCCACCGCCGATCTCCAGTTTCAAGGTCAATTTCGGACTGGGCGACTTCTCCTTCTTCTCCTTCTTCTTGGCCGGAGCCTTCTTCTTGCCCTTCTTGGTGGGCTCATCGCCCTCGTCGAGGTCAACGCTGTCCTCCCTATCTTCGCCGCCGAAGTCACCCAAGTCGTCATCATCGCCGCCTGAAGGACTCATGTCCTTGTCGATGGACTTGCGCTGAACGCGCGGCTTTCTGGCCTTTTTCTCCTTCTTTTTCGGCTTAACCTCCTCAATAATCTCGTCTTCCTCGACCTCCTCATACTCCTCCACAACGTAGATAACCTCAACGTTGGACACATCCATTACGGCAGCGCGATCGATCACCGACAAATCGGACGTTATGTAACGCACGGGCTTTTGCACGTCCAACGGCTCGGAAATATCCATTACGAGGGCGCGATCGAAGACGGCGATATTGCAGGTGGTCTGGCTCTTAATGTCCCTGCCCAGTTCGAAGGGCGTCTTCTCCTTTTCCTCGCGTTTCAGGAAGGGAGTAATGCTGCGCCATGTCGAGGGCGTGGCACTGCGTCGCGTCATGTAGAGGGTAAACGGAGTCTGACTCCTTCCATGAATGGGCGTGGCACTGCGTCCACGGAGGCTTCCAGGAGTTGGGGACTTAAGCTTGCGCTTCTTTTGCGTCGGCACCTGTAGGGTATCCTGGCCAGATGCCGCCTCCGGTTCGGCAGAGGCCCGTGGCTCGATATCTCCGTTCTCCGTTTCTCCCATTTCGGATCGTTTTCGTACGGCCTCTTGCGGGTTTTGGATAAGGATAAAACTCGTAAATGAAAACCGAAAAAATTGTTATCCGTCCGAGTCGTATATGTATGACTTTTTCAATCAATATATATAGCCCGCAACGGTTCGATCGAGATTTTTTGTTTAGGACGTGAGACGTCCGTTCGATGCAAAAGAAGATTCACGACTGTCACCGAACGTGGTGAAAATTTCGAAAACACATTCCTTCTCGAATCGATCGGATCAATCCTAGTCCCCAAATCGATTGTTATGCTAAAAACAATTTTACGAATTCTGTTTTGTTCGCTGCCGACGTTGCACAAACACACGCATGCAACATTGATTGCCAAAATGCGATTCTATTTAAATACCAGGCACTTTTTTATTGAATGCAGGCAGTAAACGAATTATTATATAAGTGAGAGCACGGCTGCCATTTGTATTCGAATTGGCTATTTAAAGAGGGATCTATTTAAGTGCGGTGATAAAGTGCATCGTTTACCTTCATCTCTGAGCACTTGCCATTGTTGCGAACCGAAAGTGCGAATCGATTTGTTAGTCAAGAAGTAAATACGCCCGACATGTCATAAAGTTCGCGATTTATTCTAGCCTTACGGACTAGCTTCCTATATACTAAGTCTATACTACTTACATACATATACATACAAGCAAATGCAAGGTGCATAATACAAAATAAAAGAAAGATCAGCACTCGCAATTAAGCACTAATTAAGTTTGAAATTCGGGCATTGGATCACTAGGTAGAGTGGGCACAATTGGCACTTACCTCGAATGTTGCGTGTAAATATTGGCGGAGTGCCAAATTTGCTTGAAGGTGCTTCGTATATAGTCACAAGACAGCTAGTTTCGACTTCTCCATTTTGATTAGACGCTAAGCAGCGGTAAATGCCAGAGTCAGAAAGTTCGACCGATTTAATTTCAAGGCACGACAGTCCGTCGTTCAATGTTCTCCTGTACTTGGCACCATTCTCGATGGGGCAGTTCTCCTTGAACCACTGCACATTCATGTCGTGACCCGACAGACCACAAGTCAACTTGAGGTCGCTGCCAGACGCCGTGTTTCGATTGGTAAGTTGAATGTCAACGGTTGGCTTACGCTTGGCACTTCGGGATTCCTTTCTATCCTTGTACTCGGAGCCCATAGACTTGTAAGTTTGCAAGCTAACGGAGTCGGCACTTTCTTCAGCGTCAAACGGCTTTCGTTTTGGAATAACTGATTCTTCATCCTGAACCGTTGTTCTCTTAGCTTCAAGGCGACCAGCATTCTCAGATTCAACTTTAACATCGTTAAAGTCGATCTTAGTCCTCTTACCAACAGTGGTATCGACCTGCTTTTGATTGATTTCATCCAGTTTTTCTTCCACGGTTGATTTATTTTCCAGAACTTTGGCCTTCTTAGATAAGTCTTTAGATTCTTTAAATTCGGTTTTTTGGGATTCTTCCACCTTTTCTTCGGATATCTTCTCGGCAACAACCTCTAAAACATCTGCTTTTTGAGATTTCTTATCAGCAGCGATTTCTTCCTGTTTTTTGTTCTTTTCTTCCTGCGAGGAGGAGACCTCGATCGATTTCTTCTCCAAGAGCTTTGCCTTCTTAGATTTAGTTTCAGAGTCCTTAACTTCGGTTTTTTGGGATTCTTCCACCTTTTCTTCGGAAATCTTATCGGGAACAACCTCTGAAACTTCAGCTTTTTGAGATTTCTTATGAGCAGCGATTTCAGCCTGTTTTTGGTTCTTCTCGTCCGGTTTCTCTTCCTCGATCGATTTCTTCTCCAAGAGTTTTGCTTTCTTAGAATTAGTTTCAGAGTCCTTAACTTCGGTTTTTTGGGATTCTTCCACCTTTTCTTCGGATATCTTCTCGGCAACAACCTCTGAAACATCTGCTTTTTGAGATTTCTTATCAGCAGCGATTTCAGTCTGTTTTTGGTTCTTTTCTTCCAGTTTCTCTTCCTCGATCGATTTCTTCTCCAAGAGCTTTGCTTTCTTAGATTTAGTTTCAGAGTCCTTAACTTCGGTTTTTTGGGATTCTTCCACCTTTTCTTCGGATATCTTCTCGGCAACAACCTCTGAAACATCTGCTTTTTGAGATTTCTTATCAGCAGCGATTTCAGCCTGTTTTTGGTTCTTCTCTTCCGGTTTCTCTTCCTCGATCGATTTCTTCTCCAAGAGCTTTGCCTTCTTAGATTTAGTTTCAGAGTCCTTAACTTCGGTTTTTTGGGATTCTTCCACCTTTTCTTCGGATATCTTCTCGGCAACAACCTCTGAAACATCTGCTTTTTGAGATTTCTTATCAGCAGCGATTTCAGTCTGTTTTTGGATCTTTTCTTCCAGTTTCTCTTCCTCGATCGATTTCTTCTCCAAGAGCTTTGCTTTCTTAGATTTAGTTTCAGAGTCCCTAACCTCGGTTTTTTGGGATTCTTCCACCTTTTCTTCGGATGTCTTCTCGGCAACGACCTCTGAAACTTCTGCTTTTTGAGATTTCTTATCAGCAGCGATTTCAGCCTGTTTATGGTTCTTTTCTTCCGGTTTCTCCTCCTCGATCGATTTCTTCTCCAAGAGCTTTGCTTTCTTAGATTTAGTTTCAGAGTCCTTAACCTCGGTTTTTTGGGATTCTTCCACCTTTTCTTCGGATGTCTTCTCGGCAACGACCTCTGAAACTTCTGCTTTTTGAGATTTCTTATGAGCAGCGATTTCAGCCTGTTTTTGGTTCTTCTCTTCCGGTTTCTCTTCCTCGATCGATTTCTTCTCCAAGAGTTTTGCTTTCTTAGAATTAGTTTCAGAGTCCTTAACTTCGGTTTTTTGGGATTCTTCCAACTTTTCTTCGGATATCTTCTCGGCAACAACCTCTGAAACTTCTGCTTTTTGAGATTTCTTATCAGCAGCGATTTCAGCCTGTTTTTGGTTCTTCTCTTCCGGTTTCTCTTCCTCGATCGATTTCTTCTCCAAGAGCTTTGCTTTCTTAGATTTAGTTTCAGAGTCCTTAACTTCGGTTTTTTGGGATTCTTCCACCTTTTCTTCGGATATCTTCTCGGCAACAACCTCTGAAACTTCTGCTTTTTGAGATTTCTTATCAGCAGCGATTTCAGCCTGTTTTTGGTTCTTCTCTTCCGGTTTCTCTTCCTCGATCGATTTCTTCTCCAAGAGCTTTGCTTTCTTAGATTTAGTTTCAGAGTCCTTAACCTCGGTTTTTTGGGATTCTTCCACCTTTTCTTCGGATGTCTTCTCGGCAACGACCTCTGAAACTTCTGCTTTTTGAGATTTCTTATCAGCAGCGATTTCAGCCTGTTTTTGGTTCTTCTCTTCCGGTTTCTCTTCCTCGATCGATTTCTTCTCCAAGAGCTTTGCTTTCTTAGATTTAGTTTCAGAGTCCTTAACTTCGGTTTTTTGGGATTCTTCCACCTTTTCTTCGGATATCTTCTCGGCAACAACCTCTGAAACTTCTGCTTTTTGAGATTTCTTATCAGCAGCGATTTCAGCCTGTTTTTGGTTCTTCTCTTCCGGTTTCTCTTCCTCGATCGATTTCTTCTCCAAGAGCTTTGCTTTCTTAGATTTAGTTTCAGAGTCCTTAACTTCGGTTTTTTGGGATTCTTCCACCTTTTCTTCGGATATCTTTTCGGCAACAACCTCTGAAACATCTGCTTTTTGAGATTTATTATCAGCAGCGATTTTAGTCTGTTTTTGGTTCTTTTCTTCCAGTTTCTCTTCCTCGATCGATTTCTTCTCCAAGAGCTTTGCTTTCTTAGATTTAGTTTCAGAGTCCTTAACTTCGGTTTTTTGGGATTCTTCCACCTTTTCTTCGGATATCTTCTCGGCAACAACCTCTGAAACATCTGCTTTTTGAGATTTCTTATCAGCAGCGATTTCAGTCTGTTTTTGGTTCTTTTCTTCCAGTTTCTCTTCCTCGATCGATTTCTTCTCCAAGAGCTTTGCTTTCTTAGATTTAGTTTCAGAGTCCTTAACATCGGTTTTTTGGGATTCTTCCACCTTTTCTTCGGATATCTTCTCGGCAACAACCTCTGAAACTTCTGCTTTTTGAGATTTCTTATCAGCAGCGATTTCAGCCTGTTTTTGGTTCTTCTCTTCCGGTTTCTCTTCCTCGATCGATTTCTTCTCCAAGAGCTTTGCTTTCTTAGATTTAGTTTCAGAGTCCTTAACTTCGGTTTTTTGGGATTCTTCCACCTTTTCTTCGGATATCTTCTCGGCAACAACCTCTGAAACTTCTGCTTTTTGAGATATCTTATCAGCAGCGATTTCAGCCTGCTTTTGGTTCTTCTCTTCCGGTTTCTCTTCCTCGATCGATTTCTTCTCCAAGAGTTTTGCTTTCTTAGAATTAGTTTCAGAGTCCTTAACTTCGGTTTTTTGGGATTCTTCCACCTTTTCTTCGGATATCTTCTCGGCAACAACCTCTGAAACTTCTGCTTTTTGAGATTTCTTATCAGCAGCGATTTCAGCCTGTTTTTGGTTCTTCTCTTCCGGTTTCTCTTCCTCGATCGATTTCTTCTCCAAGAGCTTTGCTTTCTTAGATTTAGTTTCAGAGTCCTTAACTTCGGTTTTTTGGGATTCTTCCACCTTTTCTTCGGATATCTTCTCGGCAACAACCTCTGAAACATCTGCTTTTTGAGATTTCTTATCAGCAGCGATTTCAGTCTGTTTTTGGTTCTTTTCTTCCAGTTTCTCTTCCTCGATCGATTTCTTCTCCAAGAGCTTTGCTTTCTTAGATTTAGTTTCAGAGTCCTTAACTTCGGTTTTTTGGGATTCTTCCACCTTTTCTTCGGATATCTTCTCGGCAACAACCTCTGAAACATCTGCTTTTTGAGATTTCTTATCAGCAGCGATTTCAGCCTGTTTTTGGTTATTCTCTTCCGGTTTCTCTTCCTCGATCGATTTCTTCTCCAAGAGCTTTGCTTTCTTAGATTTAGTTTCAGAGTCCTTAACATCGATTTTTTGGGATTCTTCGATCTTTCCTTCGGATATCTTCTCGGCTACCACCTCGGAATCCTCTGATTTGATTGATGGCGCCTGATTTTGTTTGTCAGTCAACTGTTTTAAGTCTTCAATAATCGTTAGAATTTTTTGAGTTACAATTTTAATCTTTCCATTAACTACAGCCGTATGTAGCTGACCCTCTTTTTTCTCAACGTAGTCATAGTCGCTAAGCAATATTGTTTTAATTTGTTCTATTTTTGGTTTCATAACTTCTGTATGGTCATCTAAAAGATCATCAAGAATAACAAAGATATCCATTAAACTCTGTTGGAAACTTATCATTTTTCCTGAAGACTTATCAACAAATTGTTCTGAATGTATTTTTACGGAAATTCTCTCCAAATTTACAAGTTTTGGGACTAATAATGATGGCTTGGTAAACATATTGCAATCGTCGATTAGTTGAATAGCTGCTTTTGTTAAAATCACGTTGGTTTTAATTTCTTTTAGGTAAGTTTGAATTACTTGCTGAGCTGCTTCAGGGCACACTTCGCACAGCGATTCGACAAAAGATTCAAAAAGTTCCTTATGTTTTTGATCTGCGGCTGTTGTTTCATCATAAGTATGAACTATATGCTCTCTTAATTTAAATATTAACTTCGCAACTGCGTCAACGTCGTTAAGGTTATTAATAGTATCTTGACTTTCTGTCAAAATTCCATTGGTATTACAGTTTACTTCTTGAGAAAGTTTCATAAATCTGTCGTTCAAAGTCCTTAGAATATCTTCTTGAGATTTAGCTATTTTCACCAGCGTTAACTGCTTTTGCTCTTCGGGTTCTAATGGTTTTTCTTCCAAGACTTGCTTACCAACATCTTCGGCCTTCTCCTTTTCATTATCAGTATCCTTTACTTTAGGCAGATTGGGTTCGTCGATCTTTTCTTCTGAAATCTTTTCCGCAGCAACTTCAGATACTTCTGATTTTTGAGACTTCTCGTCGACGTCTTTGTCAACTTGCCTTTGAGCTACTACATTCAATTGCTTTTCTTCCAGGATTTCCTTCTCCAAAGCTTCAGGCTTCTCTAATTTAGTTTCAGTATCCTTTATTTCAATCTTCTTGGGTTCATCGATCAATTCTTCTGAAATCTTTTCCGAAAGGACTTCAGAAACTTCAGGTTTCTGCGACTTCTGTTCGACATCTTTTTCAGCTTGCTTTTTGGCTTCAACCTCCAAACGCTTTTCTTCCAGCATTTCCTTCTCCAAAGTTTCAGCCTTCTCTGATTTAGTTTCAGTATGCTTTATTTCAGGCTTTTTGGGTTCATCGATCCTTTCTTCTGATATCTTTTTCGCAACGACCTCAGATACTTCTGGTTTTTGGGACTTCTCGTCGACATCTTTGTCAGCTTGCTTTTGAGCTACAACTTCCAATTGCTTTTCTTCCAAGATTTCCTTCTCCAAAGCTTCTGCCTTCTGTGATTTATTTTCAGTATCCATTATTTCAGGCTTCTTGGATTCATCGATCCTTTCTACTGAAATCTTTTCCACAGCGACCTCTGATACTTCTGGTTTCTGGGACTTTTCGTCGACATCTTTGTCAGCTTGCTTTTGAGCTTCGACTTCCAAATGCTTTTCTTCCAGGATTTGCTTCTCCAAAGCTTCTGCCTTCTCTGATTTAGTTTCACTATCCTTTATTTCAGGCTTCTTGGGTTCATCGATCCTTTCTTCTGATATCTTTTCCGCAGCGATCTCTGATACTTCTGGTTTCTGGGACTTCTGTTCGACATCCTTGTCAGCTTGCTTTTGAGCTTCTTCTTCCAAATGCTTTTCTTCCAGGATTTGCTTCTCCAAAGCTTCTGCCTTCTCTGATTTAGTTTCAGTATCCTTTATTTCAGGCTTCTTTGGGTCATCGATCCTTTCTTCTGAAATCTTTTCCGCAGCGACCTCTGATACTTCTGGTTTCTGGGACTTCTGTTCGACATCTTTGTCAGCTTGCTTTTGAGCTTCGACGTCCAAATGCTTTTCCTCTAAGATTTCCTTCTCCAAAGCTTCTGCCTTCTCTAATTTACTTTCAGTATCCTTTATTTCAATGTTCTTGGGTTCATCGATCAATTCTTCTGAAATCTTTTCCGAAAGGACTTCAGAAACTTCAGGTTTCTGCGACTTCTGTTCGACATCTTTTTCAGCTTGCTTTTTGGCTTCAACCTCCAAACGCTTTTCTTCCAGCATTTCCTTCTCCAAAGTTTCAGCCTTCTCTGATTTAGTTTCAGTATCCTTTATTTCAGGCTTTTTGGGTTCATCGATCCTTTCTTCTGATATCTTTTTCGCAACGACCTCAGATACTTCTGGTTTTTGGGACTTCTCGTCGACATCTTTGTCAGCTTGCTTTTGAGCTACAACTTCCAATTGCTTTTCTTCCAAGATTTCCTTCTCCAAAGCTTCTGCCTTCTGTGATTTATTTTCAGTATCCATTATTTCAGGCTTCTTGGGTTCATCGATCCTTTCTTCTGATATCTTTTCCACAGCGATCTCTGATACTTCTGGTTTCTGGGACTTCTGTACGACATCTTTGTCAGCTTGCTTTTGAGCTTCGACTTCCAAATGCTTTTCTTCCGGGATTTGCTTCTTCAAAGCTTCTGCCTTCTCTGATTTAGTTTCAGTATCCTTTATTTCAGGCTTCCTGGGGTCATCGATCCTTTCTTCTGATCTCTTTTCCGCAGCGACCTCTGATACTTCTGGTTTCTGGGACTTCTGTTCGACATCTTTGTCAGCTTGCTTTTGAGCTTCGACTTCCAAATGCTTTTCTTCCAGGATTTGCTTTTCCAAAGCTTCTGCCTTCTCTGATTTAGTTTCAGTATCCTTTATTTCAGGCTTTTTGGGTTCATCGATCCTTTCTTCTGATATCTTTTTCGCAACGACCTCAGATACTTCTGGTTTTCGGGACTTCTCGTCGACATCTTTGTCAGCTTGCTTTTGAGCTACTACTTCCAATTGCTTTTCTTCCAAGATTTCCTTCTCCAAAGCTTCTGCCTTCTGTGATTTATTTTCAGTATCCATTATTTCAGGCTTCTTGGGTTCATCGATCCTTTCTACTGAAATCTTTTCCACAGCGACCTCTGATACTTCTGGTTTCTGGGACTTTTCGTCGACATCTTTGTCAGCTTGCTTTTGAGCTTCGACTTCCAAATGCTTTTCTTCCAGGATTTGCTTCTCCAAAGCTTCTGCCTTCTCTGATTTAGTTTCACTATCCTTTATTTTAGGCTTCTTGGGTTCATCGATCCTTTCTTCTGATATCTTTTCCGCAGCGATCTCTGATACTTCTGGTTTCTGGGACTTCTGTTCGACATCTTTGTCAGCTTGCTTTTGAGCTTTGACTTCCAAATACTTTTCTTCCAGGATTTGCTTTTCCAAAGCTTCTGCCTTCTCTAGATTAGTTTCAGTATCCTTTATTTCAGGCTTTTTGGGTTCATCGATCCTTTCTACTGTAATCTTTTCCGCAGCGACTTCAGATACTTCTGCTTTTTGAGACTTCTCGTCGACATCTTTGTCAGCTTGCTTTTGAGCCACAACTTCCAATTGCTTTTCTTCCAAGATTTCCTTCTCCAAAGCTTCTGCCTTCTCTGATTTAGTTTCACTATCCTTTATTTCAGTCTTCTTGGGTTCATCGATCCTTTCTTCTGAAATCTTTTCCGCAACGACCTCAGATACTTCTGGTTTCTGGGACTTCTGTTCGACATCTTTGTCAGCTTGCTTTTGAGCTTCAACTTCCAATTGCTTTTCTTCCAGGATCTCCTTCTCCAAAGCCTCAGCCTGTTTTTCTACCAGGATTTGTTTCTCTAAAGCATCGGCCATTTCTGATTTATTTTTAGTATCACTGATCTCATTGGGTTCTTCTGAAGGTTTGAATTCTATTGAATGGTCTACAACGTCTTCTGCATCATCTTCTGGTATTTTTATTTCATCTGATTTATCCTTGGTTTGGTTTTGTTTTTCAACAAAATCTTTAAAGTCCTCACAAACGTTAAGAATCTTCTGTGTAATTACTTGTATTTTTCCATTAACCACAGCCGTATGTAGTTGACCCTGTTTTTTCTCAATATAGTCATATTCGCTAATCAATATTCTCTTTATTTCTTCTATCTTAGGATTTATATGTTCCGTCTTTTCATCTAATAGGTCATCAAGTATAATAAAAATATCCATTAAATTCTGCTGCAAACTTATCATTTTCTCAGAAGATTTATCAATATGTTGCTCTGACTGAGTTTTTTCTGAAATTTTTTCCAAATTAACCAGTTTGGGAACTAATAGGGACGGCTTTGTGAACATGTTGCTATCATCGATAAGTTGAATTGCGGCCTTTGTTAAAATAACGTTGGTTTTAATTTCCTTAACATAGTTTTGAATTACCTGCTCAGTGGCTTCTGGGCAAGCTTCGAAGAGAGATTCAATAAATTCTTCAACAAGTTCTTTATCTGTCTGTTCTTCTGGGGGCTTACCATCGTAAGTGTGAACTATGTGCTCCCTCAGTTTAAATATAGATTTTGACACTTTGTCGATGTCATTAATATTATCGAGAATATCTTGACCATCTGTAATAATAGATATTATTGCTTCTTTGTTTGAATCATTGTTAAGAGATTGGGATAACTTTTCCGTTAAAGCTTCTAGAATAATTTCTGGTGAAGCAATTTGGGACACAAGCTCAGATGGTTTTTCCTTGTCATTCATCTGTTCCTTTTTCAAGTTTGGTTCATTTACTTTCTGGACTTCATCTGTTTTTAATGCATACTCTGCTTTTTGGTCAACATAAACTGACTGATCTTCAAGAGATATTCTTTCACTTGGAATTTTAGATTCTATTTCCTTTGGCTTTTTACCATCATTTGTAGTTTCTTTCGACACTTCTTGAGAGGTAACAGTTGGTTGTTTGTCTGATTCTAATTGTGGATCAATTTCCAAAATTTTGGCTCGTTTAGCTTCTGGTTCAACGTCTTCCTGGCTTCCTGAGCCCTCTTGGTTATCTATGTCAGTGTCCAAAGCAGATTCTGGCGATGATACGTCCGATTGACTTTGAAGCTCGGAGAGAAATACATTCAGTTTGCTCAACTTCTCCTGTAGAATATTTATCTGAAGCTGCAATGTGTCAATCAGGGTAAATTGTTTAGCGGTAATTTGAGTAAGTTGCGGTTGAGAAAGGATTTCCTTCTCAATTTGCACGAGTATTGCCTCTAGTTTGGCTATATCATCAGTGTTTTCATCGAGCAAAAGAACACATTGGGGACTATTAGCTTGAAGTCCCTCCTCGATTTCAGTAAGAAAAGCCTTGCCAGACGAAACGTTTTCAATAATTACGCTTATATCGATTGGCACCGTAGGCTCAACCGGAATTTCAGATAATGCCTTCAATTCGGCTGTAATGGAATCAATTTCCTGCAGAAGTTCTATGACTCGAATTGTATTGTCATTGTTTTCAATGAAATCAAAAACAGTCACTAAGCTACTTTGGATTTTTAGAAGACCACCCAATATATCGTTGCTGACCTGCTCACTAACTTCATTTAGACTCCGAAAAGCTGCCATCAAACTTGTCTGAAGTTGAACGACGACTGCTGAAGATTTGTCGACATCGACGGTGGGTTGAGTTGCCACAGCTCCAATGGAACGAACCAGATTTTCAATAGGATTCTTAAGATTTTTTAACTTCTGATGATCCACAGCTTCTAATCGCTCACAATAGGCAACAAAGTTGACGAAGGATTTTTCGATTTTACCAAACATTTCCTCTGCCAACTGAGTCTCTAGTATTGGTAACGAAAGCAATATGTCTTCAAAGGCACTCTCCACATTCTCCAACGAATCTACCAAGCCAGATTCGTACGTGTGTACCAAGGATTCCTTCAATCTAAACATGGTGCGGGCAATTTCCGCTTGAGCCAGAACTGTTTCCTGCTGAACGCTATCGGTGACAAGAGCAGTTTGAATATTTTCCAGATCTGATTTCAGTTGTTCCATTATTTTGCCAACTTGCTGAAGCTCTTTGTTGGCATCTGTTTGGGTGACTTCTAGACAAGCCTCTAGTTGCTTGATGCCACTAGCGACACCTTGTTGAATGTCAAAAACTTCCACTTGCGGTTCTTCTTCTACAACAGCCACTTCTTGGATATGATCTGAAACGGTTTGCTGATGACCACTGCTCTTTAAGTCCGAGATATCCCCCTGCGTAGATATATCAGCGACGTTCTCCAGGAGCTGAACATCAATCTGTTCGCAGTACTGCCTTAAATCGGCTAATGGAGTGGCCAAAACCTTGAGTTTGGACAGCTCAAGATCAGACATACTTTCAACTCCACTGTGGGCCATGCACTCCTCCACCTGGAGAACACATCGCTCCAAACTGCAGAGGGCTTCGGCAAAGGTGCCCTGCAGACTTGCCTCCGATAATGGATGAGCTGCTTCCACCACATTTGTTTCCTGCACCAATGCCAAACTGTTTTGCAGTTCTTGCATCTTGACGAGGGCTGCCTGGACCTGCTGGCCAGCAGCTGTTCCCGACAAAGAGACCACGTCGGGGTCTTCACAATGTGAAAGAACCGAAGTAATTCCTTGGTTCAAGTCAGAGAGTAGGACAGCAACAGACGAGGGCTTTTCGGATCTCAAGTGTTCCGCCTCCGGTTCAGTGGGCAAAGACTCTGCGGCTGACTTAAGCACTGAAACATCATCCAAAGTGGATAAATCCTCCATTGAAGCCCTCAGGGGCTTCAGATTTTCCAGCACATGAATCAGACTGGAGAGCGGACTGGCAATGGAAAGCTTCTCATCCATCGATTGCTTCTGCTGGCCAACAATATCACCAAACTGATTCAGGGCATTTAAAAATTCATTCTCAGTCAAAGATTCGGGACTGTCCAGGGCTTTAGCCAAGTCAGCAAAACTTTTGCCACACTCGAAGAGAATTCTGGTTGTGTTGGCTTCGTTGACATCGAGCGTTGTCTCAGCCTCGCTAAATGTCGCCAGTCCCTTGGCGATTTGCAGAATACGCAGGAGGTACACTTGGGCTTCATTGGAGGAGGTTTTCACCCTCTCTGAAGCCTTGGGGCTTTCACTTATTTTATTCAATGCCTCCTGCAGCGTTTCAATGTTGCCCACTGCCTCCTCCAGGGACACCTTTGTTTCCAGTACCTTCCGCAGGGCACTGAAGGACTTGTCCTGCTGCTGCGACGCTTGCTCTTCGTCCTGTTGAATTTCCTGTTGCAGTATCTTAAACTCGTGCTCTTCTATGTCAATGACAACGTTGCGAATGATGCTGCGTATGTTGTCGAGGGTCTGGAGAGCCTGCTGATCGGGCTCACGAGCTGTTAGCAAACGGCCGTGACCCTTTTGGGTGTTCTCCTGCAACATGCTTAGAGGTTCAATCAAGTCGGCCAGGGAACCGGTCATATTCTTGACCTCTGTCTGCCTTATGCAGTAGTTCAGCTCGTCGACGGGTCGCTTTAGTCTGTCCAACAGTTCTACATGGTGTCCCGTTATGTCTCTTTCCAAAATGGTGCTTATCAAAGCGGATAATTCATCCTTTAGGTTCAGTAAACGAATCTTAACGTTGGACGAGAGTCGGGGCGAGATTCGCTCAATGTTCGTCTCGAAATGCAAAACAGCCTGGGCAAATGATTGTAAAAGCTTCTGGGTATCAGCGACATCCAGTGCTGGCTCAGATCGCAGCTCCTCCTGAGGCAGGGAGGCCTGACCACTTTCCAGATCTTGTCCCAATTGCGCCAAGCCATTTTGAATCTCCTGCAGCGGAGGAACCATCGATTCCACAGTGCTAACAGTCAACATTCCTCCCTCCACGCTGTCTGATTTTTCGTTAAGGATAACCTCCAGACCCTTGTTGAGCTCAAAGAGTGGTGGGGTGACAATGTCAAGAATGGCCATGTTGATCTTTTGCTCCATTGACTCGGACCCCGCCAGGGATTCGGTCTTGTCTTCGATGGACTGCAGCGTGCTTTGCAGCTGCTTAATGGGCTCCACAATGCTTTCGAGCACTTTCTGGTGCACTTTCCTATAGATCTGCTCCTCTGACTCCTCCAACGAAAGCTCCATTTCGACGCGTTCCAGGGCTTCCTGAATCTTGGCCACCGGTTGGCAAATCTCCTTTAAAGCGCTTGCTTCGCTAGGAAGATTTGCCTCCGAAATGGTTGCAAAAGATATGGAATCAGGGACCTCTTGCATTTTCTCCACAGCTTCCGAGAAGTGTTTGGCTGCCTCCAGTTCCTGGGCCTCCTGCAGAAGGGCCTGCGACTTAATGGTGCCTTGCGTGATCTCCAATCCCTGTTGGATGTCGTCGGCAGTCAGTTCGATTTGGGCCCGCAGACACTCCGACTCAAACTTCCTGCTGACGATCTTCAGCTCTTCCAGGGCTCGTTTCATTTGATCGGCCACGCTGTCAATGATGCAGACACTGGTGCGCTGGATGAGCGTTGCTCCAGTCTCGTCGATCTCCACGCACTTCTCGATGACCTGCAGACCCATGTGCAGCCGGCGAATATCCTCGTCCATGGATTGGATGAGGACATCGATTTGAGTCTCGCCGGAGTAGACGCGCAGCTTTGATTCGATTTGCTTGATGGGATCTATGATGTTGCGGATGATGGCTATGCTCTGATCAGCAGCCGACGGGGTCATCATCATGGTGGACTGCTCCATCACCTCGTTCTCAACTGCCGAGAGATGATTCTCAATAACCTTGAGTAGCTTTGCCAGCGGAACGAGGGCAATTAGGTTTTTATTGATCTCCTCCTCATCGGTGACGGCCTTTGCATGGGAGGAAGGTGTGACCAGAAGTCCATCTCCCACGGCACCCGAAATGTCCTGCAAACGAGCCTCGTCCTCAGTGGTTTTGGAGGAATCACTGTCGGTGGGTTTCTTGGACTTCTTTCGCTTCGGCGGCGCCACAGAATCTTTGTCCTTCTCCGGACTGGTTGGAGCTCCTGAAGCCCCCTTTTGGGATGCCGACATCTGGGCACTGGCGAAGGTTTGCAAATCGGATGTCTCCTCCTCTCCTTGGCTCCCAGAGGCAGAGGCTTTGGATAGGCTGAAGAATTCATCAGTCTCGGTCGGCTTGGACTTCTTGCGCTTTCGAATCGGAGCCGATAGCGATAGTTCCTCCTCCATTTTGTCAAAGGACTCCTGAACGTACTGCTCCGTCTCCTTGTCGACTTTGTCTTCCCTTCCCGAAGATCCGTGAACCGTTATCTCGTTTATGGATATGTCATCCATATCAGCTTCAGTTCGCATATCATCTTCGACAGTAAAATATTCGGGTGAAATGTCAATAACCACGGCTTCCATCAAAAGTTTTCCCGACTGCGAGGTCTCCTTGACGAAACGCAGCGGTGGCAGTTCCACGATATTGTGCTCGGTCACATGCTCCGAGATCTGATCGGCATACATTTCCACAATTTTGAGGGCTTCCTCCTCGGTGAGATCGGGCGTCTCGTAGAGGGACACCGATACCTCCTTGCCGTCGAAGGAGAACGACACGTCGCCCTTCTCATCGATGGTTATGTCGCCGACCGGGGTCTCGTACAGCTGGGAGGTGCGCTCCTCCTGGATGGTGGACAAGGAGTAGTTCCTCTGCAGCTCGTTCTCGTGCAGCTGCTCGCTCTTCTGCTGCTGACTCTTTTGGGCATCCTCGAAGCCCAAAAGGGACGCCGAACTGGCGACGACACCCATGCAATTTCGCGCCTCACAGGTGTAGGTGCCCAGGCAGCAGGTGCCATCCTGTCCAGAAATGATGCGGTGAATATCCCCCGGTTTCAGCTCCACGCCATCCTTGTACCACTTGAGAGCGGGCTGCGGGACTCCGATCACCTTGCACTCCAGATTCACGGCTCCCTCCTCGGTGAGCACCGCTCGCAGGCATTCCAGGAAGCGGGGTTTCTTGTAGTGCCGCGGGATCTGCAGCTTCAGGAAGCAGGAGGTAATGCTGGTGCCGAAATCATTCACGGCCACGCATTTCCACTCCGCCTGATCGACAAACTCCACGGACTTAATGTCCAGCAGATACTCCTCGTTTTCGCCCCGATAATGATTGTATCGTTCGTTCGGATCAATGGGCAGCTCGTCACGGAACCACGAAAGTATGGGATCCGGAGTGGCCTTCACCACCACCTTGAATTGAAAGGGTTCGTTGATTTTGGCATCCGTGCTCTTGAGCCCGGTGAGAAACCGAGGCGCTTGGTTTTGGCTTTGTTCGGTGAAGACCAGACGCTCCTCGTCGGTCAGTTGGTTTTGGATGTCCTCCACGGTGAGGACGGCAGTGCTGCTGGTTTCTCCCATGCAATTTCGGGCAATGCAGCAGTAGGTGCCCAATGAGTTGGTGCCCGTCAGCTGGTAGACATCGCCCGGCTTCAGTTCGTGTCCATCCTTGAACCACTTGAGCACGGGCGTGGGAAAGCCCACTACCTTGCACTCGAAGGACACCAGGCCCTCCTCGGTGAGAACGGCGCGTAGACTCTCCATGAACCTGGGCTTGCGGTAGTTCCTGGGAACTGCAAGGGAAACTTTGATTAATACTGTTCTGCTTTAGGGAATCCCTAATCCCTAATCCACTCACTGTCCATGGCCACGGTACAGGATGTAATGCCCACACTGCCATCGAAGCTGGTCACCACGCACTTCCATTCGCCGCCATCGCAGGACTCCGAGGGCTTCACCTCTATCATATAGACGCCCAGTCCGTCCTCGATTAGCTTGTACCGCTCGGCGGAGTCCACGCGTCCGTTCGCATTGTACCAGCAGACGCTTTTGGGCCACGGCGGTACCACCACTGCGGGAATGGGAAGAGGAAAAGATCGGTGAGATCCAATAAACAATATATCTACGCTTCTCTTCTCGTTTCGTCTTTTCTCTACTCTCTCTCGGGCAATTAGCGGTTTTGTTTTGATCGCCACTTGCCGCAAATGTTGATGACCCACCTCAACATCCGAGGCATTCCAACCGTGCGATCGAGTTCAAGTTTCTAGAGCACGATCTAAAAACAACAAGCGCCGGCGAGAATTGGAACGAATTTCTTAGCGCGTCCGAGTGCCCGAGAGAAAAGATAAACAAAAATCCGTTGGCCCGCTGCCAACAGGAGATCCTCTCTGATCCACTAGATCTACATACTAGACTCCCAGTGCTCACCTTGACAGCCGAGAATGATGGTATCCCCGATGAGGAGGCTCATGTCCCGCAGTTCGTTCGTGAATATCGGAGGCGGCGCATTGCTCGCCACGCTGTGGGAAGACAAGAATATCCGTAAAATAAGAGAATCCCTTACGAAGCTCTTAAAAAAATATTTATTAAAAAATATATATTCAATAGTTGTCTAATATAAAACGTATAAATATCAGCCATAGAAGACCAAAAAAACATAGATATCTATAATAATATTTGTACCAAAATAAAGCTACGCAAAAAATTAAGTATTTCGTTAATTCTTCTGACTTTTAACTTTTAAAATAAAGGCATTATAACTAGGATCTATATTTATAGACGTTTATTTATATTTCCTAAGAGTTAAAATACAACTTTTTTTATTATTCAAAATATAAGTTCCTATTTATAACTAAAGTCTAGAACTCAATTATATCGAATAGGCTAACGGTACAGTCATACGATCAAATTATCTAAATCCTAACCTATTAATAGTTATAGGAAACTGTACATCTTTGAAAACACAAATTTTGGGTAGGATAGGTATAGGAAAATATGTAGATAAGTATAACCAAAATCTTCTCTCACCTGTCGGCCGGCTTGAGGGATCCCTCGCGACTTCCGCGTCCCACCACATGCACCTTGGAGCTGGAGTAGGTGACGCCCATGCAGTTGCGTGCCTCGCAGGTGTAGGTTCCTAGTGAGGTGGGGTCATCTGCGTTGGCGGTCAGGGCAAAAATGTCGCCCGCCTTGATCTCCTTGGAGTCCTTGAACCAGCGCAAATGTGGCGTGGGCACGCCCACCACCTTGCACTCCAGCGAGACGGTTCCCTGCTCTGTGAGCACCGCTCGCAGTTCCTCCACAAACTCCGGTGTTTTGTAGGCCTTCGGCACCAAAACGGTCAGCGTTCCCAAGCAGGAGTTGCGTCCACCGTAGTTCTCCGCCATGAGCATCCACTGACCACCGTCATCCAAAGTCACGGGACTCACCTCCAAGTAGTGGAAGGTGCCCTCATTGATCTCCGTTATGCGGTCATTTGCACACACCCTCCGGTCGTTTCTGTACCAGGTTAGCTAGTATAAAATATGAATAGATATTAGATATTGTTTTATTATTAAAAGTATTATTTATCACTAGATATCGGATTTTAGGTGAAATCGTTTTTTTTAAACCGATTTAAAGCCACAGTTGATTGGTTACAAATTTTATTTATTAAGATATAATTAGATTTAGGGCAAACTTAATTGAGGTTTTTGTAAACAATTTTTAACCAATCAAACGTGGCTTTAAATCATATTTAAAAAAAACGATTTCACCTAAAATCCGATGTCTATTTATCACTTATGCTAAAACAAGGAAATTTTACATTTAAATTTGGTGTTTTTAGGTAACTCGTTATTCAACAATTAAAAAATCCCTTAAATATATAAAAACTCATTATTATGAGTTGGTAAATTTTTTTCTAAATCCATAACATAGTGAATAAATAAAACAACTCCTGGACTCTGGCTCACCTTAAGATCTGTCGAACTGCGTATTTCGGTTAGGAGGCGTGTCCGGGTGCCCACTTTGACTGAGAGGTCGAGCAGGCGGCGCAGGAACACCGGCGGATCGTCGCCCGTGGATCTGTCCTCCACGATGAGCTCCACGTGCCTTCGCACCACATCCTGGCTCTTCGTCCGGGCGAACAGCGTGTAGTGACCGGCATCCTCCCGCTGCACGTGCTCCACGGCCAACTGGACGGCATTGCTGGTGGCCGTGATACGAAAGCGGTCCGAGTTCTCGATGGGAATCTCGCCTCGGCTCCTGGAAGAATAAGAGTTTTAGGGTTCATCCCGCATGGAACAGCTTTTGACTTTTATTCTTTTAATGAGTGCTCGAAAGATCACCTTTTCCTGTAGACCGATGAGGCCGAGGAGAGTGTGCCGTTGATTTGCTTGTGCTCATTGCACTGGCAGCATTTGGAACATCCGTTGCCCATTTCAGTGGAAAACCGAAACTATTATGGGTTGCAGTTAAAAGCTGGTTTTTTCGAATTTACAATACTTTCCAATTTAAGCCCCACGGAATGTAAAACTCATTTCACTGTTGCATATTCCAGCTTTCAATTAATATCTAATGCCTTTTAATTATTTAATAAAGTTTAAGTAAGCGGTAGCACCAATCTCCCTCCTTTGCTCTGCTCCTTTATCAGTCTCCTTTCTCATTCCCTCTCTATTCGTCCACGAGGAGTTGGCATTTTTAGTATTATTTTTATTTAAAAAACGTTGGCCACACTTCGATTTCCAATTGGATCTATTGATTGACAATTGGAAAAACTAGCAAAAATGTACGTTGCATACTTTGCTTTCTTATAATTCCCAAGTCCTTATTCAGCAATTTGAGCTTATAAATAGCGCTTGTATTACGATCCTCTCAGCGGTCCATTGAATATTTGGCGGTCTTGAAATAGGCCATTTCGTGGTGCGGTTCCTAACCAGTACAAAGCCAAATATGTCTTCCACCTTGAACTTGCCTTCACGGCGATTAAAGGGGGACGCCCCAGGTTAAATTAGATTCCTTCAATGTTAAAATACCTTCAGATAAATTAAAAATCTTCATTTCGGAATTATATCCGCGCTTTCTGGTTCGATCCTTGAGAAATGTTGGCATGATAATTTTCCTTAAGATACTGAAATAATGTACTTCTGCTGATAAGCAAAGCGTAAGCGAAAGCCTAGCTGCAAAAATTGTAATCTCGAGAAAAAGCCACTGAAATAATGTGCGATGTTGAAAAACAAGCTTATACTGAAAAATGTGTTTCCCTCCTCCTTCCCTATTTCCGATATGAATATATCCAGGTTCTAGCAGGTTTATCAAAGCACTCTAATCGAAGTACTCTGAAACAGTAAAAATCGAGCATATCACGATATTAAGTCCACTGAGCGCATTAAAATCCCCGTGGCTTCTGTTCGAAATTGAAAAATTAGAGGAACCGAAAATGTGTGCAAAACCGATACTCCTCGAATTATGTGAGAAATCTTTGAAAGAAGTGTTGGGAGTGAGAGAGTAGTTGTTGAGTTACCAAATGCATGATTACTAGTAGTAATACAAATTGGGAAATTTGGCATTAAAACAAATCTGATTGATCGAACTTTAAAGACGGGTATATAAAATCATGTTATAAGTGTAGGCTTTCGAAGAGATTTGACTTTGATCGGCGGAATCGCACTGGAAGATCGTCCTCATATTCAACAGTAGACTGGAGTGTTTTTTTTATCATTTATTAAGTAATTATAAATATTTATAACAGGACTATATTAGTCATTTTGCACGTGCAAACATTCGAGGCGTAAGAGTCATTTATTTATGTGGCATAATTATTGCCCAATAAACCGAAACAAACAAACACCGCAAGCCCCACCGCACGAAAACAATAAAAACAATTTTTTTGTGAAAGAGAAAATTGGTCAAAAATATTTCTGAATCGAAATCGAAGCAAGAATGTTTATAAATAAATGCTTGAACTTGCTTCGCTATTAATTGTGTTTCGCATTCGGCTAAAACCGCCGCACTGCAATAATTGAAACGCTAGCTAGACAACAACGCATTTGCCAATTTATTTTTGGGCTGCGTGTTTTTTGATGTTGAGCGCTGCTAATAACTTGTTGTTTCGCTGTCGTTTTCCCTGAGTTCGAGAATTTTCAAATTGTTTCTTGTTTCGATTGTGTGTTTTTTTGGGGGCCCAGCTGAATCCGTTTATTTATTTATCTGTTGCTCTCGCGGATATTGCCAAACATCTGAGTCTGAACGAACCGATCGCACATAGGTAAGAGCATGTATTCCTCTTTGTTTCTCCGCCAGGCGCATTATGTAATTTTCGATTTCGTTTGAGAAAAACTATTTTCAACACTTTTAGGGCATTAAATGGAAACGTTTTTGACGCACACCGCCGAAATTCCTTTCGCTGCTCCCCAAGACAACCCCCAAAAGAAATCCAAGGCAGACGAAAGTTTCGCGGCGATTTGTTAATGTGTCTATATTTAGACGTTCGTTACAAAATTCGGCCAGCGATACCGGATTCACTGTTTTCCTTCGAACCGAGTCCCTCAGGAATTCTCGCACAATGTGATTGATTTCGTTATGCAGGTGATTTATCGAGTATCCGCCGCGTGGACACCCCCAGATTCCACAAACCAGCACGTATACGCAGTGGTGGGTATATATAGAACTCTCGTATAGCACTGCCGCCGCACTGATGCTATTCTTTGTGTCCGCCCGCTGGGCAACGGATATGTTAATGCGCCGATCGTCAAAGTGGAACTGGCCGCTCAAGAGCTTCCGAGGCCCATGGGCGGAAAATCAGAGAAAATCGGGACGGAAACCTAAAGACGTACCGCTCTTTTTCGGCGCAGATCTGCTCTCGGATCTCGGTGTGCTCAATTGAGCAGATCCGTCGCCGTGAAGGAGAAATCATATGTTAATGCGCAAATTTTGGCATTTGGCATTATGCACAGCAGACCGGGCGGAGCAAGGACGGTGATTCACGCGATTTAGCGAGTGCACAGGTAAGCGAGGGAAAATAGATTTGTGTTCGAAAGATTTATGACTTACCACTCGAATTTGAAGGGCAGCAGTTCCGGCTCATCCTCCTCGGCGCAGTCGATTTTCACGAAGAACGTGGCTCGTTCGTTGGGGATGCAGCGGATCAGGGAGCTGGAGTTATCGCTGAACGTGATGCGAGGTGGTTGGCGCTGGCCCGCCTCGGATCCTCCGTCCTCGCCAGGAGGCTCTGCAAAGTGGGAATAAGTTATCACTGTGCGTTAATTATAAGCATGACTAATCGCTTTATAAGTTTCGATGGCGGAGGAAGCCGTACGCCGAACAAATTATCATAAATATTTGCGAAATGTCAAGAATTGCCCCGTAGCCACGGGCAGACATAAACACACATAGTTATGCCGGCAACAAAGGCGGAGAGTCGCCAATCTATAGTGGATTCGACGTAAGGATACCGTGTTGAGCTGATGAAAAAAACGTGTTTTTACAGCTAACTCCTTCCAAACTCAGTTTTAAATATTTTAACTTGTTTAATGTAATATACATATATATATATAGTGTTTATTTTACACTAAGCAATTAAAAATATATTGCAAAATAATTAATTTAAAAAAGAAAAAATCTACAGTTCCTATTAAAAGTTTTACTGAAAAGATCAAACGATCAATTGCACTTACTCGAAAATAGCATTGTTTTTTCCGAGGTATAGAAAGTAACTTTAGAGATATTTGATATTATTTAAATTTTAAACATATATTTATATATTAAGCTTAATTAATCAGTGTTCCTTTTAGGTAGGAAACCCTAATTAAATGCTTTCTAAAAAGTTATCCGATTAATATTTGTATCTTCATGTACAGTTGTTTTTTAGAATCGAAAATCAATAAACACTCTACTTCTTCGACTATAAATGTTTGTGTTTACACTAAGAAGTCCGTTTGTCCGGTGCACATCCCCATACCCTGCACAAACATCGAGTATTCGGAATATTCACTAAAAATAGCTCCAAATATTATTTATACGCGTCAACAAGCACTATTTGCGAGCATGTCGAATCTTTCTGCTTGGGGAGCCATAATCAAATGTGATTCGTAAATAGTATTTAAGCAGTTGGGAACGTAGTACTCGGTACTCGGTCCTCGCCGGGATGCGGACGCAACAATGACACTCGACCAGCGCATATTCCAACGTACAATTATGAAAATTTCTCATACTCAATTCACAATTACGTAACCGCACTGTGGGCCGCACAACGGTGATGGGGAGGAAAACGGAGACGGAGCCCGGCAGACCATAAAAATACATATCCCAACCCCACAAATAGCCATGAAGTACTCTGTTCGTGTCCGGGATCGGGAGCAGTGGCGAGAAAAAAAGGAGAATCTCTCACTTTCCCGGCGCCGGGGCTTTTAAATGATGATGATCAAGATGCTTACCCGCGGCATTGGCTGCTGGCGAACTTTCCATGCTCAGGTCTCACTATATAATTAGCCGAAACAGGGCCACTTCGGCATGGGACTTTCAGGACTTGCTGTGTAGGATTAGGGCGCAGTATTTTCAATGGATGGGTATTTTCAACGCGGCATTAACCGAAAGCGATTTCTTTCTTTTTTATTTATATTTAGAACGCGCCGCACACAAACGACGGTAAAAATTTGAATTTTTCCGTTTCCGATTCACTGAAATGAAATTTTCCGCTGGTAATTAGGCGTATTCGTCGGGCACAATGGATCGGAAAATGTGTAATTAGGATATATTCACATTTTCGGCCTGCGGCATTATTTAAAAACTGTGCTGGTGCAGCGGATATACACGTATTCCTCTTCCAATTCCAATTTGAAATCCACCAGACACTCGCACACACACACTCGCACTCACGTTTGGGAACACAGAGATGTTCTATCTTTCTATATATAAACAATATGTACAACACAGCATCGGCGTTCGAATGGCGCACACCACGTCCAGCAGACACCTCCTGGATCTCCGATCGTTTTTCTCAGACTGAACTCGACTGAACTGAGCAGACAGATCACCAGCAGCAGCATTCTCGCCTGTCCATGTCGGATAATTTTGGCTGCCCCGAGAACAAGCGATCTCTCCTCAAGAAGATCGGAGATGCCGCGCATGGCATCTGACTACGGGGACTTCTCTCACCCAATGGTACAAACAAAACACAAAACAAGGCATTTAGTAGGGCTCTCAGGTAAGTACACATCTCCACCTGGCTAAGGCAATGAATATTTAATCCCCTTGCTTAGTCCTAGACACACACATACGATTTATAGTAAATATAGTCGACAATTGATCGAAAAATAGCAATTGCAAAATACAAAATTGCACTCAGCGGCGCAACAAGTGGCGACGACAACTTGTTGCCTTGTACGTTTGTTAGTTAGTTAGTATTGTTCGATTAAGCTAATCCGTGCTCCAATCCAGTGGCTTCCCTCAGACAGAGTAGAAGTGCGAGTTGAACCTTGTGCGACACGAGGGTTCCGTGAAGGGCGAGAACCAGGCCAGCGAGAAGCGTCCGAACACCGACTGGATGCTCTTGAGGCGCGACTTCTTGGCCCAGCGGGCCTCCTCCTTCTTCAGCTGTTCGATGCCCTGTTTTAGAGAGAGGGAGAGATAATCAGAGAGAACGTTATCCGGATAATCACGTGCCAAGAGGCCACCGAGCACCCACCGTCTGATCGTTTAGGATGGCCGTCAGCTGAGTGGCCAGCATGATGATGGTGAATATGCCGAACATGAGGCCCTCGAAGGTGAGAAAGAGCAGCAGGAAAATAGTGGCCGGCGGAGAGTACGGCGAGCAGGTGCGCCAGTCGTTCTTCACGCACTCCGCAAACTGGGTGAGCACCAGGAAGAGCGTGTGCACTGAGATCGAAGCAATGTAGAACTGCGGATCGGAGGAAAGAGCCATTAATTGGGGAGGTTGATATAATAAGAGCTTAAGAACTTACGGTGAAGAGCACAAAGTACTTCTGGTTGTTCTCGCCCACGCAATTATTGACCCACGGACAGTGGTGGTCCATCTTGCGGATGCACCGCTGGCAAACGGAGCAGTGGTGGGCCCGCTCCGGCTTGATGCTGCAGCACTTGGGGCACTTGTAGAACATCTGGCCCTCGCGGTAGCCCATCTGTTCGATCATCTCCTTGGTGGCGTTTCCTCGAGGTACAGCGCCCTGAAAATGATTGTAATTAGTATTAAATTTACTAAATACTTAAGTAGGATGACTAAAAATTAAATGCTTAAATAATGGCCCAGCCATCTAGTGTATAAGTTTTATTAAGGCACCCAAAAAAAAATCAGTATGAAACGTAAATCGAGTTTACATTATTGAAGATAAATTTTAAATTGATATGCGGCCAGGTAAATTTGAACTGGTCGAAAAGAGTATTTCATGTAAAAACGATATGCATTGAACTGAAAATTACATGGCCATATCGATTTTACGGGAACAAGTCTTTTTTTGTGTGTAGTCTTAGTTTTAATAACAAGTCTAGCATTATAGAACTAACCAAATACAATAATTATTAATTTTAAAATAATTTTTTTGCAAAAAAACAAGATTTATGGACATAAATTCATTTTTTGCGAGGAAACACAAGATTTTTGGACATAAACAACAATTTAAAAACAATTAAAGCCAACAGAACAATCAAATTACCAATACCCAGAATTTTATTGACATTAAAAGAGTAGATTTTTTTTGTACTTTTCAGGGAATCCCATAAATTTTCTAATATTCATGCTCATTAGGCACTTTTGCCGCCCACATACATAGATAAGGTGGAAATTGGAACACAACTCCTATATCATCGACCGTACACCCAATCACTCACCGGATCCGAGAGCATTGTGCGTATGTGCGAGGCAAAGGCGAGGAAGGCCAGCGCCTGGAACACGACCATGTTGATGGTGCTGAAGACCGTGTAGTTGCTGGGCAGGAGGATCAGCCGCATGACCACGAACTCGGCGAACAGGATGAGCAGCCAGGTCATGACCACGCAGACAATGCCGCAGATGTCCTTGACGCACCAGGCCTTGTTCCCGCAGCATCGGTTGTGTTGGTCGACGCCACCGAAGCCCCCGCCTCCGCCGGGCGAGAGAGCCGAGTAGGAGTAGGAGTTCATGGTGTCCGGATGCAGCCCGCGCACTGGTGACTCATTGGCCTGGTCGATTCCGTGATAGCGCCGCCGGACTGCGGACCATTAGCCAAAAGGCGTTTGATAAAGGGGCAAACACGGAACACGGAAAAACACAACCGTACAAAAGTGCCATTCACAGTGGGGGCGGCTGGCGTCAGCTGTTGGGCATTCGCAGCGAGGCGGTAACACAGGGGGAGGATAAGCGAGGTGGTTTCATAAAATCGTTCGTTTATCTTTCAACTTAATCCGACAGCACAAATACAAATACAATACAACAATTAAAATAGATACAAGGAATTCATACGGGGCCCCTATCTACAAGGTTTCCAATATCAGGTGTTATGCAGGCGTCAGCTTGGCCTTGGGTTCCAGCAGAGCCCAGAGTCCGGCCAGCGATGAAATCGCCCCCAGGAGTCCAATTGCCCGGGGCGTGAGACTCGTGTAGCCCAGGGCAGTGAGGGGGATGAAGAAGTCGCATACGTTCTTCACCGTGTCCACCACAATGTCCTTGTGTCCCTGCACCAGAACATAGGATTGCAGGGCCAGGCGTTTGATGTCCTCCGGGGAGTTGATGCTCGTGGGGATGCGGCAGCGGGAGATTCCGCCCTTGCAGCCGGAACGATGCAGGTCCAGTACCCTCAGGATCTCGTAGAAGTCCCGGCACAGGTTCATTATGATCGAAAACAGCCAGTACTTGTTGGCGATGCTCGACCAGCGCTTGGCGTTCACCGCCGTCAATCCCGTCCTGGCCAGCCAGAGGAAGTGGTCGGCGAAGAGGAACAGCGACTGTGAAAGCTTGCTCAGGGTGAGCGTCACCCGGATGGTGAGGTCCGGATGGTGGATGGTCTTCAGGGTGCCGTAGAACACATCGACGCACTTGCCGAACCGGAGCACTGCAATTGGAGGAATTAGTTGAGGGATTAGTGGTCGCCAAGGATACCCACACTTTCGGAAGGTGCTCAGGATGTATTCGATCGTCTTGAAGTTGTCCACCAGCGCCGGACTGGAATTGGCGGACTCCAGCGAGTCCCACATGGCCCGCGAGGCGTACTGGACGAGGCGGGCGATCTTGTCCCGACCGCCGGCCTGGTTGTTCAACTGCACCAGCCGATCCATACTCATGTTGTGAACGCACAGCTAGTTGTGTTGTGCAGCAAATTCAAATCTAAGCTAGATCCAATCCAAAATCTAAAGGTCGAATGTTTGGCTGGGGGCAATCAGCTGTTTCCGCGTTTCGCGGTGAATGACAAGGTTGGGACATGGGCGCAGCTGGAATTATTTATTGAACCCATTCCTTAACTTACAGTGAATATCAATAACTAAATAAAAAATAAATAAAGAAATTAAAGACTCTTTAAATTATAAAGTTTAATGAAGCACATTTTATTTAATATGAAAAATAAAAGAAACCCCTTCTATATCTACGCCCCTGCCAACTAAAAAAAGTGCATGTTTCGCAACACTACTAAAAACAGTGTTGCAAAACACTCGCATTGTTGAAAATTTGCCTTCGCCACGTAAAATAGTGGTCCGATTTTCATTTTCGAAATACCTGACACACAACTAGCAATTTCACCATGGCAGTAAGTTTAACCAGCACCAGGACAACGCGCTCGAGGATTACACAAAATCGCTTGTCTACTTGCAGCCACAACAGAAGGGCAAACAGGGCACGAAGGGCGCCAAGCAAATCGTGGAGGAAAACAAGACGACACTGGCTTTCTACCGAAACATGGCCATTGGATGCGCTGCACCCGCCGTGCTCCTCAGTTTCCTGGTCTTTGAGGTCACCAAAACCTCGGTGGTAAGTCGGCAGAGGTCCATTTTAATATGGTTAATCTGGAGTTCCTACTTCCTCCTTTCAGTTCATGCACATTCTGGCATTGCTGATCCTTGGAAGCTCCTACCAGTTTATGGCCTTCATGTCCAAGGCGAAATACTCCGAGAGCGGTGCTCTTGTGGACTCCGGCAACGACTTGAACATGGAGGGCGGTATCGCGGAGTAAGTGCACCCAGTGGAATCTATAGTTAGCTTGCCTAACCAAGACTATTCCCTGCAGAAACGTCAAGGACCTGATCATCCTCACCTCCGGCACACTGCTGCTGGCCCTCATCTCCAACTACTTCTGGCTGGTGCTCCTCCTGGCGCCCGTACGCGCTGGCTGGATGCTCTGGGGAACGGTCATCCAGCCTTGGCTGTCGCAGCGCAACGCCCAGGACGAGAATCCCGAGGTGGACGAGAAGAAGCAAAAGAAACTGGAGCGCAAGATGCGCCGCATGAGATAGGAGACACCTCCACCGCCCGAGGTGACCTAGTAGTTAAGGGGTTCCTGGTTTTCATGAGATTCTACGCTTAGTTGTGTGTGCGTTTCCAAATTGTTAAATGTTCAGCAAATTAAACTGCTCGAGACAAAAGACAATTCACGGTTTTAGTTAGTCAAAGCATTTTTGTGCGATTTAATTGCGGTGAATTTTCCAAGACGACGGGCTCTGCGAGGGAAATTGCATTTCCTCACCAGGTGCCGCCGGGTTTTTGTGCATTGTAAATATATATATTCGTGTAATTGTTTATAAATAAATGTGCTTCAGTGCAGCAGGAACTAGTGCAGTGTCCGTTTCTCTTCGAGATGCTGGCAAGGGGAGCCAATAAATAATAAGCAATAAACGAAGGGCGATCGAAAATAAAATTAAGCTTTTGCAACAATTTATTCTCTTGTTGTCTAGACAATTGTGAGCATCCAAACTAAAGTATAAAAGTATCAAATAGTGTTATGCTTGGGGTACTGTGTTGTGTTGTGCGTCTCGGAGCACTAGATTTCACTAGGTCTAGATTCCAAAACCCCTACGAGGCTCCGAGGCACGCACCGCTTACAAGAACAACGAGGGCAATGATGGTAACTTAAGAACTTTAAATGCAGGTTAAGTGAGATGGGGTTTAGGGGGAAACTGGGGAGAGGCACATGCGCGGGTAGACCGGGAACCTCCTTGCCTAACATCATACATCTGTGCTTAACTACAACAACTTCCGATTAATATATATATGCTTGTTTATACGTAAATATATAACATCGACGCGGCTCAAGCGGCTCCATCTGCCCGCCTAGTTGTACTGCTCGGGAATGACGTATGAGATGTCGTCCCACGGGTGGCGGTACAGGCCCTGTTTGAGACGTTTCTGGTCCATGTAGTGGCCAATAAATCCTATGCTGCGGCCCAGCACGAACAGCGAGTTGATTGCGCCGACATTGATGTACTCTTGTGCCTCCTCACTGAAAGTTAAATCGAGTGTTTTAGACTCCGTTTGTCATCGAACTCCTAGTTCCCTCCGCTCACCTGGTAAATGAGCCGCTGTTGCGCAGCATGTCCACAAATGCGGTGGCTATCACGCCGTCCACATTGAGGATAAGATTCGGTTTCTTGTTGGTAGTGATCTTCTCCACCTCCAGGGCGTATTTAAGCAGCGGGCACGCAGGGAAGTTCTCCAGCACGAACTCCTTGATGATCTTGACGCGCACATCCGGGTTGTTAATGGACTTCACACGGTGGCCAATGCCCAGAATGAGCTTGCCCTCCTTGCGCATCTTGTTCACAAACTCCATGGGATGCAGGTTGGTGTCGTAGGCCTCGGAGAACTGGCGGGCCGATCCGTCCAGAGCACCTCCAAAGCGATCGCCCTGTAAGAAATATCAGAAATTGTGTTACAATTGAAATTTAAATTCCACTTAATTTATCTTACAATGGTCAGCAGACCGCTGACGACCGAGGAGACCAGATCCTTGCCAGCACGGGCGCACACAATGGTGTTGTGGGCTCCCGAAACGGCGGGTCCGTGATCCGCAGTGACCATCAGGCACATCTCGAAGAACTTGCAGACGTACGAAGGCAGGCAGCGCTGGAACCACAGCAGCGATATGACTCCGCCAATGCCCACGTCCTTGCTGAGCACCTCGCTGATGGGCATTCCCGCGTAGATCAGCTCCTGGCCACGCTCGTCGCAGATCGAGGTCATGAAGGAGGCGGGCTTGCGGATGAGACCCAGCTCGCGGGCCCACGAGTAATCCATGGGCACTGTTGGCGGCGGCACCTCCTCCTTGGGCACCACGCGACCCGTCTTCACTAGCTCGCCGTACACGTGATGGATGAGCTCGCCCAGCGTGTCGAAAGAATCGGGAACATAGGCGCCGGCATCCCGCAGACCCTTGTTCTTGGCTGTGGCCGTCTCACGATCGGAATTTGCGCAGGAACCGGCGTGACCGAACTGCACCTCCGAAGTAAACATGCTGGCGCAAGTTCCAATGCACCAGGCCACCAGAGGCTTGGTAATGCGACCGTCTTTCAGAGCAGCACACACATCATACTCCTCGGTGCCACCCACTTCGCCCAGCAGGACAATCAGCTTGGTTTCCGGATCCGCTTGATAGCGCAGAATGTGATCCATGAAGGTGGAGCCCGGGTAGCGATCACCTCCGATGGCAATGCCCTCGATCACGCCGTCGGTGGCCTTGGAAATGATGTTGTTCAGCTCGTTGGACATTCCGCCGGAGCGGGAAACATATGCCACACTGCCGGGACGGTAGAGTTTCGAGTGCAGGATGTTGTCCAGCATGCCGCCGGTGTTGCCAATCTTGAAGCAACCGGGCTTAACACCGCCCACGGTGGCGGGTCCAATGATTGCGACGCCCTTCTTGTCCGCCTCGATGATCAGCTTGCGCGTCATGTTCTCCGGAATGCCCTCGGCAATAATGGCCACCGTACGGATCTGCGGGAATTCCAGCACCTCGAGCGTCGACTCGTAAGCGCTGCGCATGGAAGCAAAGTTGACCATAACGTCGACATCCTTGTGCTTGTGGATGGCATCGGACATTTTCTTGTAGACGGGAATGAGGATTTCCTTGTGGCCCCAGTAGTACTTCTGCTTGTGATCGCCGGTGAAGGGATAAACCATGGCCACCACAGAAGGCTCGTCGCGTCTGAAGGAATATATGATATTATAGTGATATGATTAGCACTAGAATCTCTAACTTACCTGCAGATGAAGTCAAAGTCGAGCATCGACTGCACCGCCCGCTGCTGCATGCCCCACACAATCGCCTTGGTGGTGTTCGAGAAGAACTTTCGGGTCACACTCGATCCGTTGCGCTGAGCACCGGATGCACAGCTCGCGCTGTCGCCCTCATCTGCTGAGATAGGTGGTAGTTTAATCGGTTTAGCTGCGGTCGGGCTCAGGGCTATCCCAAATGGAACGAGTCGAGAGACGAGAGTCGATGATGATGGAGGAGCAGAGAGCGAGATCAGGACGTGTAGAAGATTGACAAACCAGTACGAGACACAAACACATGGAACATAACACGAACACGGGGTGATGAGGGATCAGATTGGGTGGAATCGGATCAGATCGGTTGGCCAAACGAGCATTTTGGTTTAGTTATTAATTTGGTGGAGGAATATGTGGATAATTTTTTGGTGAGTGTGGCGACAAGATTCGATGTCGTTGTAGTCGAGGGCGAGCAATGCAAACATACAAAATACAGAGAGAGAAAAGAGAGAGAGATCAGATAAGTGAGGACGATCGATGCGTTGCAATCTGTAGCAGGGAATACAAACAGTTCATTGGACTACAGCTAAAATGGATTAGTGAGATCCCGGGTTAGCCGCACACAAACTCTTAAGACACCCAGCTACTCTACTTACCGGCATTGGAGCCCAAAGCCTCGCTGGCATCGCTGGCCGCCTTGAGATCTGCCTGGGCCTGCTGTCCACCGGGCAGCAAGAAGTTCGCGGTCGAGAACTCAACGCTGGACACCTGGGGAATGGGCCGCTTGCCCAGCGCCATGCCGCAAATGGCGGTCATGTGGGTCTCGGGTCCGAAGACGTGCAGTGGGATGCCCAGAGTGCTGCCAAAGTCGCGCATCTTCCGCAGACCCTCCTGGTAGTTGGGTCCGGCGCGACGCACAAAGATCGACACATTGTGCTCCGCCAGCTTGGGCTGGAACTCGCGCAGGGCGGTGATGATGCCTGCATAGAGGTTACACATTTAGATTGATGGTTGATTAGATAGGTAAGCTGAATATGTGTCTCACCTTGGAAGGTCGCCGCCACATTGGTAAAGTTGGCAATGCCACCTCCCGTAATCAGCACCTTGCCATCGGGATGCTTTGGCGAGGAGGTCATTAGGTTGAGGATCGTCTTGGCGTACTCGTATGTCTGCTGCTCCGAGGGAGCTCCACTGTACTCGCCATAGTTGGCCAGCTCGGAGGCTCCACCCAAGTCGCAAATGGTGTCCGAGTAGATGACACTGGCGCCACCGCCCGCCACCATCGTCCAGATGCGTCCGTTGCGATTCAGGATCGTCAGCTTGAGCGAAGCACCGCTCTTGGCGTCCAGATCAGCGATGTAGGCCTCCTCGGGATAGGCATCCCGACCGAACGGCGGTGGGTAGTCAATCTCGCCCCACTTGGGACGGCAGATGAAGTCGGCGGTCGAGTCCAGCTTGGCCGCCAAATCCAGGATGTACAGACTGTCGGCCGTAACCACCAGAGGATTGATCTCTAGATATGTAAAGTACAGGTCCACATAGGTCGTGTACAGAGCGCTAATGAACTTGGCAATGCGCTCCTTGGTGCCCGCATCCTTGACCTCCTTCAGCAGCTTGCTCTTGACGTCGGCCAGCGACAGAGTGGAGTTTACAGGGACGTCCAGCTTCACGGCCTTGGCATCTACATCGCCAATATCCACGCCACCCTGGTGGTAGAACAGAATGGTGTCGGCAGCGCGGTGCGAGTAAACGCACACGTACATCTCCTCGGCCTGAAATAGTAGTTAACAAGATTAAATACATATTTAAAGAGGGAAACCAAGAATTAACTCACATCTGTGTGTGGCACAAAAGGCTCGATGATGAAGTTGCGCAGCTTGCCCACGGCATTTCCGATCTTCTGGTCCTTGTTGAGCCGCTCACCAATCCACTGCTTCACCTGCTCGAAGTTCTTTTTGACGCCAATCAATCCCAGCTTTCCGCGACGCTTGATCAGTTGATCGGGCTTCACCACCAGCGGCTGCAACAAAGGAAAGGACGGTGTTAATTAAATGTGTACCAAATATATACTATATATGTACTAAATAAGCGACAAATCGTTGAACCTCCTGAGCGCGGCGTCAGCAAAAAGCCGGTTCTAAAGCAAAGCATCTGTCGGCGAGATCAGCCGATAGCGCCAGGGGTCGCGTTCCCGCGTCATTGGCAATGACAATGCCAGTGCTCGTACCCTTACCCCAACTTGTACTTGTGCCCACACAAAAAAAACACATCTCATACGCTTATTAGAAGATCGTACGAGTGTAAATTGAGCAAACGTCCGAGTACAAAATGTCATCCGAGTCATCAGGCGATCAACTTTGTCGTGTAATTACAGCCGAAAGAACTTATGACATGGTGGATTTTTGGAACTTTTATATGGATATAATAAAAACACATATAAAATTATAATAAGAATATGTCATGTGGGATCATACAATAAAAGTAAACTATACTTCTTAAAAATACCTCTCTGCTTTGTTGGTTTTATTGCGTGAATTGTATTGTTTGTTAAGACTCAAAACTTGTTTACCCATCGCACTTGGGAGAGGTAAACATCTTTATCAGTGGGGATTCTTCAGCAAATATAGTCACCAAGTTAATATAAGTATTTGGCCACTTCCCACGATAAAGTAACAATGGGATATGCCCCATGAATTAATTACCAGATAAGTTGAAGTACTTTAAAAATAGGTTCCTAAACTTTCTTCTATATAACTTAAATGATAGGGCTTCTCCCGCTAGAATTTTTAGATAAGATTATGCTTCTTTTGATTTCCACTAAAGTTATATTTTCCCAAAAATAAAAACCCCATTCTTCAAGTGGGATTTTCACAATTTCTACTTTTTTACCATACTGAAAATGGGGACGCTTCCTTTTAAAATCAACAAATAACTTTAAGATAAGACTTAAACCTCTTTAAACCATTCCAAATAACCCAATCAACTATTAATGTGACATTTATATAGAATTTACCATAGATACGATTTCTACTTTTATAAATTTAAGGTTTAAACCCGTGCCAGATAAGACCAACGAATTCAGACGCTCCCTCTAAAGTCAACAAATAACTTGAAGATAAGATTTCGCCTACTTGGATTTCCATGATAGAGGTTTTCTGCAAAACACAACCTATTAGTTCCCCCGAATTGCCCACTCAACAATAAAGCGTCACCCTCAAGATAAGTACCCTGCTACAGCTAAACTTTCCACAATCGATCGGAAGGTCAATCAGAGATAGGTGCGTGATCGAGAATCCCAATCTCCACGCACGCTTATCGTGCTCGCAAATGAGGTGAGCCTGATCCGCCGGCGGATAACCAAGCGGGCCAAGACCACGCCATGCCACGCGACCTGCGGCTGGGAGTGCGGCCATCTGATAAAAACTAGAGTGCGTCCGTCTACCCCGCAGATTCCGGCGCCCCATTTCGTTCTTATCAGGAGCCGCGCTTAGTCATCCCTCAACGGCGTGGTAGAGCCTCCACCACGAGGTCAAGTTCAATGACAATCCCGCCAAGCGGCGGCGTTTGTTGTCGCCGGCCCAATTGTTGTTCCTGCACATCGGCTGTTCGGCAATCTGCGAGTTCCGTGGCTATTTTTAACTGGCACTCACCGTGGTCAGCAGCCAGGGCTGGTCGACGGCGAGCTTGGACCAATCTGTAGAGGAGTTCACTGTGGCAAACCTGCAGGTGGTCACGCCGGCGCCGTGGGTGTTGAGATGGCGGTTCAGGATGTCCTTGCCGGAGGCCTCCGTGATTGCTTTCGCCGACATGTTGAAGCTGTAATAGGACAATATCAAGGGAATTACTAGTATTTCCGGGCAAATATCAAAGACAAATAGAGGAGGTCGTCTCGTGTGCTCGCGCGTACCGTTTGACTTTGCCTGTACTTTCAAACTTTGATTTATTTACTTAGAATTGATTAGAGCGCGACTGTGTGCAGGTGCAATAGGTTTCGAGTTCGTTTTTAGGTGTGCGTGCTGGGTTTAGCTTTGGATTCGGCTTGGGGAACCGGGCAATTGGTCAACCTGCACGTCGTCGCGTCTGGGAGTAAACTGAAATCGAATAGGCGACAGCACCAGCCATGAAAATGAGCCAGCAACAGGCGTATTCTGATTTCGTTTTCGATTTCGTAGCGCTGCCTCGGCTTTAACTTCGTGGGCTTCGTCGGGTCTTTAGAATTTCGGGAGGTATGTGTGTGTGGGGGCTCTCTTTCCCCCAAGTTCCCCGGAGATTACAACGGGATCTCGGGCCCTGGACCATCGAGTGGGGGGAGGGGGGGAACCTTTTCCCGAACCGGTTATCATCATATCATTGCAACGAAAGCCAGTCAGTGGGTCACTGAAGGGCTGAACTTTCTCTGAAATACCTGGAGAGCTGGCAGTTAGTTAGCTGGCTATCTAATTCGAAAAAGAGAACCTTTTCAGGGGGCTGATGACTTTGCAAGTACACACGATCTAATTTACATCTGGAAACGAAGTTCACGCCTTGCTGAAATGCGTATGGAAATTTCGTGCGCGCTGGTGAAACTTAAACTCGGAAACTAAAACTAAAGCCGAATGTGTTGTAAGCGGTGAAAGTGGGCAAAATCAATAAGGCCGTTGCATCACCAAGTAGCAGGTGGAATAGCCGTTAGTCTTCGTCTTCGCTATTATTTATTGCAAAATAGTTTGCAGATTTTCTCATTAATATTTTTGCAAGATTGCGCGGATATGTGTGTGTGTGTGTTTGCGTAGCAAGCCGATCTCTTCTAGTCATGTTTTCTGCCGCCCTCTCCTCCCTTCGTTCAGATTTGTCAAGGGTTATAGCCAGAAAGGTTTATCCACTTCTTAGACACTCACTTTAATTATATCAGCTTCACGACCGCGATTAATTTTAACACGCAAACTAAACTGCAACTTTCTTTTGGTTTTTTGACCTAGCGATGGCAAAGCGGCGATGGGCGACAATCGATAGCTCTTTCTCCGTTTTCTTTCGGTTACATGGCGATATATTTGGGTAAACACAAATTCGGAGCCTACCTTAAGGCGCAACTACAAAATGCCTAACGGTATGCAACAGTATTAATTAGTCAATTTTAGGAGGGTGTCCTCGCTAACTTAGCCGATGCAGATGCAGTTGTTAAAGTAAAGATTTTAACAATTCTGGCGGAGATTGAATTTGAAATAAAAAATTAAAAAATTTGGAATCGGTATTTGGTTATATATAATATATTCTGGGTATTCCCTAAACTGCTGAAATGTTTGTATGGACCAAAATTCAACAATTCAGCAATTCAACAGTTTAGGGAATACCCTCATTATATTATATACGGGGTATTATTTATTTCAAAATCAACTTAAAAAGCATATTTGTGGTTTTTTTTACCTTGGTAACAATTTTAGTAACTAGTAACTAGCAATAATAAATCAAGATTAACATGTTTTAACGTGAAACTTTTTAACAAATAACAGCTGTTTGAAAATTCAACAGGAACCATTTTGGGTCGTTCCCTTAATTGCTGACATTTTCTGTTGAATTTTCAACAATTCAGCAACAGTTTAGGGAATACCCTAATTATTAAATGCAATCGCCTATCGCTATCGAATTTTTAGGAAAAATTAGGACCTTTTGCCTTGCTTTTTCGCAGGGATTTTCCGGTATTTATATACTGCCAAAAATACCAACCCTGTTCGCGAATTGCATTGGATAATATAAATAAAGCGCAGCGCCCAAGAAACCACGACCGAGATAAGCAGCTGGACAGGAAGTGAGCCACACGGAGCAGCGCAACCGCCGCCCGCAACACACACACACACACAGAGGAGCACAGACGCCATGCCCACACAAGCCCAGCTGAGGCCGATCCCGCGGCTATTCCTGCTCATCTTGCTCATCCTGGGCGCCAGCGGCGAGAAGGTGCTGCAGGAGAGCTTCCTGGGGCTCCAGGACGCTCCGCCGACGGTCCACGAGCTGGGCGAACTGCTGCGCGACCTTCGGCTCGTGCCGTCGCGCCTAGACTTTGGAACGTGGTCCGTCGGCCAGGCGCGCTCCCAGACGGTGACGCTGTTCAACCAGCACTCCAACCGGACGCTCCAGCTGAACGCGGTGACCGGGCCGAGTCCGGCGTTCTACAGCAGCTTCCTGGGGGCCAGGGAGGTGCCGCCGCAGGGCAACACCACCTTCAGCGTGGTCTTCCTGCCGCGGCAACTGGGCGCCATTGCGGGGGATCTGCTCATCCACACCTCCTTCGGCCAGGCCGAGCTGGCGGTGCGCGGCGAGGGCAGCGAGTGCCCGTACCGCCTGAAGCCGCTGGTGGGCATCAAGGCGCCCATGAATGCGACGCTCACGCCGGAGATTCACATGTACAATCCGCACGAGCGGCCGCTGCAGATACTCGAGGTGGGGTTTGCTTTTATACCTTATAGAACCAATAATCATTACCAACTATCCCCACAGATCTACAGCAGCGGCGGCGAGTTCCAGCTGGAGCTGCCCAGCGGCGGTTCGGAGGGCCCGCAGAATCTGTGGGAGATTCCGCCGCACACTTTAAAGCCCGTGATTAGGATCTCCTTTCATGGCCGCACCGCCGGCAACCACAGCGCCTACATACGCATCAAGATCGCCGAGCAGGAGCTGGATCTTGGCCAGGACAACGTCCTGGTCATACCCGTCGAGTTCGAGATCCTGCCAAGGCATTCAGCCTACGCCCGCAACCCGCTGGCGGACTTTGGCCGCGTGGCCACTTTGAATGCTCCGGATGCCCTGCAGTTCAAGCTGGACGTGCGGAACGATGAGAGCCGCCTGCTCTTCGGCAGCTACCTGCGCCGGATTCCCGGCCTCTCGTTCGACGCCAACAACACGAGCATCGTGCTGGATCCCACGCTCTTCGAGGGCAGCGAGACCATCAACGATCTGCTGGTGATCAAGAGTAACCAGTCTAGTCCAGAGGCGGATGAATCATTCACAGTGGTGGTGCGCGCAGAGATCTTCCACGGAGGCCTCTCCTTCGATGGAAATGTCACTAGGTTTGTGACCCACTCACCGGAAGGAGCAGAAGGAGCACCGCTGGAGAGAAAGCGATCGCTGGTGGTGCGCAACAACTTCGCCATGCCTTTGATTCTATTCAACGTGAGTCTCAGCGAGCCCGTCGACGAATCTATCTTGGAAGTAACCCTGCTGGGCGATCCCAGGATAGTCCTTCAGCCAGGCGAAGCCGTGGAGCTGCTGCGCCTGAACCTGCTCAACGACCAGGTGGCGTTTAAATCCCATCTGCGGATTGAGACAAACGTCACAGTGTTCAAGCTTCCCTTGGTCTCATGCAGTGGACGCCTACGCGTGTCCACGCAGCCATTTGTGCTTAATCTCCAGCAGGAGGCGCCGCTGGAGGAGGAGGAGGAGCTCGATCTGGGCACTGTGCCATTCGCCGAGATGTCGCGTGATGGATTCGTCATCCTGCGCAACGACAACCCGGTGCCCGTGAAGATAACCAACTGGTTCTTCAAGCACCCAAAGACCGTCTACTCGCAGTGCACTTTTCTGGGCTGTCGTTCGGGCAGTCTGCTGAGTGCCGAGAACGAGACGAAGGGCTGGCATTTGTGCACGGAACTTCGCTCGGGTGAGATTGCCGTGTTCAAGGTGGCCATCCAGACGTACGAGGCGGAGGCCACATTTGGAACCCTCAAGGTGTGGACGCCATACGAGGTAATACGCGTACGTGTCAAGTTCGAGGCCTCGGTGGGGCATTTGGAGATTGAGCAGGAGCAGCTCAGCTTCAAGAACTGCTTTCCCGGCCGAATGTGCACCGCCGTGCTGAGCGTGCGATCGAGTTTCACGCATCCGGTGCACGTGAAGGGCATCTCCTTTGCCTATCCGCTTGGCCTGCGCTTCAAGGACTTCAACGCCAAGGGCACTACGATTGCCCCACAAACGCTGACCAAAGTGGGCCGCATCTACTTCGAACCAGCGGCCCTGTGTCGCAATCAGTGCTACATTAGAGAGTCCACCAATGATCTGGCCATCTTTCCCAGCGTCCCGGGAGGCGGCGGCGATGGCAGCGTCATCAACAATAATCTCCTCTATGATGGAGTGGAGTTGCGGCAGCGCACGGAGCACTTTAGGAAGCTGAGACGCCAGCTGTCCAGCATGTCGCTGACTTTACACAGCGAGGAGCTGCCGCCGCTGGAGCTGGACTTCGCCATACCCATCGAGTGGCCCAAGCTGGTGCAGTTCCAGCCCATCCCGCCCACGCCGGCCATAGAGGTGGGCCAGGTGCAGCGCCAGTGGATCACGCTGACGAATCCCTCGCAGAATCCCCTGCTGCTCGACTACTTCCTTTCGGATCCGGCCTTTGCCCGCCGCACCCAGCTTTCCCTGCCGCACGAGGTGATCGATGTGAGCTCCACGAGTTGCTATCTCACGGATAAGGAGGTCTTCGCCCTGCCAGAGGCCGGGGATCCCATCCTGCTGCCCGGAGGCGCCAGTCTGAACATCCCCATCACCTTCAGCGCCCAGCAGCCGGAAAAGTACTGCACGCTGCTGCACGTGAGGAGCAATCTCACGCTGTACGAGGCCGTCTGGCTGCAGGCGCGTGCCGTGCAGTCGCAGTTCCGCTTCGGGAATCGTCGACCGGGATCTGGATCTCCATTGCTCTTTGAGTTGGCCACCGAGCAGTTTCAGGGCTGTCAGTCTGGAAATGGAGCAGTGGTGGCCACTCGTAGTTTCACTGCCCGCAACTCGGGTGTGATTCCCATGCGCATCGAAGGCTTTCTCATTGGTTCGCTGCCCTGCGAGGACTACGGCTTCAAGGTGATGGACTGCGAGGGCTTCGATCTCGGCGAGAACGAAACGAGGAAGGTGGAAATTGCTTTCAGCGCGGACTTTACTTCCTCGAGGGTCAAACGCTCGCTTACCCTACTAACCAACCTCACCTACGACATCAGCTATCTTCTGCTGGCCCAAATGCCTGCGGAAAGTGTGGAGCTGTGCGCCTCCCTGTTGGTGAGACCCGCATGGGAGACCTCCCTGAAGAATGCCGCTTTGGTAGTGCTCCTCGCCAGCTTTGGACTCGTACTGGTGGCCGCTGTCTTCGATGCGAAGGCCATAATGGTTCAGCAAAGTGCCTACGATGCGGCCAGGAACAAGGGACCTCTGCAGCCCACTTTTAATCTACGGAACATCGTGAAACTGCAGGCGGAGGAGGCTGCGGCCAAGGCGGAGGCTGTGCAGCAGCAGCAGAAGGCCAGGAACGGGCAACTTAAGGAGCTACGCAAGCGAAGCGTAGTGAACACGACATCTAAGTCAAAATCAAAGACCTCCTGGTCGCCATGGAGCATGGATATGAATGCTCTGAGCAAGCACCTGCAAAAAGCGAAACCAAAGATTCCAGTTACTCCCCCAACTGCTGCTGCTTCTGCTCCTGCTGCCCCCCAACCGGAAACTAAGCCGGTGAAGAAATCAGCGACGCCATCTCCCCAGGCTGTTCCCATCTCAAATCAAGTTCGTCCGCAGAAGAAGGTGAAACCCACTTCTGTTGTGACCCCTGTGACTGTGAAAAGCAAGCCGGAACCCTCTACCCCCGTTGTGGAACAGCAGGAGAAACCCTTGACCAAATCGAGTCCACCGCAACAGGAGAACATATCGCCCAAACCGAACAAGGCAACAGAACCTCGCGTGCTCAAAGAACAGAACGGATCTGCCAAGAAAATAGGAAAGACGCCGGGAAGAGAGCGGGAAAGGGAGCGCCGCAAGGAACAGAAGATGACAAATGGCTCGGGGAATGCTGGATTAGGATTCAAGAAGCCGGAGCGAAAGCAGCGGCAGAAGCTCAACTTCGGGCAGACCACAAATAGCGCCTCGCCGCCTTCATCGCCGGATGCTCTGAAGTTCGTAAACTCTGTGTGGGAGATGAACAGTCACGGCTCCTACCGGGATGCTTTGCAGACCCCGCAACTGGCGCCCGCTGACAATGGTTTAGGTTGGAGCAACGGTTCGTCCTCGAGTGATCTTGGACCGATCGGGGATAGCCGGAAGAACGCCACGCCACCTCAGGTGCCAGCTGCGTGGGATCCTATTTCCAGTAATTCCTTCTTTGGCAACGGAGGGGTGGATTTCGCCACACCAGAGGGTAAGTTGCCTTAGGTTTTACATGTTTATAGGTTGCTAATGCTTATGATCCTCCACTCTAGTTACCTACGAGCAAAGGGAGCGGGAGAAGCCACAATGGGATCGGCGCAGCGACTTGATTCTGCAGCAGCAACTACTTCTGCAGCAGGAGTTTCAGCAGAGGCAGCAGGAGAACCTCTCAAGCAACTGGGCCACCAACTGGCTGCCGCCGGTATACTCCTCCTGGCCGGACGCCGCACCCAGCCTGGGTGTAATGCGTCCTCCGCCAGGTCTAGAGCAAAACCCACGCCAGACGCACAACCTTGCACAAGAAGCGGGCTCCGAGGGAGCTGCAGTTCCCGGCGAGAGCAGCCTACCCACGCAGTACGATCCCTTCACCTCGCCCAGCTCCATCTGGTCGGATACTTGGCGCCAGTCCTCGCAGCGCAACAGCCACAATAACCACATGAACTAAGGACTAAGGGGAACGACGAGGAGGAGCAAGCTCACTGATCAAAGCGAATCAACCAAATGAAATTCTTACCACTTAGGTTACCACTAGGATACGCGACGATGGAGGAACACGCAGAATGATCTTTTCCAATTTGACTTTTGACTAATAAACGCAAAGATAAATGACTTTCATATCAAACTTTGTTCATTGTTTTGTTGCCAGTGTAATTTCATCTAGTTTAGCTTAGTTTACTTCTCCTTGTACGTGATGATGCCCTTCTCGATGAGGTCGGGAATCTCGACGGCCAGCCATGGAGCAAGCTGTGAAGGGAAGATTAGAGTTATAAGTAGTGTTATTATTTAAAAAATAATATTCTTGGAGTGCTTCACAGCAATTGACTTAAAATTCCGTTAGTGCTAGATCCCCTAGATCACGAAAATACCACTAATTTTTTTTTATGGCACAGTTTTTTTTTTTAGGTTTTTAAAAGTAGAAAATGTTAAATTTGGGACTTTTTTGAATTTGTTCCTATATCCCGGCTCATATCCATCCAATTGGATAGATTCTTATTTTATTTTAAAGTCAATAGATTAGAGCTTAACTTTGCCATACAGATCAACATGATTGGATAAGTGATGACAGCGCAGCAGCTCGACAAAGATGAAAAATGTGTTTTTTGGTCGACTGTAAGTCGGCTGTATATATCGTAAAAACTCGAAATAAATCCGTTGAAAAATCATAATGGGTACCAACTTTAAGTTTACATTCTACCAAATAAAACAAGCCGGATATGGCCGAAATCCATGGAAAATTGGATTTATGGTGGATTTTTAAAGTTTGGATTTTTTAACTTCTTTATGTAAACAAAAATGAGTGGTGACGGCAGCCAAAAAAAGTCCGAAATTAAAAATTTTAAACTTTAAAAAATCTTTAAAAAAAAACTGTGCCATTGAAAAAAAAATTAGTGGTATTTTCGTGATCTAGGGCTCCAACTCTAACAGCAATTAATTGCTGTGGAGCATTTTGGCTGTAAACTAGTGTAATTAGAGAATACTTACGCCCAACGCCATGGCATGGGCGATGCCGAACTTGGGAACGTTGCGTGCCCACAGGGGCTTGAAGTGATCCGTCAGGCAGATCTTGCCGCCGCGGTACATCTTCGCCGTCTTCCCGTCGAGCTCCGGCAGGGCAATCTCCGGAGCGGTGGTCGGGTACGTCACTGGGATGTCGAACTCCACGTCGAACTCGTACTTCAACAGGTTGTGCATGTACCAGCACTTGCCGAACCACTTGGTGCCCTCCTTGTTGGACTCCAGTCGGAACCAGTCGCTGCCGGACTGCTTGTTGTTCTCCACATACTGCGGGGAAGAGGGGGTTACTGGAATCTCCAGAGATCCTTCCTGATCTTGCCTACCTTGATCAGCGCCTGGTACTCCTCCTTCAGCCGCTGCACCCACACATCCTTTTCGCGGGGCCCGGCGCGAATCTGCAGCAGGGGAATGCTGCTCAGCGTTTTCCGGGTGCTGTCGTCCACCATCTCGTCAGGAATATGGCCAAAATTAAGGAAAACTCGGGGGAAAACAAAAGCGTCGAGTTGACACGTTCACGTTTGTGGGTGCGAAAGAGACAACTGCAACAGCTGGCCGAGCAGGCAGGGGTGTAGTGAAAAACTTTTCAAGGGGGTTAGGTTTGTATTGTATGAAAATTTGGGTTTAGGGGGAAACTTTTTCCTTTTGGGGGTAGGATATCATAATAATTACAAAATTATATTATTTCTGGACCATCCCATCCCCCACTTTCTATTGAATGCTATTAAACTAATCTATTTGTCGGAACAACTTATAATCGTATTATTTTAAATCTATTTATTATTGAAAATGTAGTCTTAAAAATAAATTACAAATTAATCTGAAAAGTTCTAAAAAAAAAAGCAACCTACAAAATATTCATAGGCGTAGTTAAATCTCTAATAATCGATAGTCATCGATTACTTGGCGCCAAAGCGAGTTGCGAAATTAAATCCCGCCATATAAACAGGAAATAGCCCGTTTCGCATTGTTTTCAGGTCCCATTCACGAATATAAAGGCGGCGGGGCTGGCATTCTGTTTAAACAATATTTGCTCGTCGCGCGATAAGCATCAAAATCTAGAAAAGACACAGCGGCTCGGTGATAGTGTGAAATTAAACAAACAAAGTCTTGAAAAGTAAACAGATTTGGCTCCAGTGACTCTGTGAATATTTAAATTACCTAATTACAAGCAGTAAGTGTCAATTTTGATCATGTTATCTTTCTTAGCTGAGATTTTAAATAGAATGTGCAATAAAATATGGCGAAATAACGGTCTTTTTACTGAAATCAATGTTGAATGATTATCAATTATTGCGAAGCAATATCTTAACTAAACTTAAATATTTCTCATTTAAATAAATTACATTACGGTCTTGTCATATTTTTTATTAGTTGTACAACCAACAACTACAAATAAGGTTCATAAAATATTCTATTATGAAACCAAAATCTGTCAGGGAATCACTCAAAATTGCTTTCTTTAAGTCTGGCCTTTTAGTTTCTCAAAGATTACAATTAATAGCACCCCATAAAAATAAGTATTAGAAGAATATGGTCCTGGGAATCACTTAAACCAGTGGGAACCACAATCAACATAGGGGAGGTACGGAAAAGGTCAGAGATCTTAGGCGTTGACAACTTAGCTTTTGCAAAATATTCCATTGGTAAATAAGACGTTACCACTGAACGAAAAACAAACCAAGAGAACTTGTCTCGTCATTTCTATGGCACAGATTGAAGATTCCGCAGAAGACTAGAATGTGTACAAACACACGCCGATCGATGGTACCTTTGAACTGAGCATGATAATGCCAATTCCCTGATAAGGAGCACAAATCCACTTTTCCGAAACCGACTCGAACCGGTTTGTCCGTCTGCCTGAGCCTGGCATCGCGGCTCGATCGGTTTCAAAATAAGAACCATGTGCTATATGCGTCTATATAAATTACCAGATTCGACCTTAATCACTGATAACGTTATACCAGTTCGAGATGATCAGGGTGCAGATGGACGAACCGGTTTCAGCCGGCTCATCCGATCGAAGCAGGGTTTTCAATTAAAGATCTTACAAATTGTTTACCCCGCGCGTCGCTCTGATTTGGTTTTTATTGGGTCAAAGGGTCACCTAGGGCTAGCACTCTGCTCCAGGGCTATTTTGTGCTGCTATCGCTTCTCCGCCTCCTGTTCCGCCATCCTGCCTGGCCTCCGTGGTCTTGCGTACGCTCACCGCGATGATTGTGTCCGCTTTGCGAGGACGACTGAACCGCTGGTGGCGGTTCTCCTCCCACTCCTTGCGGTGCACCTTCTTGCGATGGGCATGCATATTGGCATTCGAGTTAAAGGTCTGCGGGCAGTGAGGACATGTGTACAAAACCTCGCCCGTGTGTGTGGTCATGTGTTCCTGGAAATACATTTTATTAATAGCTGATAATAACCCTTAATATTAATAGGAATACCTTCAGTTCGTTGGGTCTCTTGAAGGCCTTCTCGCACATGGGGCACTGATGAGTCCTCGCTGTGTTGTGGGTGTACTTAATGTGGTGCTGGTGCGCCTGCAGGCTGGGCGAGATCTTCAGGCAGAGCTCGCACTGCATGGGCTGCAGATTCTCGGCGGTGTGCATCATTTTTATGTGCCGCGCCAGTCCGTATTTGGTGGTTAGCATAGAGTCGCACAAGTGGCACTTGATGGCCGCCTGAGTGGCGCCCGTGTGCTCCTCCATGTGCCTAGCCAAGGCTTCGCGTCCCCGGATCGATTTTCCGCAGACATCACAGATCTTGGCGTACAAATTCAAGTGGACCAGCTTGACGTGCTGCTGCATTAAATACTGTGTGGGGAAACTGCAAAATATACGTTTTAAGGTATGGCAAATAACAAAATCATCTCGAAACTTACGTCTTCTCGCAGTGGGTGCACTTATCCTGCCACTGCTCCCGCGGAATGTGCGTCAGCTTGTGGCGCTCGCACACAACGGAGCTGTAGAAGCTCTTGGCGCAGTGGTCGCAATGGTAGAGGCGTCCGCGCGTCTTGATCTCGTGCATGCGCATGTGCAGCTCCAGACTGCGCCGCTCGCCCATGACGCGTGCGCAGATGGTGCACTTGAATAGCTCGGGATCCTGGTGGCGACGCAGGTGGTCCACGAGGACGCCCCGCTTCCAGAACTTGCGGTTGCAGCACATCGAGTAGCCGCGCTGCTTGTGCTCGCGTCGCACATGGGTCAGCATCTCGGAAAAGCCCTCCATGGGCGCGCTGCAGATGTGGCAAAGGACTTTGTAGTGCTCGCGAATGTAGTCGTTGAACTCCTGGGACTTCCGGATGTTTGGCAAACCGGATTTCTTGGGCCGCTCTGCCAGTCGCACGCGCCCGCGTCCCCTTGGTCGTCCGCGAACCTTTCGCTTAATCTTGGGCTGGGGTTCCTCTTGCTCCTCCTCCTCTTCGCCGTCCCCGCTGATGAAGTCATGCTCCTCCTCCTCCTGATCCTCCAGCACATCGGCAATGGTTAAATCCGCTTCGGGGTACTCGATTTTTATCTCGTTCAGGTTGATTTGCTCCAGTACGGTTTTAAATTCCTCGCTGACATCTTTTGGAGCGGTTTTACGGGGTCGTCCTCGTCGGCGCTTCACGGCAGCGGCCACGCTCTCCACCTGCTCGTTTTTCACCAGGGGTTCTTTGGAAACCACTTCTGGTGCAGCTGTTTCCTCCGGAAGCGTTTGCTCCAGCGCCTTGTGTGCCTGCTCCACGCTCAGATAGAAGTTGTGGAAGAGCAGCAGCTGCTCCCAGCAGGCGCCGCACACATAACCGATGGTCGAGGAAGGGATCTAAAAGTAGGAATCCTATTTTATAAGTAATCCAGCAAAAGGAATCCATTATTTACCCGCAGCCAAAAGTGTTTCTCGATGATGCATCGCAGGCCCAGGGAATCGGCCTCCTCCGAGGCGAATTCTATGTTGCCCACTGCGTCCTCCGTACGCTGGGTGCACAGAAAACAAGGCATTTGCTCCAAATAACGCCACTAAATGCACAAAACTCGCTAAAATGCGTTTTATTTTACAAATAAAAATTGACCGACGCACAGCTGTTTGGTGCCATCACCAGGTGTTATCGATAACCAAGCGCGAATGGTAGGACCATAGTTTTCCATTTCAAATATCTCAAAGATTTTTATATTGAAGTTTAAGAAATTTAACGATTAACTAAAGTTAGCACACCTAATAAGTAGTTTAAACAACTAAACCTATTAATCACACACAAAATCAAGTTTAAAATCAGGTGTAGTATTAATGCGCAGTTTTTAAGAATGCACATTTTACGGCATTCACACTAAGGTCATACTGAATCGAGCTATTTTTTCGACTTTGGGATTAATTTATTCTAATTTAAGCTTTAATTCGGCTTAATTTGTTAATACGTTGTTTACGAAATGGCCACGCAGTTTGGCGAAACCGCCGAGCCGAGCCGTTCACCTCGTCTGCGATGTGTAAGTGAGATTTGGCTGGCTTATCGGAGGGCACACTTCCATTTCCACACCTGAGTTTCAGACACCCATAAACATAAACAAAAGCAGACGTTTTAACGGCCCACTTATCTCTGCCCGTCTATTTCCAGCCAGCTTAATCTCGTCAAGAAATCCGGAGAGCACGGACATGGAGGTGCAGACAAGTCGCGTTGTCCCCGATGGCGGCTACGGATGGATTGTTGTGGCCGCCGTGGCCTTGATAAATGTAAGTGGTCATCACTCCTAATGGGAAAAATATAACTCATAAATATTCCCCCCCAGATGACCAATCAGTCCATTCTGTCTGTTTTTGGCCAGCTCTTTATGGGCGAGCTGCACAGACTGCAGGAGGACACCTTCACGGCGGCCCTGATCACGAATCTCAATAGTCTGGCCCTCAACTTTTCCGGCCTCTTCATTGGACCCGCCATCAAGAGCTTCAAGCCACGGAATGTGGCCGCCACGGGTTGCATCCTCGTCTCCTTGGGCCTGGCTCTTTGCGCCTTTGGTACCCAGAGTTGGCACTTCATTGTGGGCTACAGCTTCTTCGTGGGCTTCGGCTTGGGCCTCATCTCGCCCTCCACGTTCATGGCCATTAATTCCTACTTTACCACTAAGAGGGGACGCGCTGTGGGTGTCTCACTGGCGGGAGCTGGCCTGGGACAGGTGCTCATCCCTCATCTGGTGCGTTATCTCCTGGAGAACCACGGCTTTCGCTATGCTGTCCTAGCTGTGTCCTGCCTTTCGCTGCTTGGAGTAAGTTTGGAATGGAAAAATACATCTTAAACCCATGCTTATTTCGTATTATCTTACAGCTCTTTGGTGCCGTCTTCTTGAAGCCCCTAAACCCGCCCGCTAAGCACAACAATCGCAGACACATTCGACTTCTGGCCGAGACAGATGGCGAGAAAAGTCAATCCAGTCCCCTTCAAGTGGTGATTGTTGCTTCTAACCAACAAAAGAGCGAGAGTAGCCCACCAAAGACCGATACTCTGTGCAGCCGAATGGGTCAGCGTCTGGTGCAGGCCATGGATCTGGAGCTGCTCAAGGATCTGGTCTTCTGGAGCATTATTGTGGGCATGGCCCTGGTCTACACGGCCACCATTAACTTCACAATGATTTTTCCCGGCTTTCTGGGACAAACAGCGAAGCTAAACAGCCAGTTGGTGGCCTTCTGCATGTCCGTGGTGGCAGGAGCGGATATTGTGTGCCGCCTACTCCTACCCATCATCACGGATCAGCTGAGAATCCCCTACCGCGTGGTCTTCCTGATCGGCATCGCCGGGCTCTTCGTGGCCCGCTGTGTGCTGGCCGAGAATCAGGAGCTGCCCGTGATCATCGCCATGTCTGTGCTGACGGGCATGATGAAGTCGGCCACTGTGATCAACAACAATCTCACCATTTCGGCGCACTGTCGCTCGGAGAAGCTGGCCGGCGGTTTGGGACTGAGCATGATGTCCAAGGGCGTCATCGTAATCACAGTGGGTCAGCTGCTGGGATGGGTGCGGGACTACGCCGACTCCTACGTCATCTGTCTGTATGTTCAGGCAGCGATTCTTCTCCTAGTGGTTCTCATTTGGACCCCGGAGATCTTCTACCGCCACCGCAGGCAACGACGAGCCACCACCAAGTCCATGGAGACGCAGTCCTTGGACGCAGCCGAAGAAGTGACCAAGCTGAATTCGTAGAATAATAGTTTAAGTGAGGATTCGGTATTGAGTGCCATGTGATAGGGTTGTTATCTGGGTTGTGAGGGCAAGGAAGAGCACACTATTTGTATGACTATGCATCTTAGGCTTAGGTTTTCGATTATTTATTACCATTTAGCCCGTAGAGACTTAACTTTTGTACTGCCACAAGAGCCAAAATACAAATTAATCAAGTAACCGTATTACAAAAACCAAGTTTATTAGGCGGGTTTATAACTCTGCCGTAGATCGATCTTATTTGGGTAAGTATAGTATTTATTCCGATGAAACGAAGCTGGGAGTGCTGGACACTGCGGACTCTCCTGATTCGGTGTTGTAGAAGATGCGGCGCTCGATGCCATCCTTGGTGATGATGCCAATGCGCACCACTCCGCCGGAGCTGCCGTCGTGGTAGATGGCGTGTTGGACAGCTAAGGAGAGAGTTCGAAAGAGGGATTAGTTGTGGAATAATCTTAGGAAATATTTGTGCTTTGGAATCTCTAGTAACAAAGCATTTAAAGGTCGCCTGATCTGCCTTTCTAGACTGATTTAGAGCACCCACCCTTCTTGACAAACGCCACGCACTCCTCCTGCGGCATGTTAGGGCGGTAGTGCTCCCGGACAAAGCCGTAGATGAAGCTGGAACCAGACCCTCCGATGGTGCAGGACTCGCGGGTGAGCATGCCGCCCAGGGGAATGCTGTACACCTGGCCGCCGCGCTGCGCATCCCAGCCAGCGACGATGATGCCAGCGAGCAGGGACTCGCGGTAGCTGTAGCAGTAGTTGCGGAACTCGGAGGCGGCCTCGAAGACCAGGGCCTCCTTATTCGTCTGGTTCTCGTGGTAGTTCAGCGAGTAGGCCACAATGTCCGCGATGGCCTGGGTATCCGCAGCAGAGCCGCTCCGGCAGCAGTAGACCTTGTCCGTGATGCGGGTCAGCTTGTCGGTAACCCGGTTGGCCACATAGGCGCCCGAACTGGTGCGGGAATCGGCTCCAATCACGACTCCTCCATCGAATTCCACGGCCATGATGGTGGTCTGCAAAGCAGGAGGGGATTTCGGGTGTTAATAGGAGGTTTTATCAGTCACAGTTTTCATACTTACGCCAGTGCTGACCGGCGTGTCGGTGAAATCAAAGTCGGGAAGCATTTTGTTGCTTAAATTTGTCACAATTCAATTTGAAATTGCTGTTTATTGAGTTGAAAAGCCGCACGAAATGACTGGCTTGTTTTTGACAAGTGTTGTAAAGTCACGGAACCATTAGTATTGGTCAACGATCGGAGCGAACTATCGATTGCCAGAACGATTACTGCAGCCCTGGCTGATACGATACTATCGCTCATTGCACATGTTGAATTTGTTTTGATTATTTGTTTTAAGCATTTGATTTATTAAATTTGTATTAAAATGGCCTATGTTGCGTTGAGTGAGGCTGAAAAAACCTACATACTGCACGGCGTAGAGGTGAGCTGATAAAAATGTTGGGTTTTTCAGTGAGCAACTCTGCTTTTAGGATGACTTTCGGTGCGATGGACGTTCTCGCCGGGATTACCGGCCCATGGAGCTGGAAACCGGACTGGTCAGCAATGCCAGCGGCTCTGCCCGCCTGCGCCTGGCCAACACAGACATCCTGGTGGGCGTGAAAACGGAGATCGATGTGCCCAATCCCCTCACGCCGGATTTCGGCAAACTGGAGTTCTTTGTGGATTGGTGAGGGAGTTAGGGGATTTGGGATCTTAAATATATGATAACTTTTAACTTTCAGCTCTGCTAATGCCACGCCAGAGTTTGAGGGACGTGGCGGCTCGGATTTGGCCCAGGAACTGGTCCTGTCCCTTCAGAACGCCTACGAATCGCCACTGGCCTTCGACTACCGCACCTTGTGCCTAATTCCGGGTCAGCAGTGCTGGAAGCTCTACATAGACATCTTGGTAGGACTATCTAATGGGTTAGTTTCCCTATGGTTTCTAATTTTCCCCTTTAGATCCTAGAGTGCGGCGGCAATCTGCATGACGCCGTGTCCTTGGCTGCCAAAGCAGCTCTCTTCAACACCAAGTTGCCCCGCGTGACGGCCACTTTGTTAGATGCCGGCATCACCGATCTCATTATATCCGACAACCCTTACGACTGCACCCGCATTGGCATCGATACCGTACCTCTTTTGGTCACCGTTTGCAAGATCGGCGACTACTGTTTAGTGGATCCCTCGGCGGAGGAGGAAGTTTGCAGCACAGTCAGCGTGGTAGTCTCCGTTTCCATGCGAAATGGTGAGGCCTTTCTTTCGGGCACCCACTTAACGGGCGGCGGCGCCATGCACCGGGACACCATGCGCAACTGCCTGCAGCTGGGCCTGTCCATTGGCGAGCATCTGGACCAGTTGCTCATCAAAATGCTTAAGCAGGAGCAGGAACGCGTCGGTGGCAAGCGACCAAAGACAGTTGGGTTTCTCAAATAAAGCGGCTTGGGCTTATAATGAAAATTTACTATTTACTCGAAATGACTCTGACTTTTGAGCTCTTGAAGCTCTCTTTAGGCTTATGGCTAAAGGAAAACTGGTGACCAGCTACTACTCCTTGCGCTTTTTGGCCTGCCTGACGGCCGGAGCGGGCTTCTTCTCCTTGGGCTCGGGCTGTTTGCCCGTCAGCAGGGAAGTCAGCATTTCGCTGATCTCGGGCATGTCGTTGCCCATCTGTAAAGGAGGAAGTTGCCTGTATAGTAATGAATTTATGTAGATAATTGATTAATTTCACCTTGGGGAACTGCAGATTGTCGATCTCCTTCTTGGTCTCGGGATCGTTGATCATCTTGGGCAGCACCAGCATGAGCAGCAGTGGGAGAACCATCATCAGGACCATGGGGCTGAACAGGAAGTCGGTGATCTGAGGGTTAAAAGTAAGGGTTAGCTTTGGGATTTAGTTTTTAGAGTCTAATGGAGTCTAACCTTCCACTGCTCCCTGGTCTGGAAGTACTTAAAAGGCATCAGTGGCTTTACGCGCAATGGATAGGGCACCTGCATGATTTGCGCCGGCTGGACAAAGTTCACTTTCCGGGCGCGGAACTTTCCCTTCGGATTGATCTCGACGCGCACCTGCAATGGAGGTTACTAAGGTAAATAAAGCCACTTCTCGAGAGGATCTCATCCACTCACCGGCTCATAGAACACATCTGGGTGGTGGACATCCAGGATATAGCTGCCGGAGGGCACGCCGCTGATCATGAACTGGCCATCCTCGCGGACGAATCCCTTGAACTCGCCGTCGTTGATGGAGAGCGTGACCTCCGTTTGCCACTTGAGGGCATCCTTGTTCACCGGAGCACCTCGTCCTCCTGGGGCAGGTGGATAAATGGAATCGGGCGGCGAGACCCGGCCCTCGATTGTGTACAGGCCGGAGACCTCGTCCACCAGTTCATCCTGGCCGATGACAACTTCGGAGGCCACCAGGGCGAGGAGCCCCGTGAAAATAAGTAACTTTAAGCACATTCTTCAGTCCAATTTGGTTTTTTTTTCTCCAATTGAAAAATTGTCAGCCGATAATGTGACCGTTCACGGGGTTATGGAGAATCCAACGGCAGGGCTGGAGAATTTATTTATTTAAGTAAAATATGGCGGTAAATTCAAATCATCAATGGAGACATAATTCGTTAGTTTTAATAATTTTATAAAGCTCAAGAAAGCTAGCAACTTGATGCGATTACTATATTTTTTTTATAAAAATAAAATATTGGAAATACTAAAATGACATAGTCACCCGGCAGATCTAAGGAAGTTTTCATTTCAAACTTTGAAAATCAGACAACCATCAGATTTGAAACAGAACACAAATAATTTCGGAATATAAATAAGTAGGGTAGTACAGAAGAAACTGAAATTCAGCGAAACGCTCGCAAGTAGAACCAATATACGATCTCAACATGGAATCCTTCAAGCAAAAGGAATCAAAGGCAATGGCATCCCAACCGTGTTCGTCCTGGCACAACACGATCTCCAATGTGGTGAGATCATATTCCCCGGATCTCTACGACTGGGGAAATCTTACGGAACAAGTTGAGGCGATAATGCAGACACCAGAAGTTCAAAGGACCCCAATTGTGCCAAGAACCGCAAAAGTTGCAAGGCCTCCAAAAGGACCAAGGACAAGACACAATAAAAATCGGTCTCCAAATGTTTTGATCAGGCGCCTGAAACTCAATATACAAAGACTCAAGAAGAAAAATCGAAAGCTGACCAAGAGATTAAATTCCGTTCGCAAACTCCGCAAAAATAGTGATACGATTCCTCAAGGCGATGTCTCCTAAAAAGTTTTGGTACTTAGTTTTTTGTTCGGATATGAAATTCGTTTAAAATTTGTCCGTCAATTAACTCAATTTAACTTGTTTACCTTAACATTTTATTATGGTGGAGCCAACAAAAAAAATCTATAAAATAAATAAATTGTGGCATTCTTTGTTGTTAATAGGTTTTGGAAAAGATATAGAAAGCAGTTTTTAATTTCAAAATTGCTTTTGTAATTTTTAAGAGGATTGGAAGCTAAACCAACGATTGCACAATGACGTTGATATTGCAAATTTAGTTTTCGAAATTTTAAAAGCCATTTTAAGCCGTAAATAATAATACGTAGCACATATCTTTAAAGAAAAAAGGGCTTGTAATTTTGAAGTACAGGTCACTAAAGTCTCTCCGAAAACATTATCACTTACGATTTGTTTTTTAACGACTAAGGTTTTTTTCCTTTATAAAAGCTATGTAAAGCCTTAATCTTAAAGCATTAATAAAAAGGTAGAGCACACTAGGGCCTTTTCAAAAGTGTCCCGTCGAACTGTATTGAAATTATTAAAAACAAGTTTCCCTTTTAGGCCTGAAAAGCTCAGTAGTTTGCGGTTTGAACCATCGCTGTGCTGGCTTTACTATCGATACATGACTGAAACATTTGTATTATTTTTTCCAGCTCTTTTTCAGCGCTCTCCGCCGACTTTTTCAGTCGTTGGCGGCAATTCGTTGAGTTCGGTTTGCTAAATCCAAGCGGTTGAATTGGACGAGAATAAAGAGCTTACGCAGCTCGGAGTGATTTTCGAATATTGTTGACAGCGATTTTAGGTTAGTGCGTGCTTTGTCAAACGGGTTTTGAGTTATTCGCAATGAATGGCGACGGAGTTCTACTGGGCGTAGGTGTGCCTGCGTCCACGAGGCAATAAGTGCCACATGCAATGCAATGTTGCTCACAACATGCAACATGCCCACCGAAAGTGAAGTTCAACCTGAAGCGGAGCCCTAAGTTCGGCTAAAGACTATCCAGGTGTTATGGGCAATGTCAATGGAGTATCAAAACTTGAGGCTGATCCCCTAATCAGTCCATAAAAATTCCAAAGTTGCTGCTGTGTTTTTGTTTTTCATTCCATCAAGTTGAACTGTGTCGCATGTACAGTGGAACCGGTTTCAGTATTTTTAATGATGCTGAGATCACAGTACCCCACCCTCGTCGGTGCCCCCAGCCCCCATTCATCCGAAACTTGCATAGATTTATTTTTTTTTTCGCACACACATTTCAATGGCAAGACGCAATGCAAGTCTTCTAGTACAATGGCAGTGGTTAATTAATTAAGCAGCGAACCAAAGTAACAATAAAGTAGTGAGTGATGTCAAGCGTCGCGCCTGCGCAAAGCCACCGATGTGATGTAAACAAGTCGTGGCGGAAAAACAGTGAAAACGAAGCAAGAAACGAACTATTCGGGGGTTATATCTCGGTTTCGGGACGTGCCCTGGTCCCTTTATAGGAATTGGCACACTCGCGGCCACGAGTTCAGTGGCTTACGCAACGCGATGGCTGATAAATCATCGTTGACAGTCACTTTCTACGAATGAACCTGCTCACTTCGCTTTGTCACTCGAATACTTATTATTAATGACGACAATTGGTACAGTTTTTCGACGTGACAACGATTTCCTCGATCTCTGCCATTTATGATGTCATCTAATGGAGGTTTTATGTGCATACCACGAATCAATATTCGAGTCGTTAAGGCCTTTTTCTCGGCCAGTGGCACAGTTTACGCATTCTACGAGGTTTTACAGAGAACACCTGTTCGGATCTCAAACAATTAATTTGCACATAACTTAGAGTCAGCTTACTTTACAGCAATTTTATAGAATTGAAAATTAATCGAACATTTGCATAATATATTTTAGCGATTAAAGTGAAATAAATACAAAAAATTTTCTTAGTAATTTCTCTTATTGTTAATATGTACATATAATGCGAATTGTATACTGGTTTTGAATTCTATATTACATTTAATATAGGTATATTTAAATTAACATGTTTAAGAAGATATTATGACTTTCAAAACTGGTAATTCCGTATGACACATAATATACATACATGCTAAATATTTATAAATATTCTTCAAAATATTGTGAGCAATCCCTGATTACTTGGGTTATGTTTCATTTCAATTTGTTTAATTAATAGTATCTAGCAAAAAAGGTAATCAAAAACTAACGATCTATAAAAAGAACTTTACTACCTGTAGACTATTGCCAGATTAAACATTAATTTAGGACCCTCTGACACATGCCAATCAGTTTTTTATGGGCAAATGTTGATCAATCTTTTTCCGTATGCATAGAACCGTCAGGGAAACGTAGCACCAACCCCAAATTTAATGGTTCCTTTGGCTGGTTTTCTTTATGGGTGGAAGGGTCTAATACTTGGTTACTTGGAACTGCGCACCACAGGCTAGTTGTTAACCCAGTTTACACAGGTTCTGGCACGCGATGTCCGGCCAAGATTGCTGAAATGCAAGGAAATTGTTCGACCACCTTGACCAAACCCCAACCCCAAAGGCCAACCCCTGTGAACTCTTTTTTCTGGGGTCAAAAGCCAATTGTTGTTGGCGTGTGCTACAGAGTTACCCAGAAATATTCAAACCAACACGCTTAATGGATGATAAGGCGAAAAAACCCACAGATATAGGCCTATTCCTTGGACTGATTGGTCTATAAACTCGGACTAACCAAAGTCAAGTGCAATCTTATCAACTTACAGGCAGTTGCCAATAATTATGAGAACTTTACGCAAGTTTATGACGTGGGTGATTCAGCAATCTGCTCCAAAACAACCTCAAGTGGTCGCCAACTCAAGAAAGCAAATTATACCAAGTCGTTTACCCCTCGACAGCGATCTACATACCTTTCGCATTGATCGAAGCAATTAGAGTTGGGCTGTCAAATACGAATACTATAGTATATGCATAAGTACGAGTGGATATTTCGTGTAGACACACACCGACAGCATTCAAATTGCGATTATTTTTTGTACGAGTTTTAAAACTGGCTTTTTAACAAGGGCATGAGACAAGCTCTATGTGTGCAGTGGATATATGCAGGCTATATACGATATGCCATGTATAAATACCCCTCACAATGAGCATGTTAGAGTCAAGTGTTTCGGGCCCACATAATAATGGCGCATTGTTGTTGCTGGAAAAGTCGCTAACTTAATCAGTTTTGTCTCACGTTCAAAAACAAAAGCCGATCCCAAAAGTTTCAGAGTCGTGGTTATATGGGGGCCAATGGCTATATGCCGCGAAACACTTATTAATGTGCCAAGAATTTAATGGAAAGCATTTATGGTTACTGTTGTTGCCACGGCAGACGGAGAAATTTTCGGTTTTCACTTTGCCTTCTACAGAGTGCGAGCTACCAGAGATACCTACATATGTAGGTAGGTGCCCACCGAATAGATATGTATATATAGATACCCCAGCGAAGGTTTGGGTGAATGCTTTTCAGATAAATCACTCACAATCAATAACTTTGACTTTCAAGGTCTAACCAAATGTGAACACCCATTGTGCGGTTCTTGAAAGACCAAAAACTGCCAAAATAAGGCTTAAACAATGACTCAAGCCGCGCTTTAATTAACATTTGGCTGGCATTTCAAAGAAAGGCAAATGTATTAAAAACCACATACCTACATGGGCTATAAAAACACATCCAAGGTTAATCGTAAACGCTTTCAAATTCAAGTTCAATTCGAATTCTTGACACGGAGCGTTGGAAATACAGTGTAAACGGGAGACAGACTGGAGATACAGATAAAACCCGTGAGGTTGTCGATGAATCACAGCCGTCTGTATTCCCACCGCACATGGGAAAGTCCCAGGCACATAATGTATTCTGCCCACTCACTTCCTCATTGATCTTGATCTTGGCTTGGATTCAGCGATCGCGACGAAAGCAAAAGTCATCTTCTGACTCACGAGGGAACTGACCTCGTTAATGTTTTCTTAACCTGCGAATATAAACAAATTCGGGGGCGAGTGGAAAGTGGTAGCACCCATTAAACCCGAAAATCCCCATAACAAAACGAAGCGATTAGCTTAAGTGAAATAAAAATTAAGCGCTAATTTATAGCCCGCTAGGGTAATTAGTTTAACTAGCCATTATGGCTTGATTTATAGGCATATGAGTTATTAGGAATACTACGCATACGCAGCGAAGCCTGACGACCCATGATATTCCCAGAGTGATAAGCACTGAGTGGCCAGCGCACTGAAAGCTAAACGGTGTTAAACGATACGTCCTCCTATAAATATAGACATATCGGGGAAACACAATCTCGACCTGTATCGGCAGCATTCGTAATTAAATGAGTGCAGTGTGCATTAAGTATATGAGGTGCTGAGTTCGTAGAATGGAATACTTTCAGGAAATTGAAATTTTAAGACGATATGCACCTTGATTTATTTGTATACATTATAATATACCGAATAAATAAATTGACCTTGGTAACCTTTTTAATCTATTCCTACTTATAAGAAATACTTACATATTTACCAAGATTCTATACGTTCTAATAGTAGTAATGCCTGCATTACTTTAAAAAAACCACTTAATAAAATAAGTGAATGGAGTACTATCAAATAGAGAACCACCCAGGGTATTTGAAGTACACACCTATTCATCAGATATAGACACTCTGATCGTTATCAAATATGTAGATGCACAGATACATTCGCAATTCATTGTTTGCGGGTTCGCTGGAAACGTGCCCCCGATAAGCGGGGGAGCAATTATTTATGCCATGGTAATTAAACAGACGACAGAAGATGGAAATGTCGAGGGTGAGGGTCTCAGAAGGGGAAAGGGGAACGGAAGCCGGGACACGGTTCGCTTCTGATCACTCAATTCGCATTCGATAGTAACCGGGGTATTGTCTGCTCCACAGGTGCTCCACGAATCCACGAATCCACGATGACGCGGCCGCTGACGATGCGGAGTTGGCTGACGATGGTGACGATGGCGTTGCTCTTGGCGCTAACCACCTGGCCGGATCCCTCCCAGAGCTTGCCACAAGGTGCTCCAGAGACCGTGTGCGACACCATGCTGCCGTTCCACTCCGGCGGCAGTGTGCTGCCCCAGAACAGCGTCTCGCCCTTCAGCGTGGAGACCTCCTCCTCCACCCTCGGCCAGGGTCAGACGCTTCGTGTGGATCTCACGGGAGTCCCGGCGGGTCTGAGCTTCGGTGGCTACATGATCCAGGCTCGCAACCGCAATCCGCCCCATCAGATCGTGGGTCAGTTTTCACCCGCCCGCGATGGAACCATCAAGCTGATGAACTGCGAGAGCTCCGTGAATAACTCGGCCACTCACAGCAATGCTGGGCCCAAGCAGCAGGTTCTCCTGGAGTGGCAGTCTCCGGTGGACTTCCTCGGCCAGGTGGTCTTCAAGTGAGTCAATCTATGAGGGTCCCATGATCATACCTTCTAATTTTTATACCCCTCAGTGCCACGATTGCCCAGAGCTACAATGAATTCTGGGTGGGTGTGCCCTCTCAGCCCGTTCAGATAGTTCGCCGGGATGTTTCGGGTCCACCACTGCCCACCCAGGCTCCTCCTGCAGGTTTGGGGACCACTCGGGCTCCCTATGTTCCGCCCAGCTATGTGGCACCCAATAATGTGGCCGCCGTGGTCGCCGATCCCATCTACAATGGCTGCGGACAGAGCAAGAACTGCTTTGGTTTCCCCGACGGATGCGTGGCCTCCAAGACCTGTACCTCCGTCTCCGCGGTCACCGTGAGGGGGGATGTCTTCGAGTTCGAGATTCAGTCCGGCAAGGGTGAGTCACCTTTGAAAAAAATTCTTCATCTTGAGAAAGCTACTTTTTTCTCAATTTCAAGAACTTTTTTATCAATAGACAAAATTTTACCTTGAAATTCAGTGCGGCAAGGGTGAGTCACCTTCTCAAGAATTCTTCATCTTGAGAAAGCACCTTTTTGTCTCAATTTCAAGAACATTTTTATTTTTAATTGCTCTAAGTATTCTCAAGAACTTTTCATCTTGAGAAGCCATCTCAATACTATTTTTTCTTAATTTCAAGAACATTTTTATCATTAGAGAAAATTTCGCCTTGAAATTTTCAATTGTTCTAAGAATTGTGATCTGTTTTCCAGGAACCAATGCCGCCTATGTGGCCGTGGGTCTTTCCGATGATGCCAAAATGGGTGACGACCTGAGCACCGAGTGCGTTCCAGAGAACGGAAGAGTCAACCTGTATTCCTCCCTGACATCGCTCGCACCCTATGCAGCTGTGAGATCAAGTGTGGTAAGTTGGGACTTTCTGAAACCCTATCCCTAATTTAATTGGAAATTTCATTATTACAGAGTCAGAACTCCGCCCGCCTGTTGGACGCCTCGATAGTGGATGGAGTGATCTACTGCCGGGTGCAAAGGGATGCGGTGACCACTGCGGCCAACGGACGCACCTTTGACCTCCGCAATGGCATGTACCACCTGCTGGTGGCTTCGGGCAGTACGCTCAAGGAGAACAGCGTGGGCTACCACGACATCGGACGCCTGCCCTCGGCTCAGGCCATCAATCTGGCGGAGGTGCAGGACTTGGGCGGATCCAGCAGGCTGTTGGTGCAGCTCCACGGAGCCTTCATGATCGCCGCCTGGATTGGAACCACCTCGCTGGGCATCATCTTCGCCCGCTACTTCAAGCAGACTTGGGTGGGCAGCCAGAGCTGCGGCAAGGATCAGTGGTTCGCCTGGCATCGCCTCCTGATGGTCACCACCTGGTCGCTCACCGTGGCCGCCTACGTGCTCATCTGGGTGGAACTGAAGCGGGCGGTGTGGCATGCCCACTCGATCATAGGTCTGATCACGGTGATCCTGTGCTTCCTCCAGCCCATTGGAGCCCTGTTCCGACCGGGACCCAATGACAAGAAGAGGCCGTACTTCAACTGGGGTCACTGGCTGGGCGGCAACCTGGCCCACATCCTGGGAAGTGAGTTGGGAGGTCGGGGTCACCATTTCCGATATGTAATTACTTTTTTTCCCCTGTAGTTGTCACCATCTTCTTCTCTGTCAAACTGCCCAAGGCCGAGTTGCCAGAGTGGATGGACTGGATCCTGGTCAGCTTCGTGGTAGTGCATGTCCTGGTCCATCTGATATTCTCCGTAAGTTATTTTGATCTTTGGGGGTTGGGCTGGGTTGGTTTTCCCCTTTATCATGAGACCCCGAAATGTACAAAGAGTAGACCCTGCATCGCCTGCCTGTACAGTGGTTCTAGTTGAGTCCCTAAAACATCATTCATTCGATACTAATTCATCCCATCATATCTATAAGAACTGTTGGCTACGTTCGTTAATGTCCAGATTGGCTTGTGCTTGAATCATTGGCAGATCACGGGCATGGCCTCGGAACGCCATCTCAGCCAGCGGGCGAACACCTTCCAAATGGGGGATATGTCGCATCATCAGCAGCACGCCATGCGAAATGGCATGAGCATGGAGCGGAAGATGGATGCCCCAGTGAGTATTGCTAGGGGATTATCTCTTATATTTAGGGTATTCAATTGCGTTGCAAACGTTGTAAAGTGTAAAAGTGTAAGGCAGTTCCAACAACAATTTCTATACAAAATAGTTTTCAAGGCGTACAACACCCCAGCCAATGCATCCAAATCTGTTGTACTTGTGTAGAAATAATGGTTTAAAATAGAGGCTTTAAATACTACAAAAATACTAAAAATCGATCGAGGCTTAAGAAGTCGCGTATAGATTTTGTTGATCTACTTTTCTTATCTTGCAATGATTTTTGAAAAAAGGACTTTCACAATTCTTGTCTGGCAAACTTACAAATTTTACACTTTTGCAACGCAATTATTTAACTTATTTATCACAATTAATTATCTTTATTATCCTGAAATTACCCCCTTTCAGTATGGTGCCATGCGAAAGGGACTGCTTGGAGTCTACGGCGTGGTGCTGGTTCTCTTTGTGGTGGTGCTGATCCTGCTGGTGGTGCTGGCGCCCATCGAACAATTCCTGGGCAAGTCCTAGGCGAATGTCCTGCAGCCCTGCCCCCTCCTCCTCCCAATACTCGTATCAGTTTTGTGTGCTCATTGTTTAAGCCCTTCCGCCCACGGCTCTGCCCTGCCCACCACCCCTCTTCTTTTTCCCTGTTGTTAAGTGTAATTAGGCGCAAGCGTAACCAAGGGCGGAGCGTTCAGTACATGTTATATAATTTATTATTAATAAAATAAAACAAGCCAACATAAATGCAGTAGTTTGTTTCTTTGCTGCTCTGCTCTTTGTTTTTCATATGCATATATGTTTTTTGTTTACCAGTAGTGTAGTAGTATCTATGGTGCTGAAGGGCGCGCTGCTCGATCGGATTGCGTGGGATCTCCTATGTTTAGTATTTAGTTGTATAAAACCTTTACTCTTAACTCTGCAGCTAGACATTATCATTATCTTTAGATATAGGTATAGGTATATATGTATGTTTGTATGTTTTTATGTGGTGTGTATGCTTTTGTAATCTTTTCGCTTGCTCCGCTAAATTAAAGTACGTAAATTATAGGTAACTCTACAAATTTTCAAATATTAATGCTTTAACTAAACCCAATCGAACGAAACTGCCTTAAAGTAACGAGCGGAATCATCGCTCCTCCAGGATGACCGTTTCCTGCGGATAGAGCTTGAGCGTCTCCAGTGTTTGGCTGCTCTCGATGGCCGTGAGATCGCGACGTGGCCAGCTGCTGATCAGTTTGTACTCCTCGATGAGGAAACCATTGGCCGTCACAAAGTTGAGCAGATCCTGGTGAAAACAGTGTTTAGATCTTAGTTGGAAATGCTATTTATTAAGACCTACCTGCAGGTTGTTGCTGGTAAAGAAGCGGCGCTCCAGAAAATCACCGGTGGGCTTGCGCACACGGATCTTAGAGGTGCCCGCCTCCAGTTCGGACGGCTCCTGAGGTAGGGATTGTTGAGCCTGTGGGGGGTGGAAATCTATTACTAACTTGTTCTGCCATTAAAAGGCCGTCTTAACTCACAACTAATCTAATAGACTCGCGTCTGGCATCTTCCTCGGCCCTCTCCGACTCCATCCGCTTACGCTCGGCCAACTGGGCAGCCTCCTTTTGCCGTTTGGCCGCATCCTTGGCCATGTCGGCCTCCAAGGTCTCCTGATAGGCCATGTCCTGCTCTGCCTTCACCTGGTCACGGGCCGCTCGTTCGTCCTCCTGCCTGATTTCCACCTGCAGCTGCTCCTCGAACATCTCGCTGGTTTCAATTAGCCTCGTAAGCAAGTCATCCAGACCAATGTTGCCTGTAAGATAGTTTAGTTTTAGTGAAAATGGTACATTTATGATTGCCATTAATCATACCATGAATCACAGATAAAACCTCGCAATTGCTGCCCAACTGGCGGCTCTTACCGACCAGCATAATAGCCGGCAGCTTGTCCAGCTTAATGTTCCTGGCCGTCAGGGAGGCGTTGCTGCTAATACAAGCAGTCAGCGAGGAGAGAAACCTGCGAAACACATTTTAGATTATCAATAAAGTAACAATCTCAACTCACATGTCCTTGTTGCTCTCGTAGGTCATATCCCAGCCATACAGAACGAACTTCTCTTTGAAGGTTTGGATGATGCTCTCGTGTTTCATAAGTTGATCACAAAAAACGTTGATGAGAATACTCTTGCCGTGATGCAAGTAAATGGCCAGTAGCTTACGCTGATAGTAAAACAGAGAACGATGGTATGAATAAAATTACTGGAGGAATATACCGATAGTTACCTCCTTGGCGGATCTGAGGCAGGCCAGCTGCTTGGCGCCTTCCAGGCTGCCCACAAAAAAGTCTGGACACGGCTCGCCATACCGAGCCTTGTAGTTCTCAACAAACTGCGTGGAGCCACTCGTCTCGTCATCCGTGTTGTTTGGTACTGGAAAAACAGCAAATCTTTACCCACTGCATGTTGAATATGAGAGTATAAATGCCTACTTAAATGTCTGTTGAGTGGCTGAGCGGGTGGCGAGTCGGTGAAGATGTACTCGGCATTGTTGAAATCCGTAGCATCCTCGAACTCATCCGCCGAGCTCTCGCTGTCCACGGTCACCACGTCGAATGCGTTGTGCTGGCTGTTGGAATTCGTCTGAGCCGCACGGGCTGTGCTGCGTACGGCGAATCTGTGCGAGAGCTCAATACCAGATTGCTGAAAGAATTGCAGCCATGTTTAGCTAATAATTATCTTTAAATAGTCTTATTTAAACCTACAGCTAGAGTGGTTTCATTGTCACAACCATTGGGCCAGCCGGTCCACTCCTGGTGGCGTACTGGTATGCTCTTGATGTCGCACACGTTCATCTTCAGGTCCTGCATTGTTGTCCGTCCTGGAAAGCTGAGAGTGAGCGGGCTGTCGGACTCGAACTGTATGTGGATGGTGAAGGTCTTGTCCACCCGCTGCGTCACTTCATCTCTGCAAGAGTTGAAAGAGTTAGGGAGTTTTTGTAAGAGTTAGGAAGTCAGCTTACTGCTCGGTGTCCATGAAACCGTCGTCGGTGAGGTCCACCAGGATCAGCTCGTTCTCCGGGGCGAGATCCAGGTTGCAGATACGCGTGCCCGGCTGCTGGGCATCGCTGGCCTTGGAGGGCGGCCAGCCGTTGATGGCCTGCCTGCACACCGGCACACTGGTCTTGTCGAAGATCTTGCGTTTGAGTTGCTCTAGAAAAGGGGGAGTTACAGGTAAGTAGGGGGTTCTAGCTTCGAAATATAGCTGAAATCCTCACCAACAGTGGCCTCCGAAGGCAGGCGAATCTGGTAGAGCTGCTGGTTGAAATGGATGTTGAAGGCGATCACGTTCTGGTTGTTGTTCTGGCTGGATGCGGGGTCCAGGTTGATGCTGGACGTCAGCTGGGCTAGCAATTGTGACGCTATAGTAGATACGTTTCAAGTCAAGGCACAAAAGGCGGCGCAATCACGGTTAACTCACTGGGGAATCTCTGCTGGAGGTGCGGCTGGTTGAGATTTAGGTTCTGGTTCTGGTTCTGATGGTGGTTCTGCAGGGCGGCAGCGAAAAATCCCGAAGAGGGTCCCGGCAGCTCATCGTAGCCAGGCGGACGGAAGCCATTGGTGCTCTCCACTGGATGCCTCGCCGGAGGCTCCGGCTGTTGGATGGGATGGGGACTGGCCAGAGGAGCATCCTCGTGCGGCATCACCCGACTCAGGGCCTCCTGCGAGGGAACAACAACGCAATTAGCAACACGCATGTGCGGAGATGGGGGAAAACCAAGGAAATAAGGCGAACAAAGGACCTGCACACTCACCATCAGGTTCCAGTCGGCGGCCTCCAGGTGGGAGAAGGCCTCGCCCACATCGTCGATGCCCGTGATGTTCTGTGGATTAGCATAAAGAGGATACAATACGAAATAGTTATAGTAGCTCGATATTGAAACTATCTGCCAAAGTCACCCACACACGTCAAAAACGCACACGCATCGCAATGTGCGCAGCGAAATTCAAGGAGTTTCGACTGGCGAACGCTGGAGGGGATTACCTGAAAACTGGCCAGGGTGTCTTCCTTGTTCTCCGACATTGGAAACGCTTGTGCTTCTCTTTTATTGGCCGATTAACTGCGCTGCAAACTCGAACGATTTTCACTACAAAAAATTACACAAAGAAAAAATTTTCTGGCAAGTCACAGTGTGGCCAGCCGACTCCGGGCGATTGAAGCAAAGTAACGCGACCACTGTTAACGGCTAACGGCACTTTCAATTAATTTTATTCTGTTAATTTTTGTTATTTATTTTTTTAATTTTTTGTTTGTGTTTATAAAAAATTGTTTTGTTTTGACAACAAAAAGCAGACTCGTTTATGGGATGTTTGGTTTTAACCGGTTTTTTCAGTTACATTGAGTTCTGTTAACCGTTTGCAACCATGTTAAATTCAAACTAAAAGGCGGGAAAACTAAAAACCGCGATATTGACTTAGCTAAAGGATATTATTATATTTCCAACAAAACTTAAACAAATTCACTATTCTGATAAATATTTTCGATGGAATTTCCAAGAAACTTGCTTTACAGCTCTGTTAACCGTTTACATCGATGTTAAACTCAAACGAAAGGCGCGAAATCCACTTGTTCAAAGGATAACATTTTACCAACTTCCCACACCAATCTGCCTTGAATTCCCACCAAAACTGAAAGCCAATCCCTCAATCTGCGAAATGTATTCAGCTGTAAATTGTGATTAATATGAGAAACTTTATACTTCGCACCCCGGGGACGAACAAGAGAGCCGGACTCGCCCCCCGCACAGCCGGCACTGGACAAATGCGGCTCAATTAATCTTCATGAAGTGGAGAAATCAAAGACGCGGTCCGATGTGACTTCGAGTCGGCCAGGATGAAAGCGTAGTATAGATGCCTCACGGCTGGTAAGCCGACAACATGTTGCTCGTGGGCCTGAAATACTCGCTGATTTTGGCCATTAGCGGCTGCTTTCTGATCCATGGAGTCTATAGTACTGGGACAGAAACTGACCAGGAACTGCCGCATCGGATCTACCGACTGCTCGATGGACTCTCCGGTGGACGCCGATTGGGAGCCAGCTCCACATTCGCCCTGCTGCTTTCGCAGTTTCTGATTAAACGTGAGCCCAGTGAACCGTACACTCGCGATACGGATGACGGATGTGCGTATTTATTTATGCCCCATCCCGTCCCGTTCCATTGCAGAGAAACTGCGCTACGTGGCACCCACGCGTTACGACAGGCAGCTCTACTACCATCTGCTGCACAGAATGGAGAACATCAGGGAGCGATCGGGATTGGTCCGGGAAGAGTTGGGAGGAGTCCAGGGAGATAGTATGTTTACTACCAAACTAACTGCCTGTTATTATTTATGCTAATTTACTGTGTAGTCCTCAGCATTGTTTTTCAAAGGAATGTGCTGCTGTTGCCTCCTTCGCTGAGACTGGGGGAACTGGATGCCAATGCGGAGTACGAGCAGCTGGCTGAGGTCTATTCAAAAGTCGTCAACGAAGGACAGCTCAACAGGACGCAATCGGGTGAGCTTAAGCTAGTTCTAATGATAATAATAGGTTAGTCTATAAGTCTATAAGCTTGCCCTTTAAAAAGTGCAAGCATTTAAGGTTATTTGTACAATCTTTAAACATTTTGAGAGGTTGTTTATGTTTATAATAGTAAGTTTTAGGTTTTAAAAGATAGTTATAACCGAATTTTATATCCCCGTACACACAAAAAAAATCATGTCGCCGTAAAATCGATATCCTATGTAAATTTCTAGTTATGCACTACGCATATCGTTTTACCATGAGATACTCCCTTCGAGCATATCGAATTTACGGGCCGCATATCAATTTTAAATTGATATTACATAATGTAAAATCGATCTACGTTTCATAACGATTACCTAAGATCTCTGCCTGCGGAACATTGTAAAGCTAAAGCCACCAAACTGCAAGCTGGTCTCCAAAGAATGTTTGGAACTATTGGCCAGTGATGCACCAGCCTACGGATACCAGAGGACACACCAGTGAGTGCATATACATATCATTCAGTCAGGGCCCATCTCAGATCTACATCTTATCTTTCCAGAGTCCTCCTGCTCTACGTTCTGCAGCACCAGGTGTGTGCCCCCCATCTCAGTCCTCCGCAGGTCTACGATTTGCTGGCCAGGAGTCAGTGCGACGAGGTGGAACGCGAACAGAACGCCATCCGGAGCCTGGGGCTGCCGGTCGCCTATCGCGATCTGTATCTGGAGCAAGGTGAGCCGGGGTCAGTGGGTTGTCGATGGTGTTCTATGATATCCTTGCTTGTATCGCTGACACATATCTCTGCCACACTTACGTATATATATCTCTTCCACCACAGCCACCATCTGCGGGCTGTTTGGCTACAATGAGTTTGTCAACTGGCGCAACGTAATGGAAATTGGCAGCTGGCTGGAGGGGGATTCGCCGAAGGATATATTGGCTGATGACGACGGCGATAGTCAGCACATAAGCGATCTGGCCTTGGTCTTCTATATAAATGCACTGCTGCTGCTGCATTGAGCTCTAATCTATCGAACGACCCCCTCCATAATTTCTGCTTCAGCTTGATAAGTTAATAAAGTGCCGCTTATTGCTTTTATGGTTGTGTCGATTTCAGCAAGTAGAGTGGTTAATACTTTTGTTATTGAACTGCAGTTCGCGGATTTGAGGGGTGGGAGGTCCTTGAAGTGGGGTGGCGGAACGGAACGGAAACAACATTTGTAATGTGACACATTACTTGCGCTTGGCTGCCCGACTGATGGATATGCAGCAGGACGACAACGACAACGACGACAACACTTTCCATTACAAAATGCTCACACTGAAGTGGAATACTAATATTTGCCCTGACATACTCGAAAACATGGAAGCCGGAGCAGCGAAGCCCGAGGGCCTGCGGAAGGAAAGGGGTCGCCGGCTGGGTTTTGGGCTCTGGCTTATGGGCTTCTGGGTTCAGGAGTTCCCTGCCTGGATATTAATGCCTCATTTGCTGAATGTCGTAGGGGTGGCACTGTAAAGAGGGGCGGGGGAATGCACCCACTAAGCCTGCAACAAAGCAAATGCACCGAGCAAAAAATGAACCAATTTGGTTTCATATTTAAAACATAAAAATGGGCTAGTATTTATAAGCTCTCTGTAGATTAGAAAAATATTGAACTTGTACAAATTTTACATAACATATTTTCCAAGTTCATTTATTTTGAAAAAGATAAGATGTTATTGGTTTATATTATAAACTTTATAAGCTTGTTACTATAATAAGGTAACAATTCCGATTCTGTAAAGTGCATAATAATTATTTAGGAGTTCAGAGTTAGGGCTTTTAGGACTCTCACGAAAAAAATATCATTTCACTCGCAGAATTATATAAAATTATACTTTTTCCAAAACAAAAGTTTATCGAAACAATTTTGTTAAGTATTTTCTGGTGACCTTAAAACTGAGTTCCTACGTTACGTTTTTATGATTGTTCACAACCCATGATGATTTATAGGCTGTAAGCTTTTCAGAGTTATAAGCGCGTCCTATGACTAAATTACGATCTCAAAAGTACCGACTTAATCTCAAGTGGATATTTCTTTATGTGCAGACAGACACAAACACCCAAACTGTACATATGTCGTTCTCTTTGTCGGGGGTCATGAATAGCGCTGGGTCATTAGTAACGTTGACTTGTCAATGCAGCAACAATGCCGACAACAACAACAACAATAACAACAACAACAATGCCGCAGACATTTCCAAGTCTCGGTTTTCATCGTGGGCGGAGGATAAGGGGTGATGGATTGGGTCCTGGCCTCCTGGTCATGTCTGCTCCTCCTTCAATATGCTTTTTTTCCCTTATCATTCCTTTCGGCAGGCAAACAACAACCCTTCATCAACCCTTGCAACCTGATCAGCTGACTTACTGGCCACTGCACACACACATACCCCTACCCCCGCGAGTAAACCCCCTTCTTCCTCCCCACCCACCACAAGCGTCTCGTGTTGTTTTTGTCCACGCTTGTCCTCGAGTTCATTATGGGCTTATGTCCCTTAAAGTGTGGCTGACTCTCCGGAGGTGTTTATTGTGCTGTTAACTCGCTGGCAGCGGCAACAACAACATGTTGTTTAACATTCTCTCGGGCTCTCTCAATCGCCATCGCCGCACATCCTTCATCATTCACTTCGCCTGTCTGTTGTTGTAATGCTATCCCGAAATGTTTGGCTGCTCTCTTTCTGGTGTTCTCTCTTTCCTGCAGCGCATGCGTGCGTGGGAGAGAGCCAGCAAGAGCGCCCAACGGCTGCAGTTTAAGCAAGGGGGTGGAGAGAGGAGCTTGAGCTTTAGGGTTGTCAAATGTGCTGTATGTAAATAATAACTATGAACTTTGGTGCGTTAGAATGCGTATTATTTGAGCTTAATTTGCCATAAGACAGAGTCCTTGGATATAATAAGGATAATAAGATAATAATCATTTTTTATAACATACTTTCAGGAGTACCAAGGAGTACAAGTAAATCTAAATAACTTAAGAAACCCCCTCGTTTTAAATCCGACTTGGTAACCCTATTGGCCGAGCTTGAATTGGCGCCTCTTTACATGGCCGGATAATCGGCTAACGGATATTACAACAACAGCAAGGACCAAGGACTCTCTCTCGCCGAGCTGTCAACCGAGGGTTTGTTTTTTTCTGCCACTTCTTGGCGCTCTCTCTCCCGTGCCAAGTGGCTTTTCCATTTCCCATCCATGTTTCGACACTCATACGCTCAGTAGTCTCCCGTCAATTAGAGTGTAAAAACGTTACGCTCCACGGAAAAACAAACGGAATCGCTAGAAACGCCAGAAATCATCCGTATCCGCCGTCATCAGACATCCGCTCGCAGGATACAACCAAAATAATACATATACACAACGAATACGATAGAGCGATTGCAGGAAACTAGCCAAAACGTGGTAATTCCCCGTGATTCTGGACTTTCAAGTGCTCCGATCGAAAATTTGCGATTCGCAAGTGCAATGTGAAAGTCAGCTTATACGACAGCTGAATGTGCGAGTGTGTGTGTGATTCCCCCCAGTGAGTGAGTGAGTGTGTGGGTGTGCAGGAGTGTGTAAATGTAAATACCACGAAAATCGCAGAACGCCGAAAAATAAAGCACAAGAAGGAAAAGCGGAGGAGGTGGTGAGGAGAGGAGAGAATCAGAAATCAGCGAGCAACGGTACTTGGCCAGAGGCAGTTGAACAAGAAGAAGAGGGATAAGAATAAGAAGCAGAGCAGGAGCAACAGCAACCGTAAGGATTTGTACTGTTCTCTCAGTGTATGTCTGTGTGTTAATGTTTATGTGTGTAAGTGTAGTTTAAGGAGACGGAAAAATGCGAAATGAAATAATGGAAATTTATGTGGCCACTCTACTGCCCCACCGCACATACACATACACATACCCACAACACACGCACACTTACCCACTTTTATTTATTGCGATTTTTGGGTCAAACTAAAGTTGCAATGATGATGTTGATAATTACCAGTTCGTTCACATCGCCAGCAGTTCAAAAGTCTTTGGGGGAGTTCCCCTTTTTCCGCCCACACGCACACAAGCACTCACGTAAAATCACCCACTCACACATACAGACGCCCCCTCGAGTTGGGTATATATACGTATGTGTGTGTTCGCTTTTGTTTTAGTCCTTGGGTCCTTGCTGGGAAATTACTTTGTTGTTGGCTTTGTTGCCATTATTATTTCTGTTGTTGTTGTTGTAGTTGTGGCAAGGAACGCGGTCTTTGACAGCTTTCAAGTAAAGCGCGCACCTGCGAACTCGCCATAAATTAGGCCCACATCCCGCATATAGGAGGATATATATTTAGTGCGACGTTTGCCCGATGTCTAAGCACTCAAAGCGCAGGCAGGATAAGCGGCAAAAGAAGAAAAACGCGCCAAACCTCAAGGCTATTACAGTGGATACAAGGGACAGAATTCCCCATTGGCACCATCCTGTGAAACTAACTAATCACAACTAGGATTAATCTACCTACAGTTAAGAAGAAAAGAAACCCGAACCCCTATAACAATACAATAGTAAATAGAGTATTTTTTATGATTTTTGACATAAAACTCTTGAACTACCTTCTAAAATAAATGGAACAAATCACTTTTAAACAGGGAACGAAAATAACTGTTATTGTAAATTTTTCATACAAAAAAATCACGCACTTAGAAGGGTCCTAAAAATTTTTTAAATACACCACAATTTTTATTAGCCATTGTAGTTTACAAATCCGTAATGATTTTTATTTTTTGATTTTTATAATAAAACTCAAAAAATAACTGTTATTTTTTGATTTTTATGAATAACAGTTATTCCCTTGACATTTTTGAAAAAATGAAATAATTAAAAAAAACATGATACCCGTGCTTTTTATAACTTACTAAAAATTTGTTAAAAAAGGCAACCGCGCATATTTAATACCTATATTTTTTTAAAATTTTGTTTACCCACAAAATCGCCATAAATCAAGTTTGAGTTTTATTTTTGATCAAAGAATAACTGTTATTTGTCAACTTTTATTATAAAACTCAAAAAATAACAGTTATTCTTTGAGTTTTACTTTACAAATCAGAAAATAACTGTTAAAGTGTGATTTTTAAAATAAAACTTATAACAGTTACGTTCCCTGCTTTTAAAACCCATTCGGCTAAATAAATACGCGAGTAGTGGTTGAATTTCTATGTTTTTTTTTTTTTTTTTATATTACAAGGAGAACTTGTTTGTATTGGCCAAAGTGCAATAACCACTCAATAATATTTATTTAATACTTCTAAAATAACATGCATGAATTTTATTGGAGCTTACTAAAACAGAATATTTCAGTCAAGGGATTAAATTTCCGTTGATTATGTTTTGAATCACCTTTTTGAATACATCACTTTTACAAGTTTATTATTGAATGCTAAGCAAACACAGTTTTTTATTTCAATGTAAGCTCCGTATAGTTCATGTAAGCTGCATACAAATTTGATTTTGCGGCAGATATAAAATTCTATGTAACCGAATATATTTAGTTAATTAAAACGTATTCAGATAGTAGTTCAAAGGTTGTCAATCGCAGGCACTTTTTATTTAATTGGATTATTTTAATTCTGAAAGGTCAACAGAAAATGAAAAATGAAAGGAAAATTCACAGAATTTTCCCCTTGGTCCGTTGTTACAGGTTTTAGATTTCAATCTGTATATTATTTTTTGGTACACCAACTTGGAGTAAGAGTTTATAGTTATTAGACATCGTGCCTGTGATTAATTTTTCATGAAAAAGCCTTGTGTAGAAGGTCATGCAAATTTATCAGATTTCGTGCTTAAATAAAATTACCGTCTGATTTACTTCTACTCTGGCCCTCTTAAATCTGCTGTTCACTTGGGGCTTCCCCTAAAACTGCTTTAATGTGCTAAAATAGCGGGGCAGATTAGCCCAATTAACGTATCTCTACTGTGGTTGTCTCCCGGTTGTCTCTGCCCTGTCATTTCGACCAGTCCGGGGAGTCAGAAGTCTGGCATGCGTGAATCGAGTTGATTCAAGTTCCTCCCCTCAAGAACCCCCAACCCCCATTGTTTTTGTGTGTATTTTGTGGTTGCTGGCCATCCAATTGGCTCTCCACGGATTTTGTGCTCTATTTACCTGCCTTATAAAAACACAATTTATTGCTGGACTAACGTTTTCCCTTTGTATTTGGCTGCTGCCTCAGCTTCAGCTTCTGTTTTCTGTTTGCCATTTTCCTTTCTCCGCTTTTATTGTATTCCGCTGTTGCTGTTTTAGTTTTCTCCTTGTTTTGTTTCGATGCGATTCGTTTCGTTTCCAACTTAACTTTTCCGTTCTGTGGGTCTGATTCTGTCCGCCCGGGGACTTCCCCTTTATTGGCTTTCTGTATAAAGTTTTTGCGTGACATCAGCCATGGATATTATTCCGCTGGCTGCCATTTTGTTTGGCCTTGTTTGCCTCTTTTGAATCAATAAACTAGCCATGGAATCGAGAGCAGCTCCTAAATAATTGAAAACCGAGCTGAGGTTCAGGTGAATTTCAAGCCACAAATGGAAAAATCGCTCAAAAGCGGGCTACTCTTTGGGTGCAGGCAAATAATTCGGTTACCACTTATCCGGCTCACTTTCACTGCAACCCGAGAACCATAGTTTTCGGGCATACTATCTCTGGACAAAAGTTTCCGACTCTCCAGAGCAATTTGATCATTTGTTATGGTCGGTAGTGGGCAACTCCGGCATTCCGGCAAAAAATTCCGCCTCACTTTGTGGTCACGTAGTATCCATGGTGGGCGAAAGTTTTGAGTTTACGATTTACGATGCATAAACTTTATGCCAGCGCTTTCACTCAACTCAAATAAAAGTCGGTAATCTGTGATAAATGAGCCCGGCGACGAGTACGGGATTCCATAAAGCAAACTATCAGAATATCAAACATCAATGATGAAAGGCCGCTGGCCAATGAGCTCTTAATTGTGTAATTAAATCACTGGCACTTGAGGCATTCATTTTTGTCCATTAGGCTAATTGGTTGGATCAACTTCTTTTTGACGAAACGATATTCAAGAATGGATATTATGGACGAGTCACTTCAATTGCCTATTAATTTCGATACCCAGGCGCTCTAATTAGTTCCTGAGGTCGCATTTTCCAGGCAAATGAGCGCACGTTTTTGTGACGCTGCTTACCTGAATAATGAGTTTTCCATCCACACATCCACATCGACATCGGCATGAAAACTTAAAAGCAGCGAAAAACTGGGAAATCCCCCTTTCACTGCTGTGGCACCCACACAAAAGACTGGCTTCAACATTCTACATAGCTGGCCATTCGGAGGCGTCGTACCGGAAAGAAATGCCATTAAAAACGCAATAAAAATGCAAAAAAAAAAAAAATGCAAAGAAAAATACAACAAAAAACGGGTTGGTACTGGGGAAATCCCGAATGAAAGAAATGCGAAAATATAACGTAGAGAGTGTGCAAATACAAACGTACAAAAAGAAGTATGTGGGTAGTATGTCAACCTGACTGTACGAGTATAGTGTGTGTGCCACTGTGTGTGTAAATAGCCAAGGTGGAAAAATCGATATAAATGAATACGGCAACATTTGGTCGCCCCCGAAAAAACAAAAAAAAATACGAAAAACGAAACCTCGACTGACTCAACTTGAGACAGTGCGGAATGGCGATGGGTTTTTTAGCCCTTACGTCAAACTTATAAAAAAACGAAAAGTTTTTTTGCACGCACAACCATCGCGAGTGCTTACCCACTCGTACAGCCCCCATTTCCTCCTCCTGCCTTTCCCCACACACACTCGTGCAGCAAAGGAAAACCCCAAGGGGGGAAAGCTGAAGGGGTGGGGGAAAACCTCCCGAGGCCGTAGGCAGTCAACGCGATTTTAAGCGCAGGCATATGAAAATTGCCATAAAAATATATAGTACGCGTGCATCGCGGTCTTAACAACGTTTGCCAGCTTACACTATCTTTTTTGGTGGGTATCTTTCCCTTAAAATGGGTTACGAGATGGTTTTACCACAAATATATTTATTTTATAGGGTTTACATTTTATCGAATTACAAATAAGCTAAAAAAAAACCAATTTTTTCATTCTTATACCATAATAATGCATTAAGTGCAGCTATTTTTAACGAGTTGCTATTTATTTATAAATAAATGAAACACCGAAAATAAAGCAACACCAGCACAAACAGTTAATAGAAGCAACTTCCAGTTGGTTTAGCTTAATTAATCAAATCAAACATCCGTTCGTCTGGGGGACTTCCTGAATCTGGTTGCCTCGTACCCCTCGTAGCTCGTGGGGCACCAAGGAGGATAAATAAATAAAGGCGGAAAGACAAAGAGTGAGAAATGGTGGAAAGAAGAGCAATCGCAACAGCAGAGATGAAAACCGAAACAGCGGAGATGCTGCGGCTGCAATGTTTGCCCCAGTCAGTATGCTACACATTTCTCAAGCACGGGTTAAGTGTGCGAAAGAGATGGCAATGTGGGGCAGAGAAAGAGACGGAAGAGGGAGCCAAAGCTTAACAACATTTGCACGCGTTTTCCTTCCATCTCGGAGACATTTGACATTTCAATTTCAAATTGGCCAGCGGAAAAGGCCCAAAAATGGGCAAAGGAAATTTCGAATTCCGATTTTTCCGTCTTCGATTTTTCCCTCCTCAATTTTTCCCTCAACCACTGTTGCCATCTGCCTACCAGAGTATCTATGCCCGCTTATTTGCTATGCAGGGTAGACACTTTGCCGAATTGTGCTCGTATTGATTTCTAATTACTCGACCACACAGTATTTGGCTTAAGGTAGGACGCCAGGTGGCAGGTGGGCTGTTCGCAGTGGGCGGGCTTGATGGGTTGGGTTCGGGTTTTGGGTTTGGGTAATAGGAGTGGCCACGCTTGATGTGGGGCTTTGTCTATTTGTTGTGGCGGCGTTGCCATGGTGGCTCCTATTGATTTTACCAACGCCATGAATCATGCCAGAGCTCAAGCCTATGCTCCTAAATGCAGGCAGAGAAATTAAAGTGGAATCTATTTGGAAATACCCATAAAATATATCAAATACTTTCACATGGGTGGTTCAAAGAGACCATTGAAGTTATTGGACGTACCAATTCCAAGTATGGTATAGTATAATAATTCACTGCACTCTATAAGTATATATATTTTGGCCTGACAATTAATAAAATCAAGTAATTTAACCACACAATATACTAAATATACTAAATCACATTTTTCTTCTTTTTTTTTTTTTATTTTTTTATTTTTCTTTTTATTTAATTTGGACAATCACTAAATGGTAAAGGGAAACCTTAACTATAATAAATTACAAATAGGACTTTAGTTTTTAGTTCCCAATTTATTTTCTGAGTGTATGCTCAATGCTCGCCACCTTGTTCACCCAGTTCCCTACTCCTCCTACCCCTCCTATCCAACACAACATCCACCCAACCTGCGATGTTCCATTTGGCCACTGCGTGTTTAGCAATTTGTGGTTATATTATAATGACCACTTGATTTGCGTTTGCGTTGGCTTGAGCTCTTGCCTTTGCTTTTACCGCCTACTAATTGCGCGCTTGTGTCGCGTTTGTGTGTGTGTACTTTCAGGTGGCAAGACCGCGGGAGCAGCCAGAAGCTAGGGGCACAAGGACTTGTGGCAGGAACAGGAGCAACAGTCGCGGAGGCAACGTTGAGACGCATGCACGCTCCATGCTCGCCGCTGGCTGATGGCCAAAGGATTCGGTATCGCAATCGCTATAGGAACTGCGACTCCAGCAGTCGAACTCAACTGAACTGAGCGATACCCCGAAAAAAGGAAAACACAGAGAGGAACCCTTCATTAAGCAAACCACCTGTGGACGGACAGACAGAGTGCAGCATGTCAACTTCAAAGCATCACCATTACCGAGTCGCCTACGTGTGGCTCCTCCTCCTGCTATCATCATTATCATCATCCTGGGCCAGCGCCGCAGTGAGTGCGATTGCGGAGCCAGAGGAGGCGGCCTTCCAAGGTGCGTCTGACATCCCTCCCTTTTTCAAGTGCCTAATTGTGGAAATTTCGGGTATTTGGCACTGGCATTTCAGTTTTGAAGAGCTCAATGCTCGACCCCATCGACATATCAATAAACGAGGCCCTATTGTGTGGCCTTTGACATTAATGAGCGACTTAATTATGCGTGAGAGTGGACCGAAAACCAGAAAACCAAAACCAAAACGAAACGGAACGGCATCGGAAGTTATGCCAATGGCCGTGTTGTCAAATTTCCAGATCCATGGGGGCGAATCTGTCATTGGCGACGATGCTGATGTGTGCTGCTGACACTTCGATTTCAATTGCATACAAAATGCGATTTTTCAATTTCAATTTGAATACGCAATGCATGGCCGGCGGGCGAAAGAGTTTCAAAGGGGACTGTAGGGGGGTTGGATGACAACCAACCAACCAACCAGCTCTTGTGTGCATATGCAAATGGGTTCGTGTGCTTGTCCTCTGTGTCCAGTGCACTTTAATCGTCCCCACAGTTGCTTAATCAACTAGCAAGCCTGCATGCATGCACGAGCTTTGTTCGGCCCCCCCCTTTAAGCCCCCTCTACGCCCATGATGGCACTTTAACAGAGTAGCTGACGTGTTCGTGTCTCCATCTTCAGAAAGTGCCTTTGCTCTGCGTTCGTTCCATTTAATACAATGTGTGACGTAAGTGCCGGGCCACTCGGGCGTATGCGTAATGCTTGTAATGTTTTTTACTTTTTTCCCTCCCTTTTTATATTTCCTCCAAAGAGTTTTCTCCACAATTTCGGTGTCAAGTGGGTGGGCACTGTGATTTTGATTCACCTACTGGCCCCCGCCTATGGAATTTGCATTTAAATTGCCATCGAACTGGGGAGAAGAGAAACTTTTCCATTACCCCTAAAATAACCACGCAAAACTATCGGCCAACTGAGTTATTTAAGTAGTCATTATGCATTTGAAATGCTGCCAGGGACAGCGGTAAATTACGAGAAGCGTATGCCAGGACCAAGACCAGACCACAAAACCAGGCCCAAAGTCCTTAAAGCTTATTAGAATTTATTGCGGACACGTCGGTCACACCCAGGAACACACACACTCCTCGGCAGCAGGAATAAACGGAATAGACGTAGACATAGACAGGCAGACAGGACACTCAACTAAACTCAACTGAAGTGAACTGAAATTATGAACCGACGACTCGACCAAAACCGGGCCAAACCCAAAGTTGCTCCACTGAATACCGCCCCCCGTTATCTTCCATCTACATATGGCATTGCTAACTGAACAATCCCCTACTCTATTCTCACCCCCCATCCAAAAACAGGCCACTGCGGACACACCAGCCCCTGCGAACAACTGTGCTACGAGATCCACGATGGAATGTACGAGTGCGACTGCATCGAGGGCTACGAGCTGAACAAGAACGGTTACAGCTGTCAAGGTGCGTTCAGGATGGTTATATCCTAGATTCCCAAATGGGAAATGGGATTGGGATTGGGTATGGAATGCATAGATGCAGATCCTATCCTGCCGGGCCACAAAATTGATTTGCCATTTCGGTTATTATTTGGAAATCACCTGTAATGGATGGCTGGTTGACTGGGCACATCCAAGTGGGCTTGGATTACCCACGATTACATTTGCATTCCATTCCCCCCTTCTGTTCTGCTATTATTCATTTTTGTTCGAAATTTACGCTTGTTTGGGGAATTATTATTTTGCAATTGTTCGCCTCTACTGCAATGTTGTTTGCCCCCCGGACAGGCCGACAAATTGATATTTTTGTGAAGTTACTGGGCCTTATTTTGTGTGTGTTTTGCATTTAATTTGCGCAATTTTAACAAATGTGTCGAAAAAATTACATGTCATATAGTTAGATAGATTCTAAAAAGCTGTAAATACCCTTGCTTAGAGAAAGGCATGATGAGCTATTGCAAAGAGTTTAGTCAAAATAGTTTAGTATCACCTACTACATATACATCTTCTAGTTTTCAGTTATTAATAAATAATTATTTAATTTGTCTTACTACGAACTACAAAGACTTCATACAGACAAGCACATTAGGAACTTGTGCAGGTTTCCATTTTAATTAGTGCAAGGCATTGATTACTTTGGGTATGCGAGTATAGAATCTCTCTAGTTTACCCTGTTCATTCATTGAATTTAATTGAAATGGACGACTGGATGCATCCCGTAACTTGATCCATTTTTGATTTTCCAGTAATTAACGCAACTGCCAATGGTTTGGATGGGCGTGGCAAATCGGACGAGGACGTTCTCTATCAGAAGGGCGCCTCGTTCAGCGCCAAGTTGGCCAACGATGATGTGGGTAAGGAGATGGCCAAGTCCCCATTCGCGGGATCCAACTCGCAATCCGCTTCGTCGACGGGCGAGAATGGGTCGGAATCAGAGGGTTCAGAAGGAGACAGCTACGATTACGGGGAGCTGGAGGATAGCAATTCGGAGACACAGGAGCCGAAGGAGCAGCAATCGCTGAATCTTCAGCAGCAGCAACAGAAAGTCAATTCAAACGATTACTACATATCAGCGGAGAGCATCAACTTCAACTCGGAGTCGGAATCTGAGGGTCAGGATGCGGATGCGGCTGACTTCAAGGCGGCCAGCACAGCGACACCCACCTCAGTGCCCCCGACTCCCAGCAGAAGCAGCACCACCACCAGCACCACTACGACCAAGACCACAACCACCAGGAGATCCCCCACCACCAGGGGAATGCAGCACCGCAACCAGAACCAAGTGGTTGAGGATTACGGCGAGGGTGATGGCGATGGCGATGCCAGCGATGACTATAGCTACAGCTACAAGTCGGACATGTCCGTCTACGACGATGTCAACAATAATCAATTAAACTTAAGACGCAACAGCAACAGCAAAAGCAACAGCAACAGCAAATCGCAAACATATCAGCAGACAAGCAATAGCAACACGGCCAAGAACAGGAGAAAGAACCTGAGCACAAGCGTAACCAGCAATAAGGTCCAAATGCATATCACTAGGGAGTCCACCTCCAACATATCAGCAGGGGAGAAGAGCGGAGTGGGAGCAACCATGACAACAGACAGGTGGGTAATAAAAATATAGAGTGGGCGGTGAATTCCACAACAAATTTGGGGAGGTAGAATATCCTTTGAAGAAGCTACTTTGTTGGTCATGTGCAACTAAGGTATGCAGAAATAGTACAAATTCTAGAGCCACTTAAATCTGCATGTTGCGAGTGTACAAAGCTGCAGAAGCTTAGCAGTATTTTAGAATTAAATTAATGTACTTTAATCAACAGCACTCCCACTTGCAATCTGGATTGTGGCTCCGATGGAATCTGTGCCTTGGAGGCCACTGCCGCCAGCTCTCGATGTCTTTGTCCCTTTGGCAAGACGGGCAATGGCTGTCAGGAAGGTAAGTAGTGGCTCCATGAAGTGGATAAACTTACAAACCCTTTGGTGACTAATCCTCAGATATTCGAGCCCATGTGCCGCGTTTTGCCAAGCGTTCCTGGCTAGCATTCCCTGCTCTCCATGGCGCTTATAAGCACGTTCAACTGCGCATCGAATTCCGTCCAGAGTCTTTTGACGGCATTATCTTATTAAGCGGAGAGCGGGACGATTTGACCGGAGACTTTATGGCTCTTTTACTGAACAAGGGCTTCGTGGAGTTCTGGTTCGACTGCGGATCCGGTGTAGGCAGTGTTCGATCCCGAGAAACCATCCTGCTGAACGAATGGAACTCGGTGATCATCTATCGGCATCGATGGGATGCCTGGCTGGTGCTTAACCACGGCACCAAGGTGCAGGGGAGATCGAATGTAAGTTGTTATGTCAAAAGCAGTGGTGGCCAGCAGAAGCAGCTGCTTTACAGCGTACGTGCGCGTCGAAACGCTAGCAGCGCAGCGGCAGAGAAACTGCCTATCCCTGCTAGCTACCACTGTTCTTAAGTTAGACAACCCTTTACTATATTTGTTCTATCTTCTCCAGGGTTTGTTCTCACGCATCACCTTCCGGGAACCAGTGTTTCTGGGTGGAATTGGCAACATAACCGGATTGGCCAAGCGACTGCCTCTAGCCGAAGGTTTTGCCGGCTGCATCCGTCGCTTCGTGGCCAACGAGCATGACTACAAGTTCACAGAGCACCCGTTGGGCGATGTGATTAATGGATTTGATATACGTAAGTGATTTAGGATTACCATTTAAACTCCTTGATATATTATAAACCCCCCACAGAGGACTGCTCCACGGACAAGTGCGTGAGATATCCTTGCCAGCATGGTGGCAAGTGCCTGCCCTCAGATCAAGGCGCCATTTGCCTGTGCCCCATAGGATTCGTTGGAGATCTGTGCGAGATTCGAATGGACCTGCAGGTTGGTAGAGTCTTTTTAGGTCTCTTCCCCTTTCGGTGGACTTATTGAGGTCTTCTTTTCAGGTTCCCGCCTTTAATGGCTCATCGTTCCTGCGCTACGCACCACTGGGCGATAGTGCCCTCATCTGGTTAGAGCTCAAGGTTACCCTGAAGCCCGAACAGACAGACGGACTGATTCTCTACTCGGGACCGGAACATCGAGGCGACTTTATAGCGCTCTACCTAAACGACGGCTTTGTGGAGTTTGCCTTTGATCTCGGCAGTGGTCCAGCTCTAGTCAGGTAACTTAAACACCTGTAACTTAAAAGCAATTTGCTTATGAAAGGTTTCCGTCTCCACAGGAGCGAGCATTCCCTCAGTCTGGGTCAATGGCACACCATCAAGATCTCGCGAACAGCTCGACTGGCGGTTCTGAAGGTAAGAAGTCCATAGGGTCTTTTAACTTCCCCTACTTACCTCTTGATTTTCCAACCCCTTAGGTGGATCAACACCAGGAGGTCATGACCATCTCGTCGAATGGCTTCTGGCACTTGTCTTTGGACCAGAATCTCTTTGTGGGAGGCGTGAACCACGTGGATCGCCTGCCTTTGGACCTCAAGTACAAGCCGTTCTTCGTTGGCTGCATCCAGAGGGTGAGTAGTACACAAATACGCCTCTCCTTCCGCTTTCAATTTCCCATTGTGTACCTTTGTTCTCCACCCACAGATTGACATCAATGGCCACTCGCTGGGCATTGTGGCGGAGGCTCTGGGCGGCAGCAACATCGGCAACTGCCCCCACGCCTGTGTGGCGCGTCCCTGCGGCCCCCTGGCGGAGTGTGTGCCGCAAATGGAGAGCTACGAGTGCCGCTGCAGCATCCACAACGAGCGCTGCAACAAGGCCGCCGAGGTGCCACTAGAGCAGCTGCCCGAGTTGGCTCTCCACAAGTCCAAGGTCCTCGAGACGAAGGACAATGGCGAGGCGGTGAAGAAGGTGTCTGGCTTTGCGCACAAGAAGCATTCCAAGAAGCACAGGAATTTGCATAAGCCAACCCCTGCCACGAGCACGAGCACAAGAAGTCCAACCACCAGTACCACAACCACTGAGGAAGCCACTGCGGGGGCGCTAAGCAACGAGGAAATCGAAGATGATATCATATTCCGCTTTGTGCAGCAGCAGCAGCAGCAGAAGGAGCTCAAGAGGCAGACGTCTACTACTGAACAGGTCCCTTCCACTCCGACTGCCCCACCTAAGCCCAAACCCAAGCCCCGGTTTGCGGGAAAGCACCATGCCAGCAAGCATGAGCACCACCAGAAGCCCAACGCAGCCTTCACCCGCAAGCTGAGTCGCCTGCCCACGCACTACGAGAGTTTCCAGACGAACCCCGACAGCGACATCCTCACCTTCGAAGACAACAACGACTGGGTGGCCAGTCTGCAGCAGCAGGAGTACGGCGATGCCATGGCGGCCAGTCAGCCCCCTTTGCTAGCTGAGGAGGAGGGAAGCCCCAGCAAGCGAAACAACAACGAAGCTGATGATGATGACGCCTTTGTGTTCGATGAATCCCTGTTTGATGCCTCGGACGGCACGGAGGAGTACCAGCGCAAGCAGCTGGCCCAGGACATGAAGCGCATCATGTCCAACTCGAATGCTCACTCGAGTCACAAGAAGGCGGATGTGCAGTTCCCTTCCCTTGGGGGTTCCCCCAGCGAAGACACCTCTCAGTACAGCGACGATTACAACGATGATGATGAACTTCTAACGCCCGTCATGCAGGCTGGCGTGGAGGAGGTCAAGTCCAGCACACCGCAGACCCACACCGACTGGAGTCTTCTCAAGAAGATCGACCTGTCCGCCGAGCATCAGTCGCAGATTCAGGGGGTTCGCAAGAATTTCGGAGCCTGCTTTGCCGGCAGCGACAGCTACTTTCACTACAACGACGCGGACACCATGAGCCAGGTGATCAGCTACAGCATCGACCTCAATCTGCGCATCAAGACGCACTCGGAGAACGGGGTGATCCTGTGGACAGGACGACAGGGAACGACCGAGGAGCACGACGACTACCTTTCGCTAGGCATCGAACAAGGGTGAGTGAGATGGGGCGGTGTTATCCTAAACGTCGAAGTAAACTCTTCGTTTATCCATTCCAGGTACTTGCACTTCCGCTATGATTTGGGTTCTGGTGAGGTGGACATCCGTTTCAATGGCACCAAGGTCAGCGATGGCCTGTGGCATCGAGTGAGAGCCATAAGGTAAGTAAATGCGGGGTGAAAATCGAATAGGGATAATCCTCATCCCTTACCTTTCCAGGAACTCCCAAGAGGGCTATCTGGAGGTGGATGGAAGAAAGACGGCCACTCTGAGAGCTCCTGGCAAACTGCGCCAACTGAATACGGACACGGGCCTGTATGTGGGTAGGTATCTTTGAGGTTAGGTTGAACCAGAAGAGTTGCTAAAGAATTCGCGTGCTTTTAGGTGGCATGCCCGACGTGGGATACTTTACGCACCAGCGCTACTTCAGCGGAATAGTCGGCTGCATCTCGGAAATCGTTTTAGCCGGCGAAATGAAACTGAACTTCGACCCCAATACGCTGGGAACGGAGCACAACGTGGAGACGGGCCTCCTATGAAACGCTGCACGCACGCCTCAAGACTTTTGATATCGACTAGTTTAAATGTTATGTTAACCACACAAATGTCCTTCGTCGGTTTGTGTTTGTACAAATACGCTTTTAAAACAGAAAAACAGAGAGAGAGAGTTAGGGTGAGGAAGATTTTTTTACACCAGGAGATGCAGGAGTGACGAACTAAATCTAGAAGGGAAACATACTACATATTATATACAAGCATATTGAGTATATACAAAGGCATATATATATATATATTTAAAAGCAGAGGAAACGAAAAACCAAAATCCCCAAAACCAAGGCACGCTTCTTATAGAGCCTGTGACTGTCAATACTTCAGATCGGAATAGTTTATATATAACTTTAGCAAAGGATTTATATCGGTATCGGAGGAGTAAGTCATATAGAATATGAAAACACGAGATAAGAGCGGAAAATCTGAGTAACCAAGCTGTCCATTTGGCGCGAAATTGACGATTAACGATTAACAAATATCGATAGCGATACTTTAGTGTGTGGTCGCTTTTTTTGAACGAACCGTTACGCTTTTAATGCAGAGCTGCCATCTTTTTGTACCACACACACGCGGACACAACACACACTCACACTAACACGGTTACAAATGCAAATTGGCAATTCTTTCGTTTTTCGCATTGCTGTACCTTAAACTATGAACTGTAAACTGTATAACTGTACATTCTGTACTATTTGGCGCTTCTTGGAAGGTCTAGTCCAAAAATCGAACGAATCAAAGACCGTTAGGCGGGAAGAGGGGTTAGAAGGTAAACGAGATGAGATCGAATGAGGAAACAAACATATTAAGTGGTAAGTTAATAAATGTGTAGTGTGTACTAGATCGTAAGTCGGCACACTCGAACACGAACACAAGTCACATCGACACAAACACACACACACGCCTGCCTATATTAACTTTTATATCAAAATCGTAAGATACTAAAGACACCAAAGAAACTTAAGACATACGTAAGGACACCAAACACTCGAACACACGCTGAACCAGAACAACAACTTGTGAGCGATTTTTAACAATTTATACTAAACAACACACACAAGAACCACAAACAGAGACAACAACAACAACAACTAGCTAATGGAAACCAACCAAAAAACGAACGCAAAGCAATTTAACAATCCCATAGCGAAATTTTAAAATGCGAGACAAACAACTAATCCGAATAGCCTGTTGAAACAATTGTAAAAGAGAGCGAACAAAGTAATGGTAAATAAAAATAACTAAGGAGGGAAACGTTTGTATTCGTCTTATGAGTATAATTTTGTAGCTTAATGAGATAACAACCACGTATGTAGTTATTATACATCATAAACACATATGCGTAACTATATATGACTATGAGAAACTATAGAAACAATGGCGTAAAATGAATAAAGAAATCACAACCACCAATCAATGTAAAACTAAATTAAACGACATTCAATGTAGCTTATTTATATGACAAGTGAAAGTCGAGGCATTGAGATATTTAATTTCGTACATTGGTTTGCAGAAAATAAAGATAAAAAGATTCTAAAAGGTGTTGGTTCTAATGTGTTGGGGAGTGGGCTTTTCTAATTTGAATTTCGCTCGCTGTAGCGGTTATGGTTTGGAACTGGTTCAACGTTTGCGGTTAATCGTTGGAACTAGTTCCAAAGCGAGCTTAGTTCACTCTAGCGGTTAACCAATGTGAACCAGTTCTATTCAAGGAATGGAAGTTCTTGTATTATTTTAATGAGTACTTAAATAAATAAATAAATATACTTAATTTTTTTACATTTTATAAATTAATTTAACTGTATATAGTGGTACTTGCATTTGGTAAAACATCGATGATAAAGGGAAAACATCGATAGAAAACATCGAAGTTTCCATCGATGCATCGTTGTTCCCATCGATATTTCTCCATGTTTTGTTTTTGTGTTGTGACCACGACTATCCTCTCTGAGATTAAGATTAAGATTGAGATATTTGCGAAGACCGAGATCGGATTGGACTGCGGAAGAGCGGCCAACCAGACGCGGAAGTAACAGCCTTGAACTCCAGCCATGGCCGCTGTGCTGCCGGAGAATGCGGCCGAGATCGCGGTGGCCAACGCAATCAATAACATCAACGGGAATGGAAACGGGAACGGGCGCAACCGAGTTCTACCTGGTGGACTAGGCGGTGGTGGTGGTGGTGGACAGGTAATTACCCTTGGATATATGTAGTACAACCCTGCAGCACATAACACCCTTATCTTTTGCCTGACTTGCAGAACAACATGATGAATATGCGGGATCGACTGTTCCATGCCATCTACTTTCGGGCGGCGGCTGCCTACGCGGAGTTGGTTCCACGGTAAGAGTCATTGGCCCCCTTATCTACATACCTTTATCTCTATCTCTCTTCCAGGAAGGTGCAGCTGACCATCGAGTTCCTGCTGCTGGCCAAGGCCCTGCTGTTCTTCTTCACGCTCATCTACGTGCACAACTCCTTCATCAAGAATCCCTGCACCTGCCTGCAGGGGGTTAAAAACTGGCCACGCGAAGGCGTCATCAGGCAGGGATTAGTCTCTGAATCTCTCCTCAATCTTTGTTAATCAAAAACTCTTTTTCCAGAGTGGAGATCATACCCCATCTGGCGGAAAAGCGGGCCATTTGGCAGGGCATTAAGCGGGACCAACAGATAGTGCGCTCTCTTAAGGATTCCTAGTGAGCAATCTATAATAAATCTGTAATTAAGAAATATATATAACTTAATCCCTTGCAGTTACTATGGCATTGGACCGCAAACCCATCAAAACCACGACAGACTCAAGCGATACGAGTCCATTCTGGGCAAACTGGGTCTGCCTGTGAGACCCACCTTCGCCTACAGCAATGAATCCCTGTACTACTACTTCGATGCCATCAACATCCTGGACACCTACGACCATCCCAATGCCATACAGCTCAAGAACGAGGAAGATGATGGTGGGATATCAATATGATTACCCCAAAAACCTTTCTTATGGTATTTATACTTGCAGAGGAGCAGTACATTGTGGAGTATTCGCTGGAGTACGGCCACCTGCGGCTGTCTTCCTCTACGCGAAAGCGTCTGCACATCCCCGTGCTCACTGTCCAATTGGATCCCAATACGGACAAGTGTTTCGGCGACAGCCTGACGCGATACCTGCTCAAACGATTGCTGGGGTAAATAATCATCTTTGTTATAACTTTCAGTGGTATTTGAAAAGCAATTCCCCTTCTCGCATAGCTACGATGACTTACTGATGGCCTCCGTCAGGACCATAGCCGAGCAGGAGGAGAACAAGGGCTACCTGCGCAATGTGATCACCGGCGAGCATTATCGCTTCGTGTCCATGTGGTGGGCAGCCTGGAGCAGCTATCCGGCTGCCTTTTGTGTAATGCTGCTATTTGTAAGATAACATGGTTCTTTGACACTAGAGAGTTACTAATTAATCATTATTTTTCAGACCTTTTCAGTGTCTATGCTGCTTCGCTACTCGCATCACCAGATCTTTGTCTTTATAGGTAGTAAACTCTTAGAAACCAATCAAGATTTAAAAGACTAATGACTCTATTTCCTTTGCCAGTCGACCTGCTGCAGATGCTGGAGTACAATGTGTCCGCCCGGTTTCCCATCGCCCCCTTGCTCACCGTCATTTTGGCGCTCGTAGGTGTGACAAACCCCATTCGACTGATTAATTTGCATTTGCCATTAACCCTTCAATCTGCTTCTCGGCAGGAATGGAAGCCATCATGTCGGAGTTCTTCAACGACACCACCACGGCCTTCTACATCATACTGATTGTCTGGATTGCGGATCAATACGATGCCATCTGCTGTCACACGAGCATCACCAAGCGTCATTGGCTCAGGTGCGTACTGATTTGGCAAAGGGAATACCGAGCAGTATCCCATTTCCAGCATGTTTATTTTCTTACTGTGCAATCGTCCGTGGCCCGAGCAAATGACAAATTCAATTACATTAAGTCTGCAATCCTTTCCAGCATCTCTGTAGCCGCTGTCCGGCCATAGATAATAGCATCTTGTCCCTCTTCCCACCGCCGTCATCCAGCACTTAACAGTTCATTTCGTTCGGTTCGCATATTTTCCTTCTCTTCGGTCTCAGCCCGGGTATTTTGCACTCTTCTCCTGCTCCGCCTCCCAGTTGTTATTTGAAAATTAACTTGGCTTGCGCAAGCCTCCCCCGGGGGCCAGAACAAATCGACCAGTGGCCACCCCTTCGCCGGTGGCGGGTGTTCCAACCACCTAGCCACCCACCCACTCACACACAGACACCGGCAAACAGAGAATTTCATCACTTAAGTCAACAAGCGTAACCCAAGCGCCAAGCTACTCCATATAGCCATCCCCAACAACTGGCCCAACCAACTGAGCCGCACCATTAGCAAACATTTAAATAAACTCGCCGCTGCCCTATAACAAAAAAAAGGGGAAACGGCGATGGAAATTTAGAGCCGCTCTTTCCCGTTCGATCGACATTAATGACCATGCACGTCAGGAGCGGACAGACGAAGCCCCATCCTCACCAGAAACGGAGCTACTTTGCGGTTTATTACGCGCACTTTGCATAATTGAGAACGGCCGCCGCAAGAAATTATTTTCCTCCTTTTTTTTCGGCAACTTTCCCGGACATCAATTTGCACGATGCGCTGAACGCTGAACGCCGAACGCTGGACCCATCAATAATTCAAAAAGACACTCGAAAATTCCCTTTTTAGCGCGGGGCTCAAGGTCCGCACGTTTTGATTATGAATTCATGTGCATGCATCCAGCCCCAATCACTGAATCACTGGCCTCGCCGCCTTGCGGTGTTGATTTTGCGTAATTTGCGCCGAATTAAAAGGCTATCAGTGCTCCGAAAATGCGAACTCCTCCTTGCGGACCACTTGTCGTATTTATATTCATTAAAGATTCATTGCTGTGAATGATTTTAAATGTGCGCGGCTTGTTTGTCCAGGGCTTTTCATAGATTCCCATGGAAATGGCAGCTGGGAAAGGACCAGACGTTCGGAAAATCTAACTTACGTACTGGGCCACAAATTAAAAATTTATGGGAGGCACGCATAAGGCATCGAATATCTCCGGTGAAGATGAAAAGGCGGTCCAGATTCCAATGATTGTCTCCCGACGAGACGACGAGGCTACTAATCTGTGAGGTTTCGATGTGTACCTGGCCAAAGGAAACGAAAAATATCTTTTGTGTCTGCTGCCCCTTGGAGTTTCGCATAACTCATCATTTGCTCGCCCAGATTGTCAAACTTTTTGCAAAACTTTTGAATGAAAAAATATCCAATTGCAATGTACCTAGGTGCATCCTTTGCTGTGCAATTGAATGGCAAACAATATCTGATGTTGCCTGATATATAGAAAGCTTATAAAGGACATGGGTATGAGTCCGAGTCCGGGTTCAAGACCAAGTCCGAGGGCTTCCTTCTTAAAGTGAAATTAATTCAGCACATATGCCATATGGCCAGGACACTCCACCGGAACCATAAATGCATGTTTGTGAGTGTTTTGTGTGCCCGAAGGGTGTTTTTGGATGAGCGCGAGGGGCAGGGGAGGTTGGAGTGTGTGTGCTTTCCTACGGTTTAATTTTGCTGTTATTGACTGCCCCAAGCGGTGAAAGGGGTTTCCGGAAACAGTATTTTTATACCCTCGCACAAAAGGTTGTTTAGTTCTGAGTAAGCGTATTTTGAGAAGAAAGTAACAGGAACAATTCCTAAGGTAATTATTTGTTCTAGACTTATATTAAGTTTAATTAGCTCAGTCAATTAGGGTTAGTAAACTTTCGAAGTTTTATAAATCATATTATCGGCAGAAGATTGACGATAAAACTTAAAACAATAATACTCGTTTAAATAACTTTTTTTTTAACTTTTAAATATTGATATGTCCGTAAATAAAAAGTAGGTTAGGTGTAAATTCTTAAAGAACATATGGAGATTTTAAGTTTAACATGAGGATGATACCAATATCTACTTTATATTATTCGATACTTAGATAATAAATATCTAACAGGTCCACTAATTAAGTAGGTGCACTAACTTTAAGATATCTTGGCATTTATTTTAACTTTAACTTTAAGATGACTTGAAATTTATCCTAAAATTCTAGTAAAATATTTTAACCGTTGCAATGTTATATATAATATAATAATTATATAACAGGGTACTTAGTATTTCATAATTGCAAGTCATAACTTTTTTCCTGCTCTTGCTGGCGCCGCTGTTGTTGGTCCTGCGGTTATGGGTTACAGGGCCGGGATTGCTTGTTCTGCTGCTTCCTTCCTGACTTCCTTCCTGCCTGCGGTGGTGGCAGTGGAGGAGTGGGGGCTAGCTTCTGCTCCGCTCCGATCCTTCCGCTCCTGCTTCCGTATTTACTCGCCTGTTTTTGCGGTTAACTTGGTCTGTGGAAGGCAGGCAGTCAGTTAAGGCCAATACCCAGCCAGCCGGCTGGCATTGAAGTTGGCATACAAGACAAACAAGCTGGCGGCGCTTTTCGCTTTTTAGCTACATCCATTCCTTTCCAATCCCCTCCTGCAGTCCGCCAAATGGTATTAATTTCATTGCATAGACTAATTTGTGTACTTAAACTTTGCTAAAAGTTGCAATCAACGTGAATTGCAAATGGCAAATGGCAAATGGCAATTGCAGACGGCGGCAGTTGGAAGCTTAAAACTGTCAAGTGGCCAACGTCGAGCGGGGCAACAAAGCCAGCTTTTAGCCAACCAGCCAACCAACCAACTAACCTTCTGAACTTCCTGTCAATTGCCTTCAATTCGTTCTAATTGACTTTTAAAGGACTTTAAAGTCATCAAAGGAGCGACTGCCTCGGCTCTTCTTAATCGCCGTTTAACGAGGCCGCCCGACTACCCCTAACTACGCGTGTATATTCCCAGGAAGGGGAAAGGAGCATCCATCCAGCATAATAAGCTCCTGACACCCGACTTTACTCTACCTCAGCCCTTTCACTCCAATACCGGCTTCTTATTTTGCCCTGTGGCTTCTTGCGTCGCGTAATGCTTCTTTTGTGCTTAAATCTGGTTGCCAGGCACGGGGCAGACGACACGTATTAAATGAGCTGCAAACGCACAGGAAAAGCTAAACGAAACACCTGCCTGCTGGCCTGCTGCACAGAGAAAAAATTCAAAAGAGATCCCATTGATATTAGCTGGTAAATCTCATATTTTTAAAGATCATTTTGATCTTGATTTTCATATTATTTTGATAAAGATGATGTTTATCTTATTTTATACTATTTCTTAAAATAATACTAAATTTGGTATTTTATATGATATGAAAAAATATCATATTGATATGTTTGAGTCATAAATTTTACACGAAATAAGATCGAATTGATCTTATTTCATGTTAAATTTTTTTTTCTGTGTGCGAAGTGCCGGAGTCTTGCGCAGATTGCTTGTCGCGCCAAGGAAGCTGAGGACCAAAGAGGCTTCAAAGAGCAAATGCCAGGAACCCGGGGCAGCCGGGGGGTTAAGCGAAGGAGTAGAAGGGGTTCAGTTCAGTTCAGGTCGGTTACAGTAGCGCGCCTCAAGTAGCTGCCTTCTTCTCCGCTTTCCCGCTGTTGTTTACACGCTTGTTACGCTAACAAACATAGTGATATATATAGAATGGCTGGGGACCATATAACATATATATTCGCCAGCCATTGTTGCCGCTACTGGGTTGTTCTTGGTCTCAAAAGGTGGCCACGGTGTCGGCGGGTTAGCCTCAACGTCAACGGCATTGGCAGCCATGGTGAGGAGGTTCCCGGAAAAGCTGGGAAATGGCGAGGGCCTGGGATTGGGAATGTGAATGTGAATGGCACAAGGCTAGCATTCTCCTTTCCTTTGGCTTTGCACTCCTTTGGCTGTTTTCGTGTTGATTGAGATCATGTTACGCAAAGTATAATTGCGTCAAGTTTGTTTTTCTGCCATAACTTTTGTCCGACCGCGCGGGCGGCGACCCCCATCAACAGAAGTGGCTCAAAGGGGGGTGCTTTGTTGGGTAAGGGGTGGTGGGTGAACTGGGCGTATCCTAGCTGGGTGGGTGTTGTTCAAAGGTGCAGTTGATGAGTGCTCATAACGAGGCAAAATCGCTTCATTGTTGTGTGTGTGTTCCAGTGTGTTTGTGCTCTGTTTGTTTCAGTTTCAGCTTGTTTTGTTTGTTAACATGGCGTATGCGCAACGTGCCTGTGTCTGCTGTTTGCATATGCGACAACTCTGTTCCAATTTATGCATGGAAATGGGTCGTTTTCACGCATTTAACAGGCGGAGAGTGGGGGCTTTGGGGATGGCCTAGTGTTTGCACGGCAAATACTTCAGTTTTTGTGATATTTCAATTAAGTTTAGAGCTGCATTCACCTTTTGAAACGAACCCATCGATGGATCCACCTTTGCAGCGACCGTAATAGATACTGATGCTGCCTTTAACCCTCCAGATATGCAATCCCATTTATGCAAATGCTATTAAAAGCAGCCATACCAGAGAAGAGGAGCTTACAAGCTCATTGAGCACTTTAACTATTACGAACACCTCTCCTCCTCTGTTTGCCTGCAACAAATAAACACTTATGACGCATATCGGATCATCGTTGTTGGAGCAACTGACACGACCAACAGCCACGCTTCACACTTGCCACCAGGTTGAGCGAAGGTGCTTGCTTAACCACGTTCTCATACTCATGCTAAGACTCAGATCCCCAACCAGACACATGCAACAGTTGTCCTATTTGCCATCCTGCCCCCAGCCCCGCCCATTTCCGCTCTCGGTTCGAAGGATATGAAAGCCAACGGTATTTGCCTGGCGCACATCCGTCCTGCCGCGTCGCACAGTGGTCGACGGTGACGGGAAACTGATTGAGCCATTGTGGAGAAGGTGTTGCAAGGATTAGGGATTTGCAACTACAAAATACAAATAAATCATGAGGTATATCATTACCATGTTTTAAGTGTTGGGTTAATGATTGCGGCTATGCTGGGTTAAACAAATCTCCCCACTCGAGTGATAGGTGAAAGGAAATGTATTATTTAAAAACTATGCAAAAACACATTTGTTTCCAACGCCAAATTATAATTTATTTAAACAATTACTTATAGCGGTTAAAAGTTTTTTTTTATTTTTTTGTAACTCTTATCACTTTTAAAAAGTTTGTCCGCTCAAGAGAGTTTTGTCCGTATGAGAATGCTTTTGAATGACTTGCCAGGTTTATTTTATTTTTTTAAACTCTTTTTACTTCCAAAAAGTTTGTCCGCTTAAGAGAGTTTTGTCCGTAAAAGAATGCTTTTGAATGACTGGCCAGGAAGTATTCGCTGATGCACTGTGCCCCCGGTGGCGATGCAAGTGGTATGTGGCACTGCGCCTGGGAAGGATTGCGGGTGAGGACAAAGGAAAAGAAGGGGTAAGTAGCGGAAACGGGGACAAGGCGTTGCTGCTTGTCAACGCTACGCTACATTAGGAAAGCGAATGGAACGGAAACGAACGGGCGATAAGTGTTGTCTACGTGCCTGCCGCCCGCACTTCCTTTTCCCGGCGTCGAGGATTCGGCTACAGGATGATGGTGTGGCCATGTGTTGTTCAGAAGGCGGGGGAAATTGAGGAAATTGCTGGCAAGCGTTTGCCGGGGATGTGTCCATATTGCTCAATGCTCCTCTGCTTGCGCAATGCCCTGGAAAGGCTTGCTAAATAAGAGTCGTGTGTCTTCATTTGTCGCTGTTGATATTGATGGTCGATACTTGTGGACGTGGGTTTGTGTGTGCACACAATCAACTCGAATTAAATTCAATAACATAACTCAATCATGGCCATGCCTCAAAACCCTATCCCTGTCCCTATTCCGATTCGAATTCCGAGATACCAACAGCACCCCCTGCTAGCTGCCAGCTGGGCTGTAAAAATAAATTAAAGTTCAATTCCGCTGGCCACGCCAAAAGGTCTTCTGTCCGGTTGTCAAGTTGTTTGTCCGTTTTGTCCGTTTGTCCGCTTGTCCGCCTGTCCATTGCTTATCAATGAGTCGCCTTCGCTGTCATTATTGTTGCCTCTGTTGTTGTTACGGCCATCCATTGTGTTTTTTATTTGTTGTCTTTGGCCAGCAACAATTCAGCTAACAGCGCCAGCAATTATTTATATTATTAAATCCTCTTGAGTGTTTTTTTTTCCTCTTTGCCCATTGTTGTTTCCGTTCGTAGCCGTTGTCCTGGCATTTTTGATATTTGTCCTCCTCGGCTACAGTTACTTGTTACTCTTATGTCATGGGCCCGTGGCTTCCGTCTCCATCCACCACACGTCTGACCCATTTCTCCGCAGCTTATTCTCAGCCCATCGAAAACAAAAAAAACGAAAAAACCGAAAAAAAACAGAGTGGCATTTTCAAGGAGGTGGCGGAGAAATAGAAAAACAGAAACCAATATGTTTTCGCTTTTTATTTTTGTCAGCTAAATACAATTTTGTCGAATGGTAATCATGTTTTCCCCTGCTCTATATAGAAAAGAAAACATCTACCCCCATCGATCGGCGATATTTGATGTGGGTTCCGAGGGCCCATACCCAAATTTTGGCAGCTTTAAAGCCGAGTGTGAGCTATACAATCTGGTTTTTCTATTATGCAAGCCGTATCTGTTCTATGACAAGATTGCTTCTCGATTTCCGAAAGTGCTTGACACTTTGGACACAACTTAAGTGGGGCAAATGTTTCACTTAACCACCCTAGATTGCAGAAATTTTTGATTCTTCTATGTTTAATTGACTGCAGATTATTTTTGAATGGATTTTAATATTAATAGTGTAATATTATATGGCTTAAGGGTTCAGATCTTAAAATTGTTGGTATAATCAAGCAGTCGTAACATTATGTAATGTCAAAAAAAGAAATCTTGGAGACTTCTATGTTTAATTGACTGCAGATTATTTTTTAATGGGATTCTATATTACAGTGTAATATTATATGGTTTAAGCGTTCAGATCTTAAAATTGTTCCTTTAATCAAGCAGTCGTAATGACGTTAGGACATCACATAAAGTCAAAGGAAGAAATCTTGGATTCTTTTATGTGTAATTGACTAGAGAAAATTTTTAAATGTGTTTTATATTATAGTCTAATAATATATGGTTTAATTGTTCAGATCTTTAAATTGTTGGTATAATCAAGCAGTTGTAATTGCGTAAGGACTTCATTGAATGTCAAGGGACTCATGCATCGATTGTTTTAGTCCCCGGCCCTAACCCGTTTCGTTTGTTTACTTGCAGATTCTTCTACCTGTACCACTTCGCGTTCTATGCGTATCACTACCGCTTCAGTGGACAGTACAGGACGCTGGCGCTGCTCTCCTCGTACCTCTTCACCCAGGTGGGTTCCATTTCACCATTTGCGTAGCCATGGCGAGTAATGAATGCGTTATGCAACGCCGCTGCGACAATGATGGAAACGAACTCCGGCCATGTTTACGCCTGTCAAGTGCATGACAAATTGCCATTCTACATTCTCTGTTCCCTATTCTCCGGGTTTCTCGTTCTCCGGCTGTTGTGGCATTGTGGCATTGTTCGCAACCCGGCAGAGGCTCACGTGCAGACCAAACCCAGGCTCACGTGCCCGGCGACCGTGGCATAACCTCTCATCCCATCTGCTCCATATATCTGTCTGAGACTCACACTCCTGCTCTTTTTATTCTCCCCAGCACTCGATGGTGTTCTTCTTTCACCGCTACGAGCTGCCGGCAATCATGGCCCAGCACCAGGTCTTCATCATCACACGCAATCAGGGAGCGGCAGCGGGAGGAGCAGCGGCTGCAGCAGCAGGAGGAGCTGCAGGTGGAGGAACTGCCGCTGCAGGAGGAGCTGCACCGGGAGGAGTCGTTGGCCAGCAGGCGTCCATGCAACGTGCACGCCTGATAGTCGCTCGACTCTTCAGCCAACTGGCAGCACAACGCCAGGGGCAACAGCCGGGGCAGCCACAAAATCAGGAGCAACAGCGCCCACCGGGACCCACCGCCGCCGTGGGCGTGGCCTTGGCCAATCTGCGAAGACTGCCCGTGGTGGGCCAGTGGCTGCAGGGTCGCGAGCAGTTCGCCACCGTGCGACGCGTCTTCTTGGGACACGGCGGCAATGCTCGCCTGATGCAGGTGCGTCTGCAGCGTATTAACGTGGCTGACATACCTGGCTTGCGCAACCAGGTGGCTGCGGCCATGGCAGCAGCCGGGGCGGTTCCAGTGGGCGGGGCAGGAGGAGGGGCAGGGGCAGCACCAGCTGATGAACCCGCCAGCGGCGATGTTGCAACTACAGGAGAAGCAGCAGCAGTATCGGCATCATCAGCCACGCCAACAGCAACCCATGCTGCAGGTAAGCTTTGGCGACATTCCCCTGCCTTAATTGAGTGGGGCCAGCACACTTCATTGCCTTTCACGTTGAGGGCTTAAACTCTTAACTTTTGCGGCAACCATTTGCATACCCTTTCAGTGGGCATTATACCTGCGTCAAAGGAACTCTTTCAAACGAACTCTTTTTATGCAGTCCGAAAGTATTTTTATTTTAGTTGGAAATATGTGCAGCAAAGTGATAAGCCCTAGTCAAGCTTCTATATATAAAAGGATATGGTGTTAAAGTGAATTCTCTTTACAAATATGTTTTTCAATAGCCAGGAGATTAATTTAACTGCCTTCATGTTGGAAAATATAAAGAGACACTATTTCATATCGAATTTAGAGGATGGCATAGTATATAAAAACTTCGACTAGTGCAAGCAGCTTAATATTTTTTTCCGATGGCAGAACAGTTTTCGTTGCCACGAAGTCCTTTTTGGCTGTGTGTGAAATCGTTTGGAAGATAAATTCAAATTTGAATTCCACTCGACAAACGGGAAATCCCTTTCGCCTCCGGAGCCGCGTGTGTGTGAGTCGGTAGCAACCAAACAAGCAATACAAATAAGCAAATAACAGATTCAGTGGCAATAAATGCCAGCGAGAGCAGTGGATGGGGATTCAGGGATTCAAGGAACCTTCAGTTTTTTGAGAACACTCAATGGGGAAGCAGGGAAGCAAAGCTGCTCTTAACGTCTGTCTGTTGTCGGTATACAATAATCGTAATATGCATGAAATTATTTCTCAATTCGCAGGAAAATATTCACTGTAAATGTTTCGCTTGTCATTTCCTGTTTTATTTTCACTCTGCCTTCAAATTCCCTGCATATTTCAGATGTCGAAACAAATCAGGGACGCAAGCAGCCGACAACATCGGGCATAAATGATGCAGTAGCAACGGGAGCGGAAGCAGCTCAAGACAAGTCGGAGTCGGAGATTGGGCGTCCGGAGCAGGAAAGGCAGCCACTGCCGGACGAGGGACAAGAGGCGGGCGGCATGTCCAAGACGCTGGAAAATCTAAATTCCGTTGCGGCGGATATTATAAATATGTTGGATAAAACTACTGTTGCAGCGCCTGCCTCAACGGACAGCAGCACTCAACAGACCCTGATCCACACCCACGCAGATGTCCATCAGACCCAGCCAAAGGCGAGGCAATTAGAAAATAATTTGCCAGAGTTGCTGAAAGCCGAGGGGGAGGCATCAGGTGAAAAGCAAAGCTGCCCACTACAAGCGCACAGCATTATGAATGACCAGCAGCAGCAGCAGCAGAGGCAGAAAAACAAACCGGACGAACCCGCGACAGGAGCAGCAGCAACATCAGCAGCTGCCACGTCAAAACAATCCTCTCAGCCAGGAGCAGCAGAGGTGGGAGCAGAAGCAGAAGCAGGAGCAGCAGCCAGGCCAATGATGGATGACAGGCAAACAGTTGATTTTATAGAAGGCGACAGCCCAACGTCAGCAGCAAATTGCCAACTCAATGCTGGCGCAAACCACAAGGCACAGGAGCAGCAGCTAATGAAAACTTCACAACATACATCAAGCCAAGTGACAACGGCAGGAGCAACAGCAGAATAGGCCAGGCATTAGTGGCGAGCCCCCGAAAACAAACCCAACCATCCCGAAAATAGCTACCCACATAACAAGATGTTTTACATAAAAGAGCTAGTAAATTTTAGATAATTTGTCTGGTGTACTTATGCCCGGAGATCAACCACGACTCACGACGCCCCCGCTCGAATGTGTGAATGTATCTGCTAGGAGTGGGATGTATGTATGGATGGATGGATGGATGGATGGGTAGATGAGTAGATGGTTTTTCTGAACGGGGGCCACGAGTGTGTGAGAACGTGTTTGAGATCCGACTAAAAACGAGCTAGGGAAACGCGTAGTTGACCTGCTAGCACCTGCAGGTAAAAGTCGGGATATATATTAATAATGTTGCACGCCTTTTTAATTAGCCAAATACGTGAGAAGCCGCAACAGATGTACGGATACATACAACATAGAGCCACAATGCACACACCACAAGCTAGTCGCGTTTTAAACTTAACTTTTTTTGCCCATCCTTGTTTGCCCCTTTATTGAGAAAAATGCGTTGAACATTTTTAATTAACTTTGGAGCTGCCTTTAACCCACGAACCCCCTGCTCCACCTAGAATCCTGCTCCGGATGGACAAACAGCCGAAAGCCCTTCCGGCCGCTAACCAAGCCGATGCTATTGCTGTTTGCCCAAGCTCTTTATATTTCAACTTTATGAAATACCATAGGAATGTCAACTGTTATATATTTTGTTTGCCTAAACATCATTTAAAAACCGCATAGGCATCACAAAAAAACACTGTGAATATTCATAAAATAAAATACCGTTGAATGTTGACATAATTCGCAATAATAATTATTGGACAACCATTGGGCGCCAATACAACATCTGTGAAATTCCTTTTTGTAATTCTATTCATTTTGATTTCTTTTAATTTAGAAAATTAACTGTTGGCACTTATTTCTAAAACTGGCAGAAAACAGTTTTATTTTGTTGCAATATGATTTCTGTTGACTGTTTTCGTCGGACACAAATATTATTTCCGATTCTCAATAACTATAAAATTGAGATTTTTACCTTTTTGGTCACTTAATAATTTTTATTAAATGGACAAAATCCAAAAGTGTCCCAGAATAAGTTTCATTTCACTTCATTTGTTCATGTATTTGAAATTGATATTTGAGTAGTTTGTATATACATACGTTTTTTTATTACTTTATGGTTTACAAAATCATGATTACAAAATATTTCTACTAGTCTGATTTTGGACCATTTAATAAATCAGTAAACACAGAAAGAAACACATGTAAAACCAAACTGTTTTCTGTTAGCAAAGACAGAAACAACTGAGAATAATATTTGTTATTTTTAAAGCAGTTTGAAAGTGTCAACAGTTATTTACTAGCTCTGCTTTTAAGTATACTCCTACTTTGTACATGGTATTTGATTGTAACGCTGATCTGATTTAAGATTGAGTGACTGTGGCGACACGTTTATAGAACTATTCAATAAGCAACGGAGGTCGGAATCGAAGTTCGGAAACGGTTTATAATTCTTAACTTTACACATTAAACTAATACTAGTAGCTATGACTATTTGCTATTGCTAAAAATGTTATTTCTAAATGTGTATAAAAAAATATACGACACAAATCAAGTACACTTTTTATTCGGGGGGATGAATGTTTTCCAGCTGGACTTTGTTTTGTGTCTAATGAGTCCGAAAATGGTTCTTAAATTTACATAAATGTTAATAGACTTCGCTGGCAATTTAATTTGACTGGAACACAAACAAATTATGCCCCATCAGAAGTTGAAGCTTGATTTGCATATTTCCCCATAAACAAAATGAACGGAACCAATTCGGGGTAGTCATGTGATAGATATTTCTCGTCTATAGATATAGATTTGATTACATGTAAAGCAGGGATGTTTTTAAAGTGGTCCTAAAAAAAACTAGCAAATAGATTATCTCAACTTATCCAATGCTCATCGCTATCACGGCGATTTTTTAATACCATTTAATAGTTCACATTAGTCTTACAATTTATAGGGCACGTGTTGACTACTCGTACAGTAAGCAGTTGGTTGTTTGGCTGCGATTTTTTATTAATCCAAATTGCAACTATCTTAATTATTGATTTCTATTTTCCGCCCTAAAAAGTTAAAAGGTCTTAAGACGACAGTTTGCAAAAAAATGGTTCAGCTACGACATGTCAAACCTCGTTGAGTTTGTAAATGAATTCCCAATCAATTGGGATTTAAACCTGAAATTAAAAAAAAAAACCTTTTTAAAAACTATTCATACATTTATCAAAAGAAATGTACTGGAAATTGTTGGCGATTGTTAGTATACGATTTATTTTGGTTAAAATGAATAATTTCTTAAATAAAAATATTTCAGTTAAAACTAGCATTCATTTTATAAAATCACTTTTGAATCGAGTACCTACATTTTTATTTGAAGTTGAAAATCCCAATACAATTTACAAAATATCATCATTGATGGCCATCGCTATTTTTTGTTGCGCTCCGCCAAAAGTTGCCGCTGGAATATGTAAATAAAACAATGCAAATTGAGTGAACTGCTCCTTCCTGCGACTCCTGGTGATGTGCCCGCTGCTCCTCCTGGTCGTGGCAACTAGTGCTGTCAGTGCGCATATCTTCCAGTTCGCTGATGTGAGCAAGCCAAGTATCTCACAATAATAAACAGCGGGTCGCCTTGTGCGTCGTGTGTGCCGACTTGAGCGACTTCAGACAGGAGCAGGGACATCGTGGCGGCGACGATGACGGAGTGGAGGCGTTCCGGGCCAGACAGCCGTGACACACAGCCGGAGCATTCCATTCAGGGGAGTTGGATATGGGAATGGGGCGATCCCATCAAGAGATGCCGATGGTCCATGTTGGAGTGGAAAAGTGGAGAAGGTGGGGAGGCCATACATATTTATTATGTCGCAAGTACTCGTCGCAAGTCGACTGCCTATATGAGCAACGTGCGCTTCCTTTGATTAACATCTTTATCAATATTTTCTTATTATTTGCTCATTTCATCCGGAGCCCGAGCAGCCGAGAACTTTTCAATAAAGGCGGCCCCACAAAGAAGCTGGCAACTGACAGCGAAAAAAAAATAAACAAATCATTTGCATCTCATTAATGCAAATCACACACATACATATCCGCGTGTGGGAGTGTTTCATGTTTTAAAAGGCTTGTCAAATCCCATCCCCATCCTTGGATCCTTGGTATCCACCCCCGCGGCAGTATCTTTTCCACCCCCACCCCCTTTTTGTATCCTTCCGAAGAGCCCGAGGATGCTGTTAATCAGAAGTCAAACAAAGTGTTGCCTACTTTCCAGCTGTGATTACTGGCACAACATTTTAATTGGGTATTTATACTTCCATAGCAAATATTTCCTCAAGGCTTTGTCCAAATAAAGACAACTAACCATATACACTAATTTACTACATCAGTGATTTAGTTTTTTTGGCAACGCCCCAAGGCGAATGAAATATTTTCGGGCATTGTAATTAAAATTGTAATAACTACGACTGACAGTTCAAAGCATTTGATACTCCTTTGTACTTATGAAAACGGAATTATTTGGCGTCCTTTTTTTTTGACAATTTGCTTATAGACAGAATTCATTCAATTGTATGGAATTTATTTCACGAATTTTCCGCATGCTATTCAATTTATTATAAGCAAAATCCATTGACAAACGTAAGCCATTTAAAAGGCATAAAGGGTGTAACAGAAGTCATAAGAAAAAATCCGGGAACTTAAGGCTTAAACAAGAGAGAACGCTATAGTCGGGTGCCCCGACTATCAGATACCCGTTACTCAGCTAAAGGGAGTGCGAAAGAGATGGAGAAAAACTTTGATCCGCCGTAACTTTTTAACGAATGGTCCGATTTAAAAAATTTCTTCTACATTTCGATAGGTATTGATAAACACAATAAAACTGCATTTTTACTTTTCCAAAATATTGAAATTTTTAAAATCGTATATATGCGATTGTGGGCGTTAGAGGGGGCGTGGCACCCTTTTGAAACAAACTTGCGCTGCGTAGGAACTCCTAGAATCTGCATGCAAAATGTCAATCTTCTAGCTTTTATAGTTTCCGAGATCTCAGCGTTCATACGGACAGACGGACAGACAGACAGACAGACAGACAGACAGACGGACAGACGGACAGACGGACATGGCTAGATCGACTCGGCTAGTGATCCTGATCAAGAATATATATACTTTATGGGGTCGGAAACGCTTCCTTCTACCTGTTACATACTTTTGCACGAATACAATATACCCTTTTACTCTACGAGTAACGGGTATAATAAATCAAATTTTTCCGGCGAGCTAAAATAAAATATATTTAAAGTGAAATGTAGAGGTTGTTCTTTATATGGATTCCATTTTAATTTTGAAAAACCCTCAGAAGGCAAAACATGCTTAAGTTGTATTTCTCCTATTAAAACAATATTAGCCATTTTCGAATTCTAACTTTTTTTTATGAAATGTTTGTTTCTTAAACTTTAATTGTAGTGTTATTCATGGCTTTTTAAAGTAATTTTATGTTTTTATCTTTTTAATTATTTTGGAATGTTGTCTTCTTCTTACTTCATTGAGCAATAATAACAGGGCAATGAAACCGATTCAATTGTGCAGCTGCACCGTAGAAGATATCGTCGACCATTGTGTGATGAAAAAATAATAATTAATAATACTCAATACAGCTTAAAGATACAGTAACTTACGAACCAGTGCTTTTGAATACTAACGTTCTTATCACTTTTCACTCAGGTGGTGTGAATTATGGGTAAGAGCGCAACGCCATTTGGACCCTTCTTTGTCGATAGGGGGAGGTTCATTGTTGTTTGAATAGTTTAAAAACAATCAACAATCAATCAATCAATTTAAAAACAACCTGTGCAAAAACATACGTTTTTCAATCCGAAAATTATTATTTTTTTCATATTTATACCCTTGTAGAGGGTATTATAATTTCAGTCAGATGTTTGCAACGCAGTGAAGGAGACGTTTCCGACCACATAAAGTATATATATTCTTGATCAGCACCAATAGCCAAAATTCAAAAATAGAAACGCTGAATCTGGAATCCCTGGAACTGCACCAAGTGAGCAATCTTTTATCTGCAAGGGTATATAAGCTTCGGCTGGCCGAAGGTAGCTTCCTTTCTTGTTTTGAATGAGTTAGCTTCTTAAAGCACTTGCAGCTGAATTTGTTGTTTT